AAAACAAAACAAACAAATGGGAAACTAAAGTAAACAAAACAAAACAAACAAACAAACAAACACCCTTCAGTTATTTCCACCCACAGAGGCAAAAACTCTGTGGATTGTCTCCTTGATATCATTAACATTCTGATATGCTTTCTGATCTAATTCTAGTAAACATAATCATTTCCTTCCATTCCTACAATAGTCTAAATTAATTTAAACGATGTCAGGGTGTTTATTAAGCAGAAGTCATTAGAGAAACCTTATTGAATTAATAAGCATTTTGTGTAATTAATGCAGTTTAAAAATAGGTGATGATTTTTAAGTTACTTGTTTTTTCTTATATCATTCTCTATATGGTCCTTAGTTTTTTTTAATGGTAAAAGAATTTCCAAAGCTAATTAATTAAATAAAGAAGAGACAAACTAAGGCCCCCTCTATATGAGTTAACATGTTTTCACTGGATTCCCAAAGCACATTGATTCTCTTTTATATTTTTCCCATCACTTGGAAGATGAGATCATGAATACAGTCTCCACCATGCAGATATGTGCACAGACACAACATATTTACTGAAAAGTCAAAACAGGCACACCTACCTACCTGCTTAAAAGGGAATTAGTTTATTTTGCAAATTTCCGTGAAGCCTTTGGGTAGACTCTTTACAGATATATATGAAATCAAAATATTAATTTATACCAGACAGTTAAATGAAAGATGAAAGTACAGCAAGTAGCCTCATCTCGAAAGACTAATATTTTGATGGCCAATGAGAAATGTAAAACAACAGGCAAGCAAGCAACTACTCAAAAACCTGTAAGCCAGGAGCCAAGGCTGCAATGGAGCCAACATGGAAACATCTCATTAAAATGATATGGACAGAAGAAATTTAAACACTACAGACTTAAATTTAAAATCACCTTCGGTACAAGTCAAAGGGTCAACATGATATAAATGATCATCCATAGAATCAATGTTTCTAAATACAAAGACAAGAAGCTTAGATTTATCTCACTGTTCCATAGAAATTATACATTCATTGTCTTCTAGCTTGTAAAAACCAATTGTTGGTATAATAAAACTGGAAACTGGGAAGATTGAGCAAGACTGCTTTATAGAATCCAATCCCAAGTTGTCTGCCCAAGGGTAGATTCAGTTTTTCTCTAGCATGTGATAAGTCAGGCTGATCTTAAAAGTAGTAGTTGGAAAATTTTTCAAGGCAGTGGTTCTCAAAGTTTCCAAAACAGCATTATTGGCCTCACCTTTAAACTTGGTAGAAATGCAGATTTCCTGATTTACTTAACTGGAAAATCTGAGCATGAGCCCAGCAATCTGTGTCTTAACAGGCCCTCCAGATGATTCTGACATGTGCTAAAGTTTGGGAACCACTGTGCTAAAGACAAAAGATACTAGACAACCACTGGTTAAACCTTCAGGATAGGAACTGACAGTACAGACAGTTCTTGGTGGTTGAAAAGGGTGGAAGGACCATAATTAGATGGGATTCACCAGCAGTGGAGTGCCGTTTTCTCCCTAAAGTGGTCAGCCACTCTCTCCTCCCTGGTACCCCTTCGTAGTACTGTACAAAGATACAGAGCAAAGGTTTTGTATGGTGCTAGTGGTGTGGCAGTGGTTTCTCTTCAATGACGGGGTGGGATCACAATTTACAAAGAAACCAATGATCTCAGGATATATTTTTGGTCTGTCTTCCCTGACATAAGTATTGTGTTTTGGAAATCTAAAGGGTATTCTCTTCCAAAATCTTAAGTTATTAGTTATTTCCACATCAAATAACAAAGACTGCAATACACCCAGAGAAAGAGGATCTTCCAAACAAACAAAATAAGGTATGTTTTCTAGATTGCTCCACTACTAAATGAGAACTTTTTTTTGAGGAGGCATAGTTAGAAATCAAGTTCTTGACCAATTTTACACATCTTTCTCAGTAACAAGCTCATATTTCCAATAAAAAGTGCTCCTTTGCTTTCCTAAGGCCACACTAAATCTCCCTGGGATCACCTAAGTGGTGCCCAAGCATACTGAAGTTCTATCATTCCACTGCAAGACTGGATTTTCCTTCTGCCTGTCTCCTCGTCTGTAAAACAGGTGGAAATGTGTAGATGTTACAGCACATGGTTACTATGGATATCAACCTGATGCCCTTAGCACCTGGCTCTTCAAGCAATCTCGTCCAACCAGCTGCTTCCTCTTCAGAGAATGTATATTTTGAAAAATGGTTATCCATTATTTTGCATATTCCCAAACTTTGTGCTACAAATTTAGTACCATGTATTTCCCAGAGAAGCAAGTACAGAGGCACTGTTGGCTACAGGGCACTTTATTCTGAGTTGATTAAATGATTTTTGAAAAAGGTTTACAAACATGCATGCCATTCCAGACACAGGCTGTCATGTTTTTCTGTGTTCACAGCTGGCCGTGAACAGTATTATTCCATCATTTCCACCTAATTCCGTGAGTTTTCTAAAGTAACACTGAATGTCTGCTTTTAAGATCAAAGTTCAGATTTTGGTTTTATTTTCAAACACTCAGACTGTGTTATATATGATTTTTCTATGTGTAAACACAGTTCTTTTTTTTTTTTAACTTTATTTTAAAAAACCTCCATAACATCCCAGACAAATCTAAGATGCCAGTAGTCTCATTTTAATGGCCTCATTCCTTGAAACTTTCTTTCGTACTAGAGTGCTTACTCTGTGGACTTAGAGCATGTTGTCAGAGAGAGAGAGAGAGAAAATGGCCTTTGAATTCAGAAACACCTCTTTTGCAACCAACTTTGCCTTTTACTTATCTTGGGCAAGTTTCTTAACTTCTGTGTGTCTGTGTTCTCGTCTGAAAAAATGAACACAATAGCTGTCTCACAGGTTGTTGTGAGGACTACGAGTGATAATATAGGTAAAGGTTTGCAATCACAGTGACATTCGCCACACTCACCTCCTCCCTGCTATGTGTAACCTCTTGATATTGTTATCAGCTCTACACGAAGGTCTTCATTCTGTTTAGTATGATGGGACTGATACTAATTGATTTTCCTTTCTGAGAAAGAAAACTTTTCTGTATAAGCAGAATTGTGATGAATCTGGCAAAGTCAAGGATATCTATTACGTAACTATTACCTTCTCACAGTGAAGGCTATTTGACTCTCAACTAACCCTGTATAAGCCTTCTCTTTAAAACAACAAAAGCCTAATGATCATTGCACCAGTGTTTCAATTTCAAGGTAATTTTGAGTTATATTAACATGCTTGTCATGTTTAAAATTTTATTTACTTTTTTGAGACTAAGTCTCACTTTGTCACCCAGGCTGGAATGCAATCTTGGCTCACTGCAACCCTCACCTCCTAGGTTCAAGCAATTTTCCTGCCTCCGTCTCCCGAGCAGCTGGGATTACAGGTGCCTGCTATCACGCCCGGCTAATTTTTATATTTTTAGTAGAGATGGGGTTTCACCACGTTGGCCAGGCTGGTCTCAAACTCCTGACCTCAGGAGAGCCACCTGCCCTCAGCCTCCCAAAGTGCTGGGATTACAGGCATGAGCCACTGCACCCAGGCTGATTTATTTTATTTTTGTTTTTTGAGATGGAGTTTTGCTCTTGTAGCTGAGGCTGGAGTGCAATGGCACCATCTTGGCTCACCACAACCTCCGCCTCCTGGATTCAAGCGATTCTCCTACCTCAGCCTCCCCAGTAGCTGGGATTACAGGCATGTGCCACCACGCCTGGCTAATTTTGTATTTTTAGTAGAGATGGGGTTTCCCCATGTTGGTCAGGCTGGTCTTGAACTCTCAACCTCAGGTGAGCCGGCCTGCCTCGGCCTTCCAAAGTGCTGGGATTACAGGTGTTTAAAGTATATAATATGAGCTGTTAAGCATGTTGGCATCTGCCTGGGTTCTTATTGGTCAGTCATTACACAGCCCCCAAATAGTAAAGGGGTTCTAGTTTTATATCTATAGTGAAGGCTGGACAGTTATCATAAGGGGAGAGAGAAGATGGTGTAAAAAGGCAGACTAACTATCTTTAAAAGCAGATCAGGAGACACAGAGAGCTAGGTGGATGCTATGGACAGGCATGAGCCTTCAGTCGTTAAAACCTATGTCCTCAGAGAGAACTCTGTCCCACTGTATACTTGACTGGGCAGGGTCTCTTGTACTTGGAGTTTTCCAGATGTTTGTTTCATGAAGCACACTTTACCAAAATTTAAAAAAAGGGAAAGACCTCAGCTTTAGGGTAATACACTTTTGGCTGTAAATACAGGCAACTAAGAGCAATGTATAAACTCTCATCCTGCTTAGGTCATGCTAATAACTGTTCTAAATTTCAAAAGGCTGCCTTGAATTTTGTCTTACTGTTGCTGCAAAAGAGACTCTGAGAAGCGAAACACCTGGCACTTTCAGAGACTGGGAGGGAGGGAAGGAAAGTGGGCGTGTCGGGGGGTGTGACTGAGTCACGGGAACAGGGCAAGAGACCGAGCTGGGCAGCCTGAAAAGGTGCCACTGCCCACCAGTGTTCCTCATCTCTTCCCTTTCTTCTCCACTTGCTGGGAAGCATCAACTAAAGGCCTACTTATTAAAGAGTACTCTGCACCAAGCAGTATCCTTTCTGGAAACTGCAAATGCCTCTGAGAAGTACTGCTGTCACTCAGTGACGTTTCTCGTTGAAATCTGATGTCAGCGGATGTCCGGGAACTCTGGAGCGCAGAGTATGTTAGGACTGGGTTATAGAGAAGACAATGGGAAGGTACCAAAACGCTCTTAAAAAATTGTAGGTCAAGAGCTGTGTACACCTTCGCATCCTTTTATTTGTGGGACCCATAATCAGGCTAGAACTAGAACAGTGTTCAGACATAGTACAGGGTAAACTTATGTTCAAGAACTAACTTTGGATCCCATAACAGAGTATCAAGGAGAATGAATTCTGATTTCCAAACAATTAACTAACATACTTTGGGACACAGTATTCTCGATTTTTGTTTTTTTTGTTTTGTTTTGTCTTGTTTTTGAGATGGAGTTTCACTCTTATCACCCAGGCTGGAGTGCAATGGCCTGATCTTGGCTCACTGCAACCTCCACCTCCCAAGTTCAAGTGATTCTCTTGTCTCAGCCTCCTGAGTTGCTTGGATTACAGGCGCCTGCTACCATGCCCGGCTAATTTTTGTATTTTTAGTAGAGACGAGGTTTCACCATATTGTCCAGGCTGGTCTTGACCCACACACCTCGGCCTCCCAAAGTGCTGGGATTACAGGCATGAGCCACTGCCCCCAACCAGTATTCAGAATTTGAGACAGCTTCCTTTGAATTTTTCTACTTTATGAAAAGTTGCTATGTATAAATACTGTAATTCTAGCCTCTGCTTTACTGAAGCCTTTCCCCCCAGTAAAATGGAGTACTCACAGGTTCATAAAGAAGAACTGAACCTCAGGTAAGCTATAAAAAGAAACAATACAACTGTGGTGTTAATTCTGTTGGAAAATTTTTAAAAAGCAGATACCCAACTTTCAATTTCACTTATAAAGTATAAAAAATTAAAAGTATACAACATAGTTCATTGCTATCTCAACAATTGCCTTTTAAGATCAAGTAGTTGATTACCTGTTTCTAAACTTGAATTCTTGTCTAATGAGTAAAAACTGAAGGCAAAGGGTGTTTTCTGGAACTGGAAGAAAAAAAAAAAAAGCATCTCCCAGATTCTGTGGTGATCTCTAGATGGCACACTGAATGATAAGGGTCTTTTTTTCAGATCACCTGAAGAAGTCAGAGAACCCTGCCTTCCTCTTAACCTCTAAGTTAGTTCCATATTTCTCAAGGAGGACAAAGTTTACAAATACCAGCACTGAACAAAGTTCAATCCCTTTGAAATAGTTATTTTAATACTGTAGAATTTATGTCTTATATTTAAAGGGTGACTTACTGATTATGAATACATTTTTAGGGGCTGAGAAATGATAATATATGCCTTAACAACTAGCTCTGCTCTGTAGAATGTGTGTAAGCTTGATTGAGGACTTTTCAATCATTAGGATAATGTAAGAAATACAAAAAATACTGTAAATCATAAGATAAAAAGCTTTCAAATATATTATTTGTCTAGTAATGCTTAGAAATAGCCACCTGAAATACTGGTCTGAATGAAAAGACATCAAACAGGGTAACTTTACTTGCTAAATAGGATACATTTTTTAAATAGACAACATTTTCTAAACGTGTCTTTCTCCTTTACTTTCATTTTGTGAGACTGGAGCGTGTGTAACTGACACCATACTTCTGTAAGATTGTTGTATTGCAAGATTTAAAATGATTTAGTCATCATCTCTCCCCACCCCACACTCCCTGCTCCCTTCCCTGAGTCCCTTTCCTCCCAAGAGTGTTGACAGAAAAAGAGTTGTGTTTTCATGTTTTATTTTCTTAAAAACCAAATGTTATACTTTATGTTCAGGTAATTGTGGGCATAGAAATGTAAGTGCAACAAAGGACTAAGGCACCATGTTTCTTTCCTTTCCTTGCTTGCCTTGGGGACGGAAGCAAACACCACAAGAACAGCCAGGGTGGCCGGTCAGTCTTACGTCTCTTGGCAAGGTATGTATCAGCCACTTTCACTGGGTACTCTGTGTCACAGGCTGAGAAGCCACAGACTTCAAACCCTGCTAGGAAAGAACTTTCTGCTTTTAGAAATACAGAAATAAAGGCACAACAGTACCTTACATGGGGAAATTGGCAAATACCTGAAAAGCTTAATGATTTAGGAATAATTTTGAAGTGTTCTGGATTATTTTACAACAGAAGTCACCTCTTTCTTGATTATGACACCCAAGAATATATTTTTATGGTTGTCTTCTTCCCAGCCAAACCCATAATCATACATCTTCCTCCATTTAATAATCCCTGGTATTAGATGTCTGAGTGTTTACGTTATCAGCTTGACTTACCAGCAGTTATTGCCTTAGGAATTGTATTTATTTTTAAAATGATGGATCAAATGGATCAATATGGTGTTTTCAAAGGCGTAATCCTTGAAAATGACTCATCTGGGGATAACATTGTAAGCAAAAGCACTGGGAAATATACTTCAAGAGTCAGAAACATATCAAGGATTATAGATTCTTCTATAATAATGTGCAAAATCAGAATATCGTTTGTGTCATCTAGATACAACGTTAGTATCTAGAATGGCCCCAATGCTGATAAGTGGTTGAAAAGGCTTTTTACACCGGGAAACACTGTTCTCTGAGACACTAGTTTAAGTGGGGCTGGTGGTGGGGAAAACGCAACAGTTGGATTGGCAGGCAGACTCTAACCCTCACTACTGTTTTTTTGCGGGGAGGAGTGGAACAGGAGTCTGCTACACAATGATGTCATAGACACGGCCCACTCGGCCCAGCCACTCCCTCACAGCCTGGCGAACTCTGATGTCGGTCACGTGGCAGGTCAGTTGACTGATGCACGGGAACACTGCGGGCTGAAGGGCCGTGAAGGTTTGGTCTGGGAGAATCTGAATCTGATTGAGAACTGTTAGCACCATGTTGGTCCACGCCTAAGAGAAAGGATTTAAGAAAATTAGTGGCTTCTCCCCTGGTTTTATTTGAACACTTGAGTGTGGCCCTGCCAATTTGGATTTTTTTTTTTTTTAAACAGGCTTTAGTTGTAATAAATTAGTTTTCACTCATTTAATATGCCTATAATTGTTGTTTTAACTTCACATACATAAAGATGGGCAGAGGCTCACCTTATTTTCAGCTTTCACAAACTACTAAGCTCCTACTTATTCCTTAGATTTAAAAAAAAAAAAATCCTTGCCATCTCATAATGAGATTTCCATAGGCCATTAATCTCAAACTCATTTTTTGATGCACCATAGAATTACACTCAAAGCCTCCCTGAAGAATGAGAATTTTTATGTGTACGGGATGGACTAGGAAAACTTGAGATGAAAACAATTTGAAAAAAAAATTCATTGGCATAACCATACAATATTCACTTTGCTTTTTTCTTTTATATAATGCTTCATAACTACAGAATTTCCTCTGTAGTGCCATTTTCAAATGACACACTAAGAACTCAATGCCAGTTAAAGCTTACTTTTTAAGACAGAGTCTCTCTGTGTTGTCCAAGCTGGAGTACGATGGTGCCATCTCAGCTCACTGCAACCTCTGCCTCCTGGGATCAAGCAATCTTCCTGCCTCAGCCTCCCAAGTAGCTGGGATTACAGGCATGTGCCACCTCGCTTAGCTAATTTTTGTTTTTTGGTAGAGATAGGTTTTGCCATGTTTGTCCAGGCTGGTCTTGAAAAAGCCTACATTTTAAGCTTAAGTCTCACCTTATTTCTACAGGTAAGTTCCTCATTCTCAATAATCTACATTACAATGGAGAAAAGCAGTTCCTGAAATTATTTGAGAGTACAATTCCAGCTTCATCACGACATATTGATACTAGCAGATCCTGCACTTAGGCTCAGGCAGCCCTCTGACTTCGGAGGGAAATCGGTTCGTGCCCCCTACCTGTTTCTGTACATCTTTTTTCTTTTTTGCTCATTTATTTACTCAAGTACAGTTAAACATTCAGATGCAAATGTAAATTTGAAATTACAAATTTAAACAATGAACTAAATTCTTTAATTCAACTTTTTTTGTCTTATAATGTTAAGAAATACTGGACCTCGTGAAGCCCTAAATGTCTTATTTTTTTAACTCATTTTTTAAAAATTGCATGTTAGGTTTGGGGGTACATGTGAAGAACATGCAAGATTGTTGCACAGGTACACACGTGGCAGTGTGATGTGCTGCCTCCCTCCCCATCACCTATATCTGGCATTTCTCCCCATGCTATCTGTCCCCAACTCCCCAGCCCTGTCCCTCCCCTATTTCCCCCCGACAGACCCCAGTGTGTGATGCTCCCCTCCCTGTGTCCATGTGTTCTCACTGTTCCACACTCACCTATGAGTGAGAACATGCGGTTCTGTAAATCTTGGCCTGTATGTGCCCAATCTGCAAGGGGGAGGGGGACCCATCTAGTATTGGAAACCCAGCCTCCCGCCCGCCTCCTCTAGGCTGCAGGACGGTACCTGGATCTGTGCTTCTGCGTCTCTCACCGAGACACTAAGGGAACTCCCGGTGGAGCCTGAGCGGGGCCTCTTGTCCTGCCGCAGCAGCTCGGGGCCCGCGCTGAAGGAATGCCGCATTTGCCCTTGATCCATCAAGTGCTGGGGACGCTGAAGCAGCGGGGAGTCCTGGCCCCTGGGGCCCAGTGGCTCTCCTTTCTTCTCCACTTTGACGTCTTTGGGGAACGCAGGCACGTTTTGCTGCTGTTTCCTCTTTTTGTATTCGGTCATCAGCTTTGAAATGGTCTTGTCGGCCGCCATGCTGTAGATTTTGTTCCCTGCGTTCTCCCACCACTCCTCCTTGCGGCTGGGATCCTTCTTCTCCACCTTGGGGCTGGGAGGCAGCAGCAGGTCCCCACCCCCGGCCTTCAGGCTCAGGGACTCACCTGTGTGCTCCCGGGGCTGGCTTCTGTCGTCCTCGGAAGGGGTTTCTTTCCCAGAGAAGCCCCCGGTGGAGGGGGTGGATGACTCCGACTGGAAGGAGGGCAGGATGAAGAACGGGTCGCCCTTGAAGATGGGAGGCTCCTCCATGCAGTTCTCCAGGTCCAGGTGCATCTGGATGTAGTTGTTGCACAGTTCCATGCACAGCTTGTGCAGCCTCTTGACCAGCCACACCCAGTCCGCGTTGCTGACGGGCTGGACACTGAGCAAGGGCATCCGTGCCCGCCACTGTCTCTTCTCCTTGCCTCTCGGGGGGCTGACCTGGGCGGTTTCCTCAAAGATGTCTTCATCCTCGGATGAACACTGCTGGGAAGAGTCTGTGCTTCTCTCGTCCTCCTCAAAAAGGACCTTCTTCACTTGCTCGGCTGTGATGGTTTCTTGATTGGTGAGGACCGCACACACCAGGGCGTGGAAATAGATGTTAAAGCTCATGGCAGACTGGCGGTAGAGGTTGGCGGCACCCCCAATGCCAGACACTTTCTTCAGCAGGCACTTCAGCCCGGGGCTGGTGTCAAACTCTCTGGCCGTCCTGTAAGAGTCCAGCAGCAGGTCGAATATGACTGCCAAGTTCTGCATGGAGATGTATCTGAGGAAGCCAGCCAGCTTGGCTTCCGGCACTTGCATCGTCTTCTCCTCTCCAGGAGAGGGGCCTTTGACGAACTCTTCTAACAAGATGTCATATAAGTTCTGGAGTAAGACCTGATGAGACAGCAAGCTCACCACAATTTCCCTGAAAGACACGCTTCAAGTGAAAAGAGAGGGACTGATTAATGGTTTCTGCCTTATAGCAGGTATGTCAAAGCAGTATAGACATTACCCATTTTAGAATGATATACGCAGATTTACAAACTAAACTACCTGGACTCAAATGTTTTCCATGAAAAAGGGCATGCTTTTGGGGGCATTATGCGATAACCATTTTAATCACAACTAGTGGAATTCTTAACACTTTAAGAAATTCCCAAGGTTATAGAATATACAAGTTATGATGCCAAATTAACAATTATCAAGATATATTTGTGAAAAGACATCACTGTTGAAGGGGGTTGGAGGGTCTTTTTGCCTGTGAGGACACTGAATACATTTTGGGTTTTCTATAACCCATCACATGAGGTCAGGTGTGGAATTTTCCATTTGTGTTATCCTGTTGGCACTCAAAAATTTCAGATTTTGATGGATTTTGGCATTAGGAGTGCCCAACATGTACTATGTTTGCCAAACAAACATTTTAATTCACCAGTGTGGTTCAAGATGGTTTTGGTTTACAAGTTTCATTTCTTTTCACTGCTCTTAGAATTTTATGGAAATAGTTTAGGCTATTATATGGCCAATTAATTCCCCAAACTGCATAATTATAAAATTATGACAACTGTTATTAAAAATATTAATTTCAAAGGTCTAGCCATTATGTTAATAACATTTTGCTTTATGTCTATGACTTTGAATGTAAAAATTTGTATAAGTAGGAAAAGTGCTTTTCTAACAGCAGAAAATGACAAATTGTACATAAGTCTTAATGTTAACTTTGCCCTTTGTGTGGTCCTTACTGAGGGAAAACACGTTACTCTCAAGATGAAATGAATCACAGAGGACTGTTATTCAAAAATGGTTACCTTTTAAAATAAATCACTTAAACATAAAAGTTACTACTTCAACTTTTTTATGTACACAATTCACTGGTATTAAGTATATTTATAATGTTGTGTAACCATTACTGCTATCAATTGCTAAAACCTTTTCATCAGTTTTAATCAATTTTTTTCATCAAATTTTATTTATTTATTTTGAGATGGAGTGTCGCTCTTGCTGCCCAGGCTGGAGTGCAATGGCGTGATCTCACCTCATTGCAACCTCTGCCTCCTGGCTTCAGGTGATTCTCCTGCCTCAGCCTCCAGAGTAGCTGGGATTACAGGCATGTGCCACCACACCTGGCTAAGTTTGTATTTTTAGTAGAGACAGGGTTTCTCCATGTTGGTCAGGCTGGTTTCGAACTCCTGACCTCAGACGATCCACCTGCCTTTGCCTCCCAAAGTGCTGGGATTACAGGCATGAGCCACCGTCTCCAGCTTTCATCATTTCTAACAGCAACTTTGTACCCATTAAACAACTCTCCATTCCCCAGCCCCAGCTCCTACTTAAGCTACCAGTAAACCTGAATACGGATTATTCTGAAAAAGGGACTCCAAAAGTTTATACCAACTTGGTCCAAAAGCTACTACTTTGTTCTAATGTTTTCTGTCCATACTATAGGAAGTGAACTAAAAAGAGTTCAGACAAGTCTGTCCCCATGATACCATAACATCCTAAGGGAAAGGACAATATCGTATTCATCTTGCTGTCCCCAGTAACTGGGAAAATGGTGAGTAGCAGCGTTCAATAAGTCTCCAAGTCAAAGAATGAAAGCAGGCTGGCTCTGGGCACAGGCTGCCTGAAGGAGATGCTCCCCTGAGAAATGGCTCTGACATTTGAACCCCACTCCCCTAGGATCCTGGATCCCTGACGCAGGAAGCACCACCAGAGGGGTGAGTTTAATCAGTCTGGTGAAGGCGTGAACCCCTTCACTCATAACACTGTTTTTTATTACTTTCCCTGAGAAATGGCAAGCCACTTTCCAGCCAGCACCTAAAGAGAGGCCAATGCAAAGCCACCTCTGAATTGTGGAGTACTTTCATCCACCGAGATCATTTTTTTTGGATGCTTTAAGAGATACAGCCGCTAACTATGCATATAAAAAAGGGCAGCAAATCCCCTTTACCTTAGGTTTGGGTTAAAGGGTGCAGAGACGAGAAAACGGAGTGGGAGGGAAATAATACTGAAGAGATCAAAATTTCAGAGAGATAAGGGAAAAGGGAAACAATTTTATAGATATCCAATTCCTAATCATTTATGCTGACGGGAGACAAGAAAGATCTCAAACCAAATCGACAAATAACTTTGTAATGCAGCACACCCAACCAAGGTTTCAAGCTTTTTCTCAGCACATCTTTGATGTCTGCCTTCCTCCTGCTGCTTAAGGGCAAAGGAAAGCCAGTCTCCAGATTGGATAATTGAGAGTTAATTGCATAACAACTGGTTGACTTAAAACATGCTTATGTATATCTTAAAGCGCTAATTAAGATGTGGATTGACTAAAGCTTGGGGCTATCAATGTCAAAACTATTAAAACAAACCCAAACAAACCAGCATAGCTTTCTCTATTTAAATGCTGTAATCTGGTTTTAGGATTACATCTAAAAGATGCATTTGGCCGGCATATAATTTTCCATAGGTCTCACTCATCTTCCACTACATCCTATGCTAAACTAAGAATTGCCCCTGCAAATAACAGTCAAATGTAAGAATGCAAAGCATACAGAGTTTGGCTGAGGGCTCTTAAGGAATGTTAAGGAATGTCCTTTGGCTCAGTGGCCAGTGGCATTGGTGAAAGAATTTAATGTGCTTATTTTGTTTTGCTTAACTACGAGTGGGTAATTGCCCATTAAGAGTGCTAAGTAAATTTATGAGCCATGTTGGTATATTTTAAAACTATAACCTTTTAAAACCAATAACAAAAGGGTATTAGGCTATTCTCCTATATTTTATTTATGATTTGAATGCAGCCTATTATTCCTTTTTCCTACCTTCACATCAAAAATATTTCAGCAAGAATAATTGGCTAAATGTGAATCAGAAATAGAAAAAAAGGAAGAAACTGAAATTCTGAAGTAAAGCAATGCTTAAAGCTGTCAAAGGATTGCACAATTTTGGTATATAAAATTAAAAATAACCACTTAAAAATTAGTGACTGGTGGTTGAGGGATAAAGGGGCTAGAACTGGGGAGGAGCTCATGGGATTTTGGTAAAGTTCTATTCCTGAATTTGGAATTTTTTTTGTTCATACTTCATAACTTTTGCACATTCCACATTTTTTGATATGTACCAATAATTGACCAAAAATTATTAACTATAAATTTCACTCAAGTGATTGTTATAGTAATCAAACTGCCCCGAAAACTCAGCTACCTTTTTTTTTTTTTTTTTTTTTTTTTTTTTTGAGATCAAGTCTCATTCTGCCACCCAGGCTGGAGTGCAGTGGTGTGATGTCAGCTCACTGGAACCTCTGCTTTCAGGGTTCAAGTGATTCTCCTGCCTCAGCTTCCTGAGTAGCTAGGATTACAGGCATGAGCCAGAATGCTTGGCCCAATCACCCAAAGCTTGTGAAATGATACCAACTATCTTTGTTTGGGCTGCTGTAACAAAATACCATAGACTGGGTGGCTTACAAACAACGGAATTTGGTTTCCTGTAGTTTTGGAGGCTGGATGTCTGAGATCAGAGTGCCAGCATGGGTGGCTTCTGGTGAAGGCTCTCTTCCAGACTACAGATGGCCATCTTCATGGATCCTCACATGGCAGAAAGAGGGCAAGGGAGCTGTCTCTTCTTTTAAGGGCACGAATCCCATTCCTGAGGGCTCCACACTCATAACCTGATTTCCTCCTGAAGGTCCTACCTACCATCATCACGCTGGGGGTCAGGAGTATAAAACACATCAATGTGGGAGGACACATTCTGTCCATTGCACAAACTCTCTCCTTGAAATGGGAAAGGACAGAGGCCTTATGCTCAACCAGACCCAGTTTTGTTTTATTTTTGAGGTGGAGTGTCGCTCTGTTGCCCAGGCTGGAGTGCAATGGCATAATCTTGGCTCACTGCAACCTCTGCCTCCTGGGTTCAAGGCCTCCTGAGTAGCTGGGACTACAGGCACACATCACCATGCCCGGCTAATTTTTGTATTTTTAGTAGAGATGGGGTTTCACCATGTTGTCTAGGCTGGTCTCAAACTCCTGACTTCAGGTGATCTACCTGTCTTGACTCCCAACGTGCTGGGATTACAGGCATGGGCCACTGCACCCAGCCCAGATTCTGGCTGCACCACTTTGCAGTTGTGTGTCCTTGGGCAAGGGACCCAAGATTCTCTGTATGCACCCTCAGTGGGGAAATGGGAGTAGGAATACCTATCCACTGTGTTTCAAACACAGCACTCAAATAATCATTACTGTTAGTGTGTCAGAAGTTTAAAAGTGGGAAATGTTGGTCATTGCCTTCATCCTCAAGTCTAGGAACAGTATTAAGGGAGGATGATAGTATTTACAAAGGGCAAGTTTCTTGGGGCAGAGCATAGACCTTTTTGTCTCCCAGTAGCCATTTTTTGTTCCTGGGGAAGTTTATATACTTCTCACTGAAACAATCAGAACCATGCCTCAATTTACTTTTTTATTTTTTAATGAGACAGGGTTTTGTTCTGTTGCCCAGGCTGGAGTACAGTGACACATCATGGCCCACTACAGCCTTGACCTCCTGGGTTCAAGTGATCCTCCCACCTCAGCCTCCTGAGTAGCTGGGACTACAGGCATGCACCATCACACCGGGCTAAATTTTTATTTTTACATTTTTGTAGAGATGGGTTTCACTATGTTACCCAGGCTGGTCTCAAACTTCTGAGCTTAAGTAACCCTCCTGCAGTTCTGGGATTACAGTTGTGAACCATTGCCCCTGGCCTATTTTTTTTTTTTTTTTTTTAAAGATTTTAAGTGTGTGACATTATGAGTTGGGTTGTGTTTCCTCAAATTCCTATGCCGAAGCCCTAACGCCTGGTACCTCAGAATGTGACTATATTTGAAGAAAGGGGTTTTTAAAGAGGTAATTAAGTCAAAATGAGGTTAGGAGGGTTAGTTTTAATTCAATATGACTGGTGTCTTTGTAAGAAGAGGAAATTCGGACATAGACCTGTACAGAGGAAGTTCATGCTAAGACACAGGAAGAAAATGGTTATCTACATGTCAAGGACACGGGCCTAGGAAGAAACCTTCGTATCTGACTTCTTGATGCCAGAACTGTGGGAAAGACAGTTCTGTTATTTAAGTCACCCAGTCTGTGGTACTTTCTGTGGCAGCCCGGGTAACCTAATACATATGAAATGTGGGGAATTTGGTTACAAGGCGAACAGTTTCTATGAAAACCTTTGCTAAATGACTCCACAAATGTTTTCAGTATTCCTGGCCAGAGCCTGGCTTACAATCTTGGAAGTGAATGAACATTCTTACTTATAAACGCTCCATGAGTTAAGAACTTAGGTACGAACCTTTTCTTGGTGTGTCCATTTGGTTTTTCATCAGGAGGCAGCTCAATAATGAGCTGGCAGGACTGAGCGTGGTCAAAGTTGTTTGGCGTCTTTGGTGAGCACTGAGTGTCCAGCATAAACACCTGTGTGGGTGTGCAAAGGTACAGTTCAGAACTGGGACTACAGGCATGCACCATCACACTGGGCTAAATTTTTATTTTTACATTTTTGTAGAGATGGGTCTCACTATGTTACCCAGGCTGGTCTCAAACTTCTGAGCTTAAGTAACCCTCCTGCAGTTCTGGGATTACTCATTCTCTGCTTGACCTGTCAGGGATCAGCTGGATGACCCTGGGCAAGTTGAGCCTCATCATAAGATGAGGATGATAACCGTTTCCTATTTGATATGCTTGTTGAGGGAGTTAATTGATATGTGTATACTACATATGCAAAGCATTAGAACAGAGGAGCCAATAATCAGGGTTAGCCGTTGACACTAATACTAGCGACCCTACTATTTCTACCATGTGACAATTCATTATACCCCAAATAGCAAGTATTGATGCTTAATATTAACTAAGAGTAAATAAAGAGAGGCTTTGTAAAAGATTCTCTCTGATTTTTGAGCCTGTTTGGTATCATATTCAACACAGGGATGAAAAAATGAGTTAGGACTTGTCAGGATTCCTGATGGTTACTGAAAGGGCCACAGTGCTCTACGAGGCATGGCAGATGTGACTAAGAAAATAGTGAGAACTTACTGGATCTCTGACCAACACTCCCCCGCCCAAATTTTATTTTACATGACTTAAAATACTTTCACTACTTTCCTCTGGAAAGATCAGAAAAATAAATAAATAAATAAATAAATAAATAAATGTATATATATATATATATATGTGTGTGTATATATATATATGTATGTGTGTATATATATATATATTTGAGACAGGGTCTTACTCTGTTGTCCAGGCTGGAGTACTGTGGTGTGAGCATGGCTTACTGCAGCTTCGACCTCCCTGGCTCAAGTGAGCCTCCCACCTTAGCCCCTTGGTGTACACCACCATGCCCAGCCATTTTTTAAACATTTTTTTTTCAACCAGGTGTGGTGGCTCACACTTGTAAACTCAGCACTTTGGAGGGCCAAGGCAGGCGGATCACGAGGTCAGGAGTTCAAGACCAGCCTGGCCAACACAGTGAAACCCCATCTCTACTAAAAATACAAAAATTAGTTGGGCGTGATGGCACGTGCCTGCAATCCCAGCTACTTGGGAGGCTGAGGCAGGAGAATCGCTTGAACCTGGGAGGCAGATGTTGCAGTGAGCTGAGATCACATCACTGCACTCCGGCCTAGGGGACACAGTGAGACTCTGTCTCAAAAAACAAACAAAACCACATTTTTTCTTTTTCAAGTTTAAGGTCCATGTGCAGGATATGCAGTTTCTTATATAGGTAAATGTATGCCATGGTGGCTTATTGCACAGATCATCCCATCACCGAGGTATTAAGCTCAGCATCCACTAGCTATTCTTCCTGATCTTCTACCTCTCCCATTCCCCACAGCTGCCCAGTGTGTGTTGTTCCTTGCTATGTGTCCATGAGTTCTCATCCATCAGCTCCCACTTATAAGTGAGAATGTGTGATGTTTGGTTTTCCGTCCCTGCGTTAGTTTGCTGAGGATAATGGCCTCCAACTCCATCCATGTTCCTGCAAAGGACATGATCTCATTCCTTTTTATGGCTGCATAGTATTCCATGCACCACGTTTTCTTTATCCAGTCTATCACTGATGGACATTTAGGTTGATTCCATGTATTTGTTATTGTAAATAGTGCTGGGATTAACATACAGTGCATGTATCTTTATAAATGGAATGATTTATATTCTTTTGGGTATATACCCAGTAATGGGATTCGCTGGGTCAAATGTTATTTCTGCCTTTAGGTCTTTGAGGAATCACCACATTGGCTTCCATCATGGCCGAACTAATTTACACTCCCACGAACTAATTTACACTCCCACCAACAGTGTAAAAGTGTTACTTTTTCTCTACAACCTCACCGGTATCTGTTGTTTTTTGACTTTACTAATAGTCATTCTGAGTGGCCTGAGATGGAATCTCATTGTGGTTTTGATTTGCATTTCTCTAATGATCAGTGATGTTGAACTTTCTTTCATGTTTGTTGGCTGTATGTTTGTCTTCTTTTGAGAAGTGTCTGTTCAAGTCCTTTGCCCACTTTTTTTTTTTTTTTTTGTATTTTTAGTAGAGACGGGGTTTTACCATGTTGACCAGGATGGTCTCGATCTCTTGACCTCGTGATCCACCCGCCTTGGCCTCCCAAAGTGCTGGGATTACAGGCTTGAGCCACTGTGCCCGGCCCCTTTGCCCACTTTTTAATGGAATTGTTTTTTTCTTGTAAATTTATGTAAGTTCCTTGTAGATTTCATAAGAGATGGACTCTTAACGGTGTTGCTGAGGCTGGTCTTGAACTCCTGAGCTCAAGCAATCCTCCTGCCTTGGCTGCCAAAAGTGCTGGCATTACAGGTGTGAGCCACCAGGCCCAGCAAGATTAGAATGTTTTAAAAATACTTTCTTTCAAAATCTTGTAAGAATTCTCAGATTTTCAAATAATGGGTTAAGAGCGAATACAGAAGGAGAATTTGGGATTGAGGAAGAAATAGAGAAGTATTAAGAAGTGAAAGATTGGCCAGATCTGGTGGCTTATGCCTTTAATCCCAACATTTTGGGAGGCCGAGGTGAATGGATCACTTGAGGTCAGGAGTTCAAGACTAGCCTGACCAACATGGCGAAACCCTGTCTCTACTAAAAATGCAAAAATTAGCTGGATGTGGTGGTGCACACCTGTAATCTCAGCTACTTGGGAGGCTGAGGCAAAAGAATCACTTGAACCTGGAGGTAGAGGTTGCTGTGAGCTGAGATCGCAACACTGCACTCCAGCCTGGCAACAGAGCCAAATCTCAAAAAAAAAAAAAAAAAAAAAAAAAAAAAGGCAGAAAAAGAAGTGAAAGTTTCACTAAATAGTTCTCTGTTGCTCTTCACCGTTAATGATCTATTTCAGAAGAAGATTCCATTGGCTTTTTCATATTCTTGTTGTATGACTAGATAAGGTTGCACAGACCACTGTATGTACACGTGCACATTCTTTAGCCAGATGTAAAAACTGCTTATGTGGAGAAGCTATCCTTGTGGAGGGCCACCTTGTTGGTTTCTCTGTTCTCACTTGTAGCTACACCATTGCTGCAGCAGCCACAATTGCCATGCTGCTAGGAGTAGCTCCTTGTTGCAGCCTTTTCTTCTGTTCCAACTTCTGCAGACTGGCCATGGAGACTTCATGGGATGTGCTCCCTTCCTTCAGAGCCAGCAGAATCATCAAGTCCCAGATGTTAGGCATGTGCTCATCACAGGTGTGAGAAACCAAAGGTAGAAGATTCTTGTCCCACTACCTCAAGATAGCTGGGAAAAGCCCTGCGGAAGCCAAACCTGGCCAAGAAACTTCTCAACTAACTGAGCTCTTTACATGGGTAATCAGGGAATCCTAGATGATCAGTGTGTTAAGAGAAGATTTTAAGAATTTAAACACATCTGGTAGAGAAAGGGGCCTTGCCTTTTGAGTATAACTTCCAACTGTTTTCTTCAAATTTAACTCGAACGTGACAGTTCAATTACATTTGTAAAACTTGTTTAATATTTTAAACCCACATCATGTATACACATTAATATATATATGCAAAATAGTGTCTGCATATGAAGACCCAGTTTAGGCATGTCTGTTGCTATTACATGATGGAATATGTAGCCAGTCAATGGTTATTGGGAATTTTGTCCATTTCCATTTTTCACTACTATGAACAGCATGGTTATGAATATATGTGAATTCAGGGATGGCATTTAGCTGGACTGCTGCTTAGAGTCACATATAGGGTTTCCTAGAGGCAGACTGCCATATCACTTAGGAGCTGAGGGCATCTCTGTAGCTCATGACACTACTGTATTCTTCTGATATTTCTGTGATTCGGTTACCCACTGATTCAACAAAAACATACTAAGCATCTTCTCTAGGCCTTGCTCTAAAAATACCAAGGTAAATATACAGAATATGTTCTCTGCTCCTCAGGAGCTAACGATCAAATTTTGTGACTTCTTACATGTGTCTCAAGAAGAAAAAGCCATTGGTATATGATGATTCCTGCATGAGTGAGTACACTTGAACTGTAATGCTACATTCAACTCAAATTTAGGAAGCAATGTTTAAATGTTAAGTTCTGTGTTGTGAATTAAAGATATATATATATAAAAAAAACACCCAAATGAGTGGCATTGTTAGGCACTCACAGTTTAGCAGTAACAATAATATTTAAGCGACTACTTATAGGTAGCTCAAGCAAGTTAGGTATAAGGGACAGTGACCACGCTGCTGAAATCATTCTATTGGATCTGGGCACTAGTGGATGCAACAAACAAGAGATGATGGAGAGGAGGTAATGCTGTTGATTGGGTCCAGTCATTCCCGGCAAAGAATGGTACTGGCAAGAGTTGGGAGTCACAAGATGTATGTCCCTCAGGGAATGAAAGGCAATTTGGTGATGCAAGACCTTCAAGGGAGGTCTCCTAACATGTGTTTCAAGTTTCTAGAGCCCTTGAGATCAAAAGCCCCCACCCTTACCTGCTGGGCCATGGCTCGAATGCGCCAGTACTCGGCCTCGGCACTTGGGGAGGAGGATGGGGCTGCCACCCGCACCTGGCAGCCTTCCCCGCTGAAGCTCTCCGTGCCACTGTGGAAGCAGCCCAGCAGGTCCTGGGGAGAAACAGCAGATGCCCAGTGAGTGCATCTCACTGAGGCCCAGCCTTGGATCTGAGATCATCACTGTATCTGAGACAAAAGTACAGGCCTAGCAACTTCTTTCTCACTCTCTGCAAGATCTAAAGTGAGACTGCCTGCTTAGAGGCAGAACCCACCAACATGATAAGGCATCAGGGAGCTAGAGACAGTTAGAAGTGCTCCAGGGAGGGCTTCCTTCCAGTGATGTACCTTCACTGGCTTGAGTGTGGCGGAGAACGCATCTTGCAGGGCACAGCAGGCAAGCCTCCACATCTCCTCAGTGAACACAGGGCCTGCTGTCACAAGGACATATCTGCCAAAAGAAACACGCAAAGGAGTCCTGAATCCCATTTTGTCGCCACAAAATTTAGGCCGTATAGACTCATGCGTAGATTTATTCTGCAGCTCCCTGGAAAGTCTCCCTATCTCTCAACCGTCTAGTATTCCACTGTCAAAATACTTCCTAAACCATTTTAATACAGAAATATCAACGATCCCCTCTACAAATAGGCCAACCATTAAACTTAGATTTGTATGCAAGACTGTATATATTCTGTACTGAATTTTGGATTCTAGTCCCATTTTCCATCACTCCTTTCCAACTAACAAGCAAAATGAAATCTCAAACTCTTATATTGTCACTTATAACTCTTATCTCAATGCTATTTGTTCATTCTGTTTTTCTGCTTGGAAAGTCCCCACCTTCCCCATGCTTGTCTACCTTAGAGGATGTGACCAGTGTCACTGCCACAACAAGACCCTTGCTGGCTGCCCTACGGGCACTTCGCAGTTACTCCGCACTGTCACCATTTTTCATGTGACCCTCTCTCTTGCTGTATCATTTTGAATAGGCTCTAAGCTTCTTGAGGGTAGGGCCTTTAGTTTAGATTACTTTCTGGGAACTGGAGTACTTAAATTTGTTTTGTTAACTTTAATTATCATGGGTACATGGTATATGTATATTTGTATGGGGTGCATGTTTTAATGCAAGCATGCAATGTATCCTAATCACATCACGGAAAATGGGCTACCCATCCCCTCAAGTATTTGTCCTTTTTGTTACCAGGAGTCCAATTACACTCTTTGTTATTGTAAAATGTACAGTATTGTTGACTATAGTCACCCTGCTGTGCCATGAAATACTCAGTCTTATTCATTCTTTCTGACTACTTTCTTTGTACCCATTAACCATCCCCATCCCCCACTACCCTTTGCAGCCTCTGGTAACATACTTCGATTGTTCAATTGTTTTGATTTTTAGCTCCCACAAATAAGTAAGAACATATATGATATTGGTCTTTCTGTGCCTGGCTTATTTCACTTAGCACAACCTCTCATTCCCTTTTTGTTGTAAATGACAGAATCCCATTCTTTTTTATGGCTGAATAGTACTCCGTTGTGTATGTGTACCACATTTCCTTTATGCATTCATCTGTTGATGGACACTGATAGGGTTTGGATGTGTCCTCACCCAAATCTCATCTTGAATTCCCATATGTTGTGGGAGAGACCCAGTGGGAGATAACTAAATCATGGAACTGGGTCTTTCCCACACTATTATAGTGAACAAGTCTCACGAGATCTGATGGTTTTAATGAGTTTTCCCTGAGCCAGTGGTATAGTTCCAGTCCAAGTCTGAAAGCCTGAGAACCGGGAGATGTAAGTCCAGTCCAGAGGCAGGAGAAGACTGATTTTCCAGCTCAAATGGTCAGGCAGGCAAAGGACCGTCTTACTTGGCATTTTTGTTCTATTTTGATCTTCAACTGATTGGACGAGGCCCACCCCCATTAGGGAATGCCATCTGCTTTGCTATCTTCCCCAGTTTAAATGTTCTTCGAATCCAGAAACACCCCCAGAGACACACCTAGAATAACGTTTGACCAAATGTCTGGGTACCCTGTGGCTCTGAGCAAGCTTCCTCTTTGCCTGCCACCATCCACGTAAGATGTGACTTGCTCCTCCTTGCCTTCTGCTATGATTGTGAGGCTTTCCCACCACGTGGAGCTGTAAGTCCATTCAGCCTCTTTTTCTTCCCAGTCTTAGGTGTGTCTTTATCAGCAGCATGAAAATGAACTAATACACTTAGCTTGCTTCCAAATTTTGACTATTGTGAACATGCAAGGGCAGCTATCTCTTTGATATATTTATTTCTTTTCTTTTGAGTATATACCCAGCAATGTGATTGCTGGATCATATGGTAGCTCTAATATTAGTTTTTTGAGGAACCTCCAAACTGTTCTCCAGTAGTGGCTGTACTAATTTGCATTCCCACCAACAGTGTATGAGGGTTCCCTTTTCTCCAGACATTCTCCAGAATTTGTTATTACCTGTCTTCTGGATAAGCTATTTCAGCTGGGATGAGATGATATCTGATTGTAGCTTCAGTTAACATTTCTCTTATGGTCACTGATGCTGAGCACCTTTTCATAGGCCTGTTTGCCTTCTGTAGGTTTTATTTTGAGAAACTGAACCAGAGTACTTTGTAAAATGCCTTACACAATATACATTTGCTCACTAAACACTGAAATGAACAATTATTAGCATATAGTCATTTTTAATTACAAAAGTCTGCTTACAGAAAGCAATGCAAAAATAGATGGCTACCACAAAGACAATGAAATTTCCTTAGATTTTAAAATAAAAACTCCAGCTTTGTGGAGAGCCAGGAAAGCTTTTGCTCACCTAATACAGGAGCAGCCCACTCTGGAGATAGTTTCGGTGGGCTTGGCCACACAGGCGACCAGCAGCTCGAAGAGCTCCTTCAGCATGGTATTGATCATGCTCTCGTACCTGATATCTACGGGAAACAGTAAAATCACAGTTTCACGCAGCTCTAGTGTAAAGAGATAGATTGAAATGGCCATCTACAGCAACAGAAAGTCTGAGTGATAAAAAGATATGCAGACATCTGGGAAAAAGAAATAGAACAATGAGAAAAATGGTCCTATCCTCCACCCCCTAAAAAACCAGTAAAACAATAATTTTCTTAGATTTTTACCCAATTTCAGCATGTTCCATCCACTTCTAGAGAAATAAAAATAAAATATGTAGTTCACTTTTATGTGTTCCTACTATATCAGAGTCTCACACTGTGCAAAGCAATACCTGGCCAGGAACACGTGGCTACCCTTAGGGATATGGTTACCAGTTACCACCTATATGTGGAAAAACTCACTTGTTTTCTTTTGCAATTGATGTTCTTTTTTTTTTTTTTTTTTTTTTGCAGGGTAAATTGTCTTTGCTAAACTTAGACTCCCCTGGGGTCAACATCCTCCTTAACTTCTCTGTCCTTTCCAGCAAGGGAACCTCTTGTCTCACCGTGATATTCCATGCCTTCGATTTATAAGCTCCGTGGCTAGCATCAATGCTTCTTCTGCTCCTGGACACCTAGATCGTCACACATGCGGCTCCACTGGGACCACAGCAGACATACCCCTGCCTCTAGGTCCCTCTCCATCTGCTGGCTTCAGCTTACTGTCCATCTCACACTTTCACAGCCTCTACAAAGTGCCCTCAATATTAAAACATTTCTCTTCATCGCTAGCTTGTTAAGCTACTTCTTGGCCCATAATAGAAGCCTTTTTAAAAACCTACCTCCTCCATTTAGCCTCCCCAGATGAAGCAGGATGACAGGAGATATCCACCTATCCCCCCAGGCTACAGGGATATTTCTTTATTATATATCTAAATTTGCCTCCCCTCTCCTAATGCCCAGGTATCCCAGATCTCTTACTATGTATTTTTTTTTCTCTCTGTTTCTTTCTTTTTTTTTTTTTAAAGACGGAGTTTCGCTCTTGTTACCCAGGCTGGAGTGCAATGGCGCAATCTCGGCTCACCGCAACCTCCGCCTCCTGGGTTCAGGCAATTCTCCTGCCTCAGCCTCCTGAGTAGCTGGGATTACAGGCACGCGCCGCCATGCCCAGCTAATTTTTTTGTATTTTTAGTAGAGACGGGGTTTCACCATGTTGACCAGGAGGGTCTCGATCTCTTGACCTCGTGATCCACCCACCTCGGCCTCCCAAAGTGCTGGGATTACAGGCTTGAGCCACCGAGCCCGGCCATTCTCTCTGTTTCTTTTTTGATGGAGTCCTATGCTATTGCCCGGGCTGGAGTGCAATGGTGCAATCTTGGCTCACTGCAACTTCTGCCTCCCCGTTCAAGCGATTCTCCTGCCTCGGCCTTCCGAGTAGCTGGGATTATAGGCAGGTGCCACCACACTTGGCTAATTTTTGTATTTTTAGAACAGACGGAGTTTCACCATGTTGGTGAGGCTGTTCTCAAACTCCTGACCTCATGATCTACCCACCTCAGCCTCCCAAAGTGCTGGGATTACAGGCATGAGCCAGGTATTTTATTTTCTGCCACACATATATTTTGAGCATTCTGCTTGAAAATTTTGTAGACGACACATGGGTATGAATTTTCTCTTTGAAAATCTTCTTTTACAAGACTGGCACTGGCCAGTTTGTTCTATTTTAATAATTCCCAGGACAAAAACCCTGCATTTGTATTTGCATTAGGTATTTACTATGACTTTTTAAGACAATGATGCTGTCTACCAAAGAAATACCCAGAATGAACTGCTGTGGCACTTTAAATACCTGAATGTAGAAAGCTTTGAATGTGCTCCACCACCAGCTCACAGGACAGTCCAATAGCGTGCTTGAAGTTGGCAGAGGCCACATCCCAGTAGGAATGGTCTTTATGGCTACGGCGGAGCCACAGAGACATCACAGGAAGGAGGAGGTGAACCACTGCATAGATACCGAACCCTGGTCCTAAAAAAGAAAAGTCAGCATAGCAACAATCTGTAATGAAAGGGAAGCTCTTTGCCTTCACCTGACATTGTTGTTCTCTTTTGAAGGATCCCTGCATTTGCTGAGAAAGTGCAGAGAAAAGAATTTACTGCTGATGGGGGAATGTACAGTCTTCAGTGGCATTTTCCCTTTTTGTTTTCGCAGGATTTTAGTTATGTGGGCAATATATGAATATATTCCTAAAACATTCAAATATTGCTGGTAAAGCTAAAATATCACCTTGTCAACTCCTAGGACCCAGAAGTAAACACACAAACAAACATGTATAAGAAAATACCCTTTGAAATCTAACTCTATATATTTATGAAATCTAACTACATGGGGAAATGTAGAGTTTTGTTTTTATTTTATATAAATGAGATAATGTGAACTTTGCTCTGCATACTCATGTTTTTCACTTAATAATAGTTGTCAGAACTGGCCATGGCAGTGCACGCCTGTAATCTCAGCTACTCTGCAGGCTGAGGTGTGAAGATTGCTTAATTAAGCCCAGTAGTTTGAGACTAGCTTGGGCAACACTGTGAAATCCCTTCTCTTAAAAAAAAAAAAAAAATTGGCTGGGCATTGTGGAGTGCTGGTAGCCTCAGCAACTCAGGGAGGCTGAGGGGGAAGGATCACTTGAGCCCAGGAATTTGAGACTGCAGTGAGCTATGATCACACCACCTGCACTCCAGCCTGGGAAAGACCTCCGTTTCAGAGAAACCCCCAAAATGTTAGAGATTATTCTTTGTCAGCAAATTTGGATATTCCTCGTTTACTTATCCATTACAAACTTTACAACAGTTTACTTATCCATTTCCTTACTGATGAACATTTATGGTGTTTCTAATTTTTTTTTGTTTTATAGACTATGCTATGATGAAAATCATTGTGCTTATTTGTTCAACATTGTGGAAATGTTGAGGAATCTTTGAAGTTATGATTACAAAAGCAAAGCATCCATTTTATAATAAGCATGGAAATTACATGAGAATACAAAAGAAAAAACTCACCTAGAGACAGTCACATTTCGATGTATTTCCTTTTAGGACTTTTTGAATGCATGTCTGCTTGTATTTATAATTGCATAAAATTTCATATAGTTGATATTGTACTCTGTAGTATGTGAATTTTAACATAAGGCTTTGTAAATATTCACATCATTAAATATTATTCGCAGATATTTTAATGCCTGCAGAATATTTATATGCTTTTATCACAATTAACTGCTTCCACTTTAGGGTGTTCATAACTTTGGTATTCAAGGTATTTCAGCAAACATCTTATATATACAATCTTGTCTTTATTATTGATAATTTCCTTAGATGACATGCTTCTAGGAACAGAAGGGGATTAAATGCTCTTCACACAAATTTAGTGGCAATCAGTGTGAAAGCAGAATATGGTACTGATCAGTACAACAGATTTAGAAATAGCAGTATGCAATTAATTCTATAAAATAGCTACTTATTCTTTGATGGAAGGCTTTTAACCTTTTAACATGTGGGAGTATCTATGGTGGTTTGTTTAATAATATAAACTTTGCTATAGATTTATGAAAAAGTGTCAATTATCAAGTCTTCATTATGATGAGTACAGACCTCCTCTTAGCATGAAAGTGGCTTCATTTAGGATCTGATTCTATTAGTAAAATACATTTCAATAAAAAAATTTTCTTTGATCTTGAGAAACTGGGATGAATACATGTATATACTAAAATTGATTAATTCACAATAAATAAATTCCTAAATGTCATTCTTTTCTTAGACTCTCAGGTGCATTGTACGAGGTGAGCACTCACTGTCTTTTTCCAAGTTTAATCCCCTATGACCCTTGCACAAATGGGGTGTTGGTATCTTAATACTGCGTATAACTGCAAGTGGAAGACCCAGTGAGCCTAACCAACAGCCTAGGGACCAAGAGCATATGACTGTGAGATCCTGCTGCAAAGGAAGGCTGTGACCATGGAACACGGCAAAGCCAAATGGTTCATGGAGACACGGATGCCACAGCCTTGGTCTGATTAACGTGGACATCCCGCACATCCAAGTAACTGGCCACCACACAACATTTGTAACCAGACTTCTAGGAAGGAATGCAAACACTAAACAGGCCATATCTTAAACATCACTACCATTCAACAAACATTTATTGGGCATCTCTTACACGTGTGAAGCTTTGTACTAAGTCTAGGAAACAGTGAAAACAGGTAGACACCTGCAGAAATAGCCCTCCTGAAAAGAGTTATATGTATAAGCATTCCCCCAAATGACAGACAGAGAAATACTTACCTGGTGTTTTGGTCACATCTCTCAATAGCTCAAAGAGTAAATCCAAAGTTGGTGGTTGGTGCTGCCGTGGACAATTGGACACAGCCGCTGTCAGCTGCTCCAGCAGGATTATCCAGACTTCTATCAGACCTGGAAACCAAAAAGCAGACCAGTAGGAAATTCAGTTAGACATAATAACAATCCCAAGATCTTATTAAACATTGTATGTAAACTGCCAAGTGCTATACAGATGTGAGCCATCACCCAGCGTCTTAGTCTTCAGTGCCCACAGACGTGAGCAGATGATGATTTATGTGTTCTGACAAAGTCAAGGGGAAAAATACCACTCACATTTCCTCCTTCTTCACCTTTAATAAAAACGTGATAGAGTAAGGAAATTTTTTTTTTTTTGAGACGGAGTTTCGCTCTTGTTACCCAGGCTGGAGTTCAGTGGCGCGATCTCGGCTCACCGCAACCTCTGCCTCCTGGGCTCAAGCAATTCTCCTGCCTCAGCCTCCCAAGTAGCTGGGATTACAGGCACGCACCACCACGCCCAGCTAGTTTTTTGTATTTTTAGTAGAGACGGGGTTTCACCATGTTGACCAGGATGGCCTCGATCTCTCGACCTCGTGATCCACCCACCTCGGCCTCCCAAAGTGCTGGGATTACAGGCTTGAGCCACCGCGCCCGGCCTGAGTAAGGAAATTCTAAGTTGAAATGGCTGTCAGGTTTCTAGGGAGCTGATGATCACAAATCAATAAGATAGCCATCCAGTTCCATCACCTTCATCTATCTTTTTTTAAAAAATGATTTTATGGTGGTAAATATGTAGAACAGAAAAAGCCATTTTAGCCATTTCCACAAGGACAGTTCAGTGGTATTCATGACAACAGTGTTGTGCAACTATCACTACTGTTTCCAAAACATTTTCATCATCTCAAACCAAAACTTCGGAGCCATTAAACAGTTACTCTCCTTTCTTCCTCACTCCTGTCCTTTGTACCTCTAATGTACTATAAATTATGGTTGATTTTGAGGTGTGATAGTGGTGTCATGCTTATGTTTGTTATCTTTAAAGAACACACACAGAAACATCTACAGATAAAATGCTATGTTGGGGATTTGCCTTAAAATATCGAGAAAGAGGAAGAGAGAGCAAAGATAGACATGATCCAAGATTAGCCATAAATTGGTAATAGTTGAAGCTGGGTAAGTATATTATTCTGTTTAGTTCTGTATATTCAACATATAAGTATCTGTATATGTATATATTATGTATGTTCAAAATATACAAGTCTTGTATATGTTTGAAATTTCCATAAGGGAAAAATGTAATTATTTGCCTTTGAAAACAAGAGAAATAGTATCTGAGAATGTATCAATGTCGAGGATTGTTTAATTTTTTAAAACTAATTTAAAGCTGTTACTGATTTCCTTTTTTGTTCTTATTTACTACATCTACGTAATAGTAACTTTAAAGTCCTCGATATATTGATTATGTAGAAATCTTAGATAGGTGCTGGACTGAACTGTATCCCTTAGAAGATGGAGTTCCTAGAAAAAAAAGTCAAAGATTTGCACAAATGGGAAAGAGAATGTGGCCATTACATACACAACTGTTTACAGCTGTTTTAAATAGTGTTATTACAGATAAACAACATTAACTTCTGCTTATAATCATCTGGGTTGGAGGTTTAAAATGCTAAGTAAAACTTGTTCTTATCTAATCATTAAATTGAAACCTCTATTAGGCAATATCTAGCCACCTTCAATACTTTAATTGTTCTCTACATTAGATATTTATTCTTTCCTATAATTATTCCTCACAACTAAACCGAACTTGTGAGATTTTGTTGTTTATAATCTCCATCAAAAAATTTAAATCTCTTAGGCACCCCCATGAAATAAATTTGTAACATCCAAATAAAACAAAAACAAAAATCTTCCCCTCAGAAGTCCTTTATAAAAGAGTTGGAAATAACTTATACCCAGAAATTAGACCTATTTGAGGGTATGATATCCAATTCTAGATATAGAACAAGACAGGGTCTTCTGAGACAGGAGACAGAAGACAGAAGGCATGAGCTTGAGTTAATCCATCTGAAAATGATCCAGTTACTAGCTTGAACTCTGATTCACAGGAGATCACATGGGACCTAATTTGAAACAAATTCTTTAAAATCATTCCTTTCGTGAGCCTTCAGCGTCACCAGTCACAAATAGATTCTCTCTTTAGTAATGGCTTAATTTCCCCAATCTCTAACCAAATAGTCCTGTAGGAAGCAATTGTATAATGATTTGTTTTCTAAAAGGTATTAAAAGACAATTACCAATTTAAGTACCTGGGCACCAATGGAACTTCATTCCAATTTGCTAAAGTCGAGAGAATTGAGAGTTAGGAACTACTTACATGAAATTTGCAAATCTGCGCTAGTTTTAAACAGAGGAATCCATTTTAAAAGGATGGGTATAGAGGTATCCATTGTAAAGTGATGTTTTTGAAAAGTCCATGGAAACTTTAAGCAGACTTCTTGTGACAGAATTACAAAAAATAATTACAAAAATAGATGATCATTCTTATGATCTATGCTATGGTTTGACCATTTCCCCCAAAGTTCACATATTCATGGCAAGTGCATCTGGAGTCTTAGGATTTGATGCCTGCTCTGTTGGGTTTTTGGACTCACTTGGGGCATGTTACTCCTGTCTTGCCTATTTCTCCCCCTTTAGAATGTGAACGTCTGTCCTATGCCTTCCTACCCTTGTATTTTGGAAGCATGCAATTTGTTAACTTCACAGGCCCACAGCTGGAGAGAAATTTGCTTTGGAATGAATCATGCATTACTTTAAACAATACCTGATTTAGACGAGACTCTTGAGTTGGTGTTGAAACAAGGCTTTGAGACTCCTGGGATGGAATTAATGTATTTTGCATGTGAGAAGAACCTGAATTTTGGGGGCCAGAGTGGAATGCTATGGCTTGAATGTGTCCCCCAAAATTCATGTGTTGGAAACTTTATAATGCAACAGTGTTGACAGATGAGACTTTTAAGAGGTGATTAGGTCATGAGGGCTCTGTCCTCATGAATGGATTAATGTTGTTATCACGGACGTGAGTTAGTTATCTCGGGAATGGGTTCCCGATCAAAGCATGAGTTTGGCTCCCTTCTCTCCCCACCACTCTCAACTCCTTGAGTGCTCTCTTGCCCTTCCTCTGTGGGATGATACAGCAAGAAGGTGCTCATCAGATGCCAGCCCTCAACTTTTGGCTTCTCAGCCTCCGGAACTGTAAGAAATAAATCTGTTATTGATAAATTACTCACTCTCCGGTATTCTCTTATAGCAGTGCAAAATGGACTAAGACAATTTCCAGAAGCTTAAGATACTTTGTTTATGACTTATGCTTCTGGGAATATGAACACAGCAAATAACCTGGTTTAGTCCAATCAATTAACTTACCGGTGTCATCATCAAAATCAGACAGGACTGATTCAATTCCATCCTCACTGCTGGCTGACTGTTCTTGAAGTCTTCGAGGCAAGCTGGCAAGTCTCCCACTAAGGAATATTGGCTTCAAGGGCATTTTGTAGATTTTTGCCAATAACTATTTAAACAAAGACAAATTGCAATTATATCCTGGAAAAAGCTTCACTGTGGGTGTTACACAGTCATGAAATGATACACTAGTACTAAAGGGAGATGGGAAACTAGACGTCGAAAGTTTGATTGTGATTTGGATTTATAAAGGTAGCTTACAAGAGGCATTTATCCCATGAAACAGATGAAATGGCATTCAATGGCAACAAAAAAGTAGACAGAAAAAGGATCCTCTGGATAATTTTCCAGTATTTTAATTACATATGAGTTTTATAGACTTTATAAACCTACCCATGGAACCATGAAACATGTCAAGAATTTTTGCCTATAGGAAAAAGTGTTCTGTGGGTATCACCGAGAGGTCAGTCCACAGGCCAATGAGATACCAGACTTTGACTTCTCCTTCCCTTTACTCAACCTCTCAGGAAACACAGGGAGAAGAGCACTTGGAGAAATGGAGGCTGGAGCCAGGAGGGAAAGAGGAAGGTCTCAGAAGCAGAGCCAGCAGAGTGGCCCGGGCTCTTCATCCCCCTCTTGTGACTACTGACCAGGCCCCCGTGGGGTCTCTGCTACTGGGACAAACTTCCGAAGATCCTTCTGTCTTCATTAATGAGAATCCTGCCATGCCCACATTGTTGGAGGAACCATGGCTGTGAGCAAACAGACAAAATTCCTGTCCTGGTGGGTCTCACCAACTACAATCCTTTCTAAAATAATCACATTTCAGACATCAATGCTACAGAAAAAACTAAACAGGTGGTACTAGAAATAGTGAAGGCCGGGCATGGTGGCTCACGCCTGTCATCTTAGCACTCGGGAGGCCGAGGCCGGCTATTCTCTTGAGGTCTGGAGTTCGAGACCGGCTTGGACAACATGAGAAACCCTGTCTCTCCTAGATACAAAAATTAGCTGGGTGTGGTGGCACTACTTGGGAGGCTGAGGCAGGAGAACCTCTTGAACCTGGGAGGTGGAGGTTGTAGTGAGCTGAGATTGTGCCACTGCACTCCAGCCTGGGCGACAGAGCAAGATTCTGCCTCAGGAAAAAAGAAAAAACAAAACGTGACCACACAGGGGACTCTTGGCAGGAGTTGGCAGATCCTTTAGCCCTGCGCTCTGAGGAGGTGACGTTTCAGATGAGATCTGGGAGATAAAGAGTGGCACCTAGAATCTGTGGAGAGAGTCCCAGCAGAGGAAGCAGCGATGGCCCTGGGCAGTAATGAGCAGGTATATTTGGGGGAGGGCAGAAGCCCAGCATGGCTGTAGCACTGTGAGAGGGAAGGACGTGAGGGTGGGGAGGGAGCCAGGCAGGGGTCATGTCACACGGGGCCTGGGGAGGCAGCTGGATGGAGAAGCCAGGGATGTGTGTCCCTTCTTAAGCCATGGGCTCAGTGCTGTCCCCAGGAAGAGGCTGTACATAGATCCCCAAAGAGGCCCAGGGACACCGTGTGGGAAGACAGGTGAGCAAGTACTGAGAGAGGTGTGTCACTGAAGCGTACAAAGAAATGGCTTCAGGGAGTGGGCACATCATCAGGCAGAGAAAAATGGGCACAGTGACACTCATTGCTCACTTTGACAAGCACTGTTTTATTCTGCCTTTTTACTAGATGAAAAAAAATTTTTTTGAGACAGAGTCTTGCTCTGTCACCCAGGCTGGAGTGCAATAGTGTGATCTTAGCTCACTGCAACCTTGCAACCTCCGTCTCCTGGGTTGAAGCAATTCTCCTCCCTCGGCCTCCCAAGTAGCTGGGATTATGGACCTGTGCCACCACATCTGGCTAATTTTTGTATTTTTAGTAGAGATGGGGTTTCACCATGTTGTCCAGGTTGGTCTTGAACTCCTGACCTCAGGTGATCTGCCCATCTCTACGAGGTGATCTTGACTGAACATGTCTTTCTTTTATTAATGTCCCTCTTCACCACTTGCACCACCCCCTCCACTTTTTGGTGCCCTCAGAAAGACTTTCCATGACCTCGTGACTCCTTCCCCTAAAACCTCATGCAGACACAGAGATTCCGGTAGTTCGGGCCTCTGAGTGTGAGGGAGAAGTTTCAGAGATCTCAGCATGCAATGCTGTGTTCTAGTATGTTTTCATTATTTGCTTTCCTTCATAGAAAAAGGAGATGCAGACTTCACATCTGAGCCCCAATCTACTCAGAGATGGCAAAGCATCTCTCTTGGGCTTCGGCAAAAGACCCCCATGCGCATTGTGAGAGCATCTTCTGAGGCAGGTTTCCAGGCCTGGCGCTCAGCTGGACCCCTCCCCTACCTGAGAGCAGCGCCTGAGGTAGTCCAGGGCTGGGAGGCACAGGTCTGTGGACGGCGCTCCGGGTGCCGGGACACAGTCTCCAATCTCTTTACAGTCCACCTCCCCTAGGGGTGGCATAAGGACAGAGACCAACAGTGTTAACTCTTGCGGGCTCCCTTCAACAGGAGACCTGTTGACTCAATAGCACTAGTGCACCAAATAGCTACTAAAAGAGCTAGAGAAAAGGAGAAAAATGACTTCAAACTGCACAGCCCTGAGGAAAATCATTTCAGCCATTCTCTCCCCTGCATGTGCACATGTTAAATACAGTTGGGGCCAGGCGCGGTGAGTGGCTCATGGCTGCAATCCCAGCACTTTGGGAGGCTGAGGCGGGTGGATCACCTGAGGTCGGGAGTTCGAGACCAGCCTGACCAATGTGGAAAAACCCTGTCTCTACTAAAAATACTAAATTAGCTGGGTGTGGTGATGCATGCCTGTAATCCCGCTACTGGGGAGGCTGAGGCAGGAGAATCGGTTGAAGCCAGGAGGTGGAAGTTGTGGTGAGCCGAGATTGCACCACTGCACTCCAGCCTGGGCAACAGAGCAAGACTCTGTCTCAAAAAAAAAAAAAAAAATACAATTGGGATCATACTGTGCCACGTATCGTTTTGTTGAGATGATATGGTTTAGTAGCTCCCCCTTCCACTAATCGATGTACGTGTACATGGGTACACGTACAAAGGGACCTGCTGTTAGAGGGAGTAACTTGATGACAGAGGACAATCCCAGAGGCAAGTCCTGGATTGGGCTGGAATGAAGCACTTCCCTCTCTCCATTTGGAAAAGGATTTCTTTCCCTGCCGGTGTGTAGCATTAAATGGTGATGATAAATGAGGGATCTGGGAAGAGTCTAAACATCTGGGGTTTGGGGACAGAGACTACTTAATTGCATTTAAATGGTTTTTCTATTTTTTTCTAGAGATTTAACATGTCTGCAGAGGGGTATCTAGGTTTTTCTGTAAGAATAGTAACTGAATTATTAGAATTTCTCTTCTCATAATGAATCCATTTCTATACGTTTAATCAAATAATTTCATTTATTGTAATTGCTTCTAATTGTCTACAATTGTAAGAGCTAGAACCCTCCCCAGTGAGTAAACAGACATAATTACTAGGCGTTAGTTAAAATTTAGAAGAGGCATGTTTCTCCTTTAAAAAAAAACAACAACAATAAACAAAACATTTCTTATGTTTTTGATCAAGGGTTAGCAAACTTTTTGGCAAAAGGCCAGAGAGTAAATACTTCAGGCTCTGCAGGTCACACTGTCTGTATTGCAGCCACTCAACTCCATCACAGTAGTTTGGAAGCAGCCATCGACAAATGAGCATGCTATGTTCTCATCAAACTGCATTTATAAAAACGGTGGGATATAGCTTGCCAACTCCCAGTTTAGATGAACACATTTTATAATATAAACACACAGACCAGGTCAAATTCCTGTTGAAATAAGCAGGTGGGAATTACCAACACATTCATTTCCTATCCATGATTACAGCAGGCATCCCAAAGGTTTTGACTGTGGCCACTGTGTATTTGAACACATCCAAGTCTATGTGAATGGCATGCCCTGGAGCCAGGCAGGACACAGGCACCAAGACTATACAGGGGGCTTTACCTTTTCCATTGAACCCAGGCCCCATGCAAATAACTAACTCCATCTTATAATTCACAGAAGGAAAAAAACCGAGGCTGTTTCCAATATCTTCTATGTGATGGTTTATTTCGGGTGTCCGCTTGACTGGATTGGGGGGACCCAGATGACTGATAAAGCATGATTTCTGGATGCATCTGTGAGGTTGGTTCTGGAAAAGGTTGGTGTTTGAGTCAGACTGAGTAAGGGAGCTCCACCCTTGCCCAGTGCAGGCAGACACCATCTAATCAGCTGAGGCCCAGGGAGAACAAAAGGCAGAGAGAAAAGGAGAATTCTCTCTGTCTCTGTTTCTGGAGCTGGGATACCCTTCTCCTGTCTTAGAGCTATAGCTTCTCAGGCCTCCAGCTTCAGACTAAGAGTTATACCCTCAGTGCCCCTCATTCTGAGGCCTTTGAACGTGAACTGAGCCATGTTACCAGCTTCCCTGGTTTTCCAGCTTGCAGAGGGTCTATTGTGGGACTTCTCAGCCTCCAGAATTCTATGAATGTTCTAAGATTTCCAACCTGAGATTATTCAACATTATATTAAATAATTGCCTTTATGCAGAAATCTATTCTCAGTGTCATATGATTAGCAGCTTGAGTTTGATTTCCTAACTTTTTAGCAGGAGTTAAGAATTCCTCCTACCCTAGGTTTTATTAATTATAAAATATATTTTCTAAGTATAGAAGTCTCCCTTTTTGAAAGCCTCGTGTATTTCAGGAACTACCTAGATAATTTTATACTTAATTTAGAAACACCTTAACAAAACAGATTCTCACTATACAACATGACCTGTGATAGCAGATTTTTACAGAGCACGGGTTTATCTGGGGTGAAATGAAAGGGAGGGACACTTAGTTAAACCAAAATGTTGAGAAACTTAAAATTTTGAGAGTTTCCATGGAGTCTGATTAGACCTGGAGCCTGAGAACCTTTTAAAAAGGGAAAATACAAGGTTGATATTATTCTTTGACAATAAAGTTGGTAGAAAATAATAAGCAAATAGATTAAAAATATGCTATAAGATATTCCATGAACACAATGAAAAGTATCAACTTTGGATAAAATTCAAGTTGCTTTTACAGTAAGTTTCTGCTTCTGAGTGCACGGTGCCACACCACCTGCTTGTATCCCAGATGCGTGCTTGCTCCAGGCAGTCAGTGGGCCCCGTCTCCAGCCATACAGAGCCACCCTGGAAAGGGTCCTCAGCTGTTACGAGGCATGAGAGAAAAGTTCTGCTTACCCAGTCCTTTGACAAACTTCATAAGGCACATGATGTAGCTAGTGGCTGCATTAGCAAAGACCTGGATGTTGTCGGTATTGAGAAAAGCTTCAAATACATCAAACACTGGAGCTTGGCCTTTTCCTAAGGGAGGAAGATGATAGAATTGTAAGAAAGTAAGTTTCTACCCTCGGGATTACTAGGGTGGCCCATACTCCCAGCACCTTCCACGGGGGCCTTGAGGAAGATCTACTGGGGAGATGCCTGGGCTTTTTTACTGAACCGTTGGCTTGGCTCCAGTGCCATGCTCTGTTTTGCTGGCATGGGCAAAGCTCGGCAGAGAGATGAGGGCTGAGCTGGCTGAATGCAGGGCTGAGGCAATGTGCTGGTCTAGAGAGCAGGGAAATATGTGACCTCTGGAATGCTCCTGAACAGATAATTATAGACTTCTACAGGGCAGGGCAGGGCAGGTGTAGATAGGCCTTTGGTGGCATCTGTGAGTTTATACCTGTGCAGAAAAAGAGCACAGAAGGTCTGAGACCACTCTCCTTTTAGAAAGCTTGCTTACAAAATGGATTTTTGGCTGATGTCTGGGAACTCAGCTCCGAGAGTACTCCCAGGCCAGTTAATGGTAAGAGTAGTTCACTGTGCCTAGACTGTTCACACAAACCATTTGGTTTATGCTGAACACCTGCTTTCCTACTGGGAGTCTGGGATTTTGGTATGTGCCAGGGAAAAGGTACGTAAGTGACCAGCCCCCAGCTAGATCTCTAATGGGCTTCCACGGGCAGAAACACTGCAAACATGTTGCTGTGTTTTCACTGCTGGGGGAGGAATGTGTTCTGTGTGATACCTCATGGGAGGGTGACAGCACAGGGAAGCTGGTGCAGATTCCTCCAGACTGCCTGTGTCCTTCCTACATTGCTAAAACTTGGTCATGAACTGTGTAATAAACCTCAACGTAACTATATTCTGGGTCCCATGAGTCCTTCCGGTGGGTTTCTGAGTTTAGGGGTGGTCTTGGGAACCTCTGAGACAACACTGCTGGGTCCTGGGCATGCCTTATGGGTACCCTTCCATTTCCAGCAGCCCGAAGCTCCCTGATTCTGGTTACTCTCTGTTACGATACTTTTCCACTTCTTACTAGCAAGTGGATAACATTTTCCTTTTTGGCTTTGGAAATGAACTCAACACAGCAATGTGTAAGTGAAACAACAGAAGCCTCTCAGCCTTATTGTCCAATTGTCAGCAAGAACAGGGCCTGGCAATGCTCAGGGCTCTCAGCCTGCTGGCAGAGCTCAGAACTCACATTCCTGCTATACCACATTCTTTCCTGCTGATAAAACATGGCTGACAACCTGTTTTCCCTATTGTTCAATTTTTTTTTTTAGCATGAAACTTGGCAGAGAGAATTAATGCTGAATAGCAAGAAACATCCAAACATTCTTACCCATGGAGTAGTCACCAACCAGGTACTCCTTCACCTCTGACTTGTTCCCACCGTGCACTGTTTCCAGGGCACTGAACAAGGGTCTCCACCCGGACTGGATCTGCGTGGAACACACTTCAACCAGCTCACCAATGGATGTGACAACCTGGCAGAGGCAAAGCAAGTGACACTTAAAGTCCTCTCCTTAAAAGGAGCAGAATTTCTGGGAAGGGTGATATATTTCTCTGTTCCCTATTTTGAAGTTAATTTTAGTAAAAAAGAAAAATCAGAAGAGAAAAACTCATTCTTCTGAATAATCAGCCGTATCGTATTAATTTGCATTTCACTCTTGACTAATGTCGCTAAGCAACTTTTCACATCTTCTTAGCCGTATATTTTGTTGTTTTTAAAAATTGGGTTCATGTCTTCTCATTATTATCTTTTTTTGTTTTTAGAGTTCCTTATATATTCCCAAGATTAATTTGCAAAGATTTTTCCACAGCTTTTGGCTTTTTGAAAGTTTTGTTTTCTAATAAGGTCTTTTGAAGATGAAAAGTTCTTAATTTTGGTGAAGTCCAATTAATCTATTTTTCTTTTAATGGATATTGTTAGTGTCATTTCTAAAAAATCTTTGCTTAACTCAAGGTCTCAAAGATTGTCTCCTTTACTTTCTTCTAGAAATAAAGAGTTTTTGTTCTTATGTCTACATCATGACCCATTTTGAATTTTTTTTTAACATGGTGAGGAGGTGTAAGTTTATTTTTATCACATCCATTCAAGCACAATTTGCTGAAAATGTCCCCTCTATGATTGAATTGCAATGCTACCTTCATCAAAAATCAATTGATTATAAACAAGAGAATTTATTTCTGTCTTCATGCCGATATCACACTGTGTTGATTACTGAAATTCTGAAATCAGGTAGTGTACATTTTCAAAATTTGCTCTTCTTTTTCAAGCTGTTTTCTCTTCTATTCTTTACAGTTTCACATAAATTTGAGAATCACTTTGACAATCTCTTCAAAAAGATTTGCTGGGATTTTAATCAGAATTGCACCGAATCTATACATCAATTTGGAGAAATTTGCCATTTTAAAAATATTGAGTCTTTCAATCCATGAATATGGTATATCTCATACTTACCTGAATCTTCTTTGGTTTCTCTCAGCAATGTTTTGTAGCTTTTGTGTACAGGTCTTGAGCTTCTTTTGCTAAATTTATTCATAAATATTTTATCATATTTGATGTTCTTATGAATGGAATTGTTCTTATTTATCTTTGGATAGTTTATTTCTCATACATAGAAATTCAATTGATTTTAGTATGTTGATCTTATATGCAGTGACCTTGCTCAACTTACTATTAAGTTTAGAATTTTTTTAAGATCCCATATAATTTTCTATATAAAACCCCATGTTGTCTGTGAACTAAAACAGCTTTACTTTTCTTTTCAAACCTTGATGTCTTTAATTTCTTTATGCAACGAGTAAAAGTTAATGTTGAGCAGAAACAGAGAAGATAGAAATCCCTGTGTTATTACTGACCACAAGGGAAAAGCACTCAGTCTTTCATCATTAGATATAGGATTCTCAAAGATGCCCCTTATCTCATGGAGGAAATCCCTCTAACTCCTCTTAAAAGGTTTTGTCAAAAATGGGTGATGAATTTTGTTAAATGTTTTGGTGTATATTTATTAAGATAATCAAATGGTTTTAATCTTTTATTCTACTAATATTTATGTTAATTGATTTTGAGCTGTTAAACCAATCTTACATTGCTGGGATAAATTCCATATGCCACAACATTTAATCTTTTTTTTTTTTTTTTTTTTTTTTTGAGACGGAGTTTCACTCTTGTTACCCAGGCTGGAGTGGTGCAATGGTGCAATCTCGGCTCACCGCAACCTCCACCTCCTGGGTTCAGGCAATTTTCCTGCCTCAGCCTCCCGAGTAGTTGGGATTATAGGCATGCACCACCATGCCCAGCTAATTTTTTGTATTTTTGGTAGAGATGGGGTTTCACCATGTTGACCAGGATGGTCTCGATCTCTTGACCTTGTGATCCGCCCGCCTCGGCCTCCCAAAGTGCTGGGATTACAGGCTTGAGCTACCGCACCCGGCCCTGCATTTGATCTTCTTTATGTGTTGCTGGATTTAGTTTGCTAGTATTTTTTTTTTTTTTTTTTTTTTGAGACAGGGTCTCACTCTGTTGCCCAGGCTGGAATGTAGTGGCATGTGATCACTGCTTACTGCAGTCTCAACTTCCTGGATTCAAGGGATCTTCCCACCTCAGCCTCCTGAGTAGCTGGGACTATAGGCAATGCACCACTACGCTCAGCTATGTGTATATATATTTTGCAGTGATGGGGATCTCACTATGTTGCCTGGCATGGTCTTGGAAATCCTAGACTCAAGCAAACCTTCCACTGTGGCCTCCCAAAATGCTGGGATTACAGTTGTGAGCCACTGTAACTGGCAATTTTTAACGGAATTTTTTGTCTCATTTCATAAAGAAAATTGGTCTATAGTTTTCTTTCTTGTGGCTTTGGTATCACAGAAATGCAGCCTCATAAAATGGGTTTGGAGGTGTTCCTGCTTTATTTTCTGGTAGAGCTTGAGTAGGGTTGCTATTATTTCATCCTTAGTTTAGAGATTCGCCAGTGAGCCCATTGGCTTTGGTTTTTGTGGGGAGGTTTATTATTGTTTTTAAATTTATAAACCTTTGTTTTATTTAATTTGTTAAACAAGAACTGATTAAATTATTGCCCCCCAAATAACAATCATGGAAACACGTCACCTGTTTGAAAGAACTATATTATCAGATACTTAGTTACAAAATTTAATAGTAAGGCTCAAACAGTGGTTGTTGGTCTAACGAATCCACATTGACAGCTTTGAAGTGTTCAGATGCTAGTTTTAAAATAAAAGTGACAAATACCAATCACACTCTCATACTACTGTTCAGGAGCTACATAAAGTTGGTTCTGGAAATAGTTCAATATACAAAGGTATGAGAATAACACTGTAATCACTGGTGATCAAACCAAAGGTGTAATTTTACAAATCACTTTTAGTAAGAATCAATTCTAACATTTTAAACATCTAAATCTGCCTAAAACTCAAAGCCATATATTTTTCTACTTGAGACCAAAATAAATTTCCTTTTTCCTATCTAAACATAATTCTTTGAGGTAAATCTGAATTCATGTGATATATCTTGTCAAACTTTTCCAAAGAATTTTAAGCCCTGTTTAGAAACAAATTCTTATGTTACATATACACATATTTTTATTTTACATATTTTTACTTCAAAGACTAACGACAACTTTATGAGATTAATAGGCCTTCAATATGCAACCATTACCACAATTTGATTTTAAAACAATTGTACTTACCCCTCAAAAAACTCAGTACCCATTTGCAGTCGTTTCCTACTCCACCACCCCATCCTCAGCCCTAGGCAACCACTAATGTACTTTCTGTCACTGTAGATTTTCCTATTCTGCACACACCATATAAATGCAGTCATATAACATATGGTCTTTGGTGATTGGATTTTCTCATGTAATGCAATGTTTTCAAGATTCATCCATGTTGTACATATATCAAAATTTCATTTTTATTGCTGAATACTATTTTGCTGTGTGGACATAACCAAATTTAATGTATCTGTTTGTTAGCTGTCAGGATTAGAGTTAGAAGTTTCTAACTTTTTGGCTATCACGAATAATGTTACTGTGAATATTTGTGTACAAGATTTGTATGGATGTTTTCATTCCTCTCGGGTATATGCCTCGAGAAACTGCCAGACTGAAAGCAGCCACACGTTTTACCTTCCCAGCAGTCGTGCGTGAGGGTTCCAATGTCTCCACCTCCTCCTTCACCAACACTTGCTATTATCTATCGTTTTTATCCTAGTAGATGTGAAATAGTATCTCACATGGTTTTGATTGACATTTTCCTAATAACTAATGATGGTAAATGTCCTTTCATTAATGCATATTTAATGCTATTATTGACATGGTTCTATTTACATATGTCGTTTGCTATTTGTTTTCTGCATATTTATGTATCAGGTCCTTTTTGTTCCTCTGTTCCTCTTTTACTACCTTTTATATTAAACGCAGTCTTTTTTTGTGATCACTTTCATTGCTGCTTATTTTTTAATCTACTTTTTGTGTTATTCTCTTGGTCACTGCCCTAGGGATTATAATATGAATCTTCAACTGATCACATTTTACCTCAAGTTAATACTGACCTAATTCTGGCAAAATACAGCAACTTTGCTCCTATATAGCTCAATTTCTCATCCTTCCTTTCTGCTATTTATATCTTTATGTTTAATAAATCCAACAATATAGTGTTAGAGTTATTGCTTTAAACATTATGCTTGTAAAATAAATTAGGAGAAAAAGAAAAATGTACACAGTGTTTATTTTCCCACATATGTACCGTTTCTTCTTATGCAATAGATTTACCAGTTTGTGTTATTTCTTTCAGCTTAAAGGAATTTAGTATTTCTTGTAGAACAGGTCTACTGGCACAATATTCTTCCAATTTTTGTTTACCTGACAATGTTTTTATGTCATCTTCATTTTTAAAGAGTAATTTCTCTAGGATTATTCATTAACAGCTTGTTTTCTTTTCAGCACTTTACATATGTCATTATGTTGTCTTCTAGCCTTCATGCTTTCTGAAGAAGTCAACATTAGTTAATCCTAGCATTAAACCTAGCATGACTACCTCTGTAGTAATATATATAGTCTTTCTCCCGCTGCTTTTAATGTTTTGCCCTGTTGTTGAGCATTTTGACTATAATGTGTCTATCGTAGATATCTTTGTGTTGATCCTAATTGGGGCTCCACTATTTTTAAAAATCTATTTTCCTGTTGTCTTTCTCCTCTCCATCTAGGACTCTCATTACAGGTATGTTGATATGCTTGACGTTATTGTACAAATCTCTGAGGCTCTGTTTATTTTTGGTCAAACTTAGTTTTGTCTGATCTTCAGAATAGATAACCTCTGTTAATCTCTTTCCATGTTCACTGATGCTTTCTTCTGCCATCTCAGATCTTTCTGGTAATCCCGTATAGCTAATTTTTCATTTCAGCTATTGCCCTTTTCCACTCTAAAATTTGCATTTTCACAGTTCCCATTTCTATATTTAGCATTCCTACTTTTGAGTCACTGTCATTATATTTTCCCTTATCTTTGGGGAATATATTTATAATAGCTACTTTGAAGGCTCTGTCTCCCAAATCCATCTGGGCTCACTCTAAGTTTCTATTTACTGTCTTTCCCTCTGAGTATGTTTCACTCTGTTTCTTTGTATCACTTATATTTTTTAAAATTAGACATTTTAGATAATATATTGCAGCAATGCTGGAGTCTAATTTATTTTTGAGGGTTTTTTTCTTTCCCCAGACTAAGTTGCTTGGACTTAAGACTTGGAATCTGTCTCTTCCCATGGTGCTCATGTGTCTGCTCAGTTTTTGTTCTTCAGTTTTATTTTCTAGCCTGACTCCCTAGTGTTCATCCCATGTCTGCATAGCTTAGTGGTCAGCTATATCACGTGGGTGGAAACCGTGCTCAAACACCTTGAGTCTTTAAGGCTCCTACCCTCTGGCAATCAATCGGTGTGAGAAGGTTGGCCAGAATATTCAAAGTTCAGCCAGTTTTTCTCTCCCCTTTCTGTTACTTTTTTGATGAGATCTTTATGGTCTCCTCTGCACATGCCCACGTTTCAGTCATTCAAGGATGTATGAACAGACTATTTGATCCCTCTTTGAATCTCTGATTTCCAGGATCTTATGTTAGATTTCTTACTAGTTCACTACTCACTGCAAACCTTAGGCTAGCAAGGTTGCAGTCTTCCCCCATTCATTTCTCCAGGAATCCATCACTTTCAGTTGACAAGCCCATGGTCTTCTCCCCCGTTGTCTTCATACCAAGTCTGTTCCTGATAGAACAGCTGATGACTTTCTCAATCAGCTTCACACTGGTCAAACTACTATTCTTGCCAACAGGGCTTGGGAGTAAAGGTGATGGTTGCGGTCTTCGGCTAACAGTGTTTTTAAGAATAAACCCTATTTAATTTTTTTTGTCTGCTTTTGGTCAATTTCCAGACCCCTCAGATTGTTGCTTTAGGCAATTCTATCCTGTTTTATGCTTGATTTTTTGTGGAGAGAGTTAACCTAACTTCTTCATGTCACCACAGCCAAAGCTGCTCCTATCCTTAATCTTCCTAAACACACTGAAGCATTGTTATTTTAAAGTGTGTCTCTGATAACTCTGATATCTGAGTTCCTATGTGTGTGTTGTTTGTTTTTTAAATTTTTGTTTTCAATGACGTTTTATTTCCTAATGAGCCTGGTTATTTTTATTAACTGTAAACATTATACCTGCAAATCAAGAAATAACTTGAAGCTTATTATTAATAGAATGATGTAATCTTCTGTCAGAAAGGTACGAGACATCTCAGATTACCTTAATCTCATGTCAAGGATTGGGATTATTTGAAGTTGGGTATTATTTTCTCTTATGACTAGTCTATTTAAGGTTCACCTTTATTTCTAAGATGTCCCTTTCTCTTCAAGATCCTGACTCAAGATGTCAGGAAGTCTGGGACTTGGCAGGTCCCAGACTGCAATTTTGCTGAGCTTCTCGGTCTTTTATTATGTTGGTGTAAAAGTAACTGCAGTTTTTGCTCTGCTGGCAAAAACTGCAATTATTTTTGCACCAACATAGTATCTTCCTTTTTTTTAAAATTAGTAGATTCCATTTTAGGAAAAACAGCCTCAAATACCAGGAAGACTATTCTAGGTATTCTTTTTCTCCCAGATCTTGGCCCCCTAGATCTTTACTGCCCTATAGTATGTCAATGTCTTCAAGTGATTAAAAAATTTTTTTATCCAATTTTTTTTAGTTGTTCCCTGTGGGAAAGTTGATCTAAATTACCTAGTTCACTCTTATTGGTATATAGTCTTGGGTGTTAACCTATCTAGGTTAACTTATCTTAGATGTTAATGAACTAGCCTTTAGGTGTGAACGAACTGGGAGCTAAATATAGGTGTTATCTTGAATGTTAACAATCTGGTCTCTAGGTGTTAACTTATATTTTCAATCCATTATTTCCTTAAACTTGCTAGGCATTTTAATATTTTGCATGGAAGAGATCAGTATTTCAGGCCAATTGTTTATAGGTGTAGTTGTCCCATCTGTTGTTTTATCACCTCTCTCTATTGCCTTGTTTTCTTGTGTGTTTTATGAATTTTTAAAAAATACTGAGAGGTCATGTACCTTGAAACTTTATTTGTGGGATTCTTTTGTGGCCTGAGTTGATGTGAGTTTCTCTTGGGGGAATTTCGTTGCTTCTGTATGGTGCCTGTGTAGTTTCTCAGACCCCGAGGTGGTACAATTTCATATACAGATCACATAACAGGGTTAGGTTGTAATAATAATGCTGGAGTGTGTTTTTTGCTTTTTTTTTTTTTTGAGCAGTGGTGCAATCTCGGCTCACTGCGAAATCTGCCTCCTGGGTTCAAGTAATTTTTCCGCCTCAGCCTCCTGAGCAGCTGGAACCACAGGTGAGTGTCACCATGCCCAGCTAATTTTTGTATTTGTTTTAGTAGAGATGGGGTTTCACCATGTTGGCCGGGATGGTCTCGATCTCTTGACCTCGTTATCTGCCCACCTCAGCCTCCCAAAGTGCTGGGATTACAGGCATGAGCCACCGTGCCAGGCCTTGGAGTGCTCTTTTTAAAAAAACTCTCTACTTTCCATTAAGAGCCAATGTTAGAAACAAGCTGACGTGTCTTCAGGAAGTTTGTTTTAATTCAACCTTGATCCAAGTGAACCCCAGCTTTGTAAAGTTTGCGTTGAGATTTGTTTTCTGTTTCTGTGCCCTCAAATCTGGGATGATCACAACTTTGGCTCCACTTGATAGCAAATTCCCTCATGGTAAAACCAGCCTAAGGGCTCTGCTTACCTCTCTGGCTTCCCATTGACACTCAGTTTTTTGGGCTTTCTTACTTTGTTGACAGTGTGTCAGTGTATTTAAAAGAAATGTTTAAACCTCTATTCAACATTTTTGGTGGATTTCAGAGAGAGAGGGAGAGAGAGAGAGAGATCCTGTATTCCTCGCCCACCATCATGTGAAATATGAAATCTCCAGTTGGTTTCTTTACTTTGCCTTCGGTTGACAGTATGGCAGTAGTTAGGAATATAGGCCAAGTATAAAGAGACAGGCCAGTAGATTAAATCCCAGCTCCATCAATTACTGATTATGTAACCTTAGCCAAATTGCTTAACTTCTCTTTGTCACAGATTCCACATAGGATTATTGGAAAGAGTAAGTGTGCAAGGCTCACAGAACTGTGCCTGCCACTGCACTCATTAAGAGCCAGCTATGACGTTGATGACACTGATTACCATGTCACACTGACCTGGTCTTGGACATCCTCATCACACAACTCCAGCTGCATAATGCGCTCAAAAGGTCGGAAGAGTAATTCATTGAAGTGAAAATGAGGTGGCTCATTCCAGTCAGTGAGGACCTCTGTCAGTATGTCATGGATGAAGGAAACAGCCTTCTGAGACACATGTCTTTCCTTATGGCAAGCAGCCTGCAAAATTCAGAGAGTGGCACACCATCAGGACGGCAGACAAGTGAGAAGGTGGCTTCTGAAGGCTTTCCTAACCTGCCTTATTACAAGGAGGTAGAAGAAGCAATTCTGTTAAAGTCAAAACGTTCTAAGGGATAAATACACACGAATTCCACACTAAATTGGATTTTTAACAATGTAACCAGCTTATTAGACACAAATCAATTTCATGTTGATGTTTCTGGAAAAAGAAAAGTTTCTTGTAATTTCTTTTTCTGTAACATGACAATTTTCTTGAATGGTATAGAACATGCTCACTCTAAAGACACCAGAACCCAGTCTAGGAATGGCTCATGGTTTCATCTTAAATGTGCCCCACACATAGGAAGATCAGATGAGTCATCTGTCCCTCAGTGAGGTAAGGGACCAATTGTCACAATAGCTGCAATTGGTTTTCAAACCTCCTGGTATCCAGGTTCTTGAGTAGTCCTTTCTTATACTGGCCCTGGGCTTGGATGTGTGAGCTGCTTTGGCCAGCAGAACACATGCAAACATCATGTCAGTACAGGATTAAAGTACTCGTGATTTGGGGTTTGTCCTGCTGTTGGTCTTAGAAACTCTAAGGATGCCATGTGAACAAGCTGGGGCTAGTTTGCAGGGGGCTAGTCTATGTGAGAGACCATGAAGAGAGAGGCCTATTTGTCTAGGCTTCCCAGTTAAGGCCAACATGAACCATCTGGCCCCAGTCTTTGCACCAGCTGATCATATACACACAATGAAAGCCAATGAGATCCACCATGCCTGGCCAAGATTAGAACTGCCCAGAGGAGCCTACCTCAAATTTTGACTCACAGAATTATAAGGCAAATAAATGGTGGTTGTTTTAAGCCACAAGATGTTGGGGAGGCCTTATTGTAAGGTAAAAGATAACCTATGGACTCTTTCTCCATGATTATGTTGCTATTTTCTTATATTTTATTGCACTTTAGGTTCTGGGGTACACGTGCAGAACATGCAGGATTGTTGCATAGGTACATGCATGGCAATGTGGTTTGCTGCCTCCATCCCCGTCACCTATATCTGGCATTTCTCCCCATGTTATCTCTCCCCAACTCCCTACCCCCGGCTGTCTCCTAGATCTCTCCCCCCGACAGACCCCAGTGTGTGATGCTCCCCTCCCTGTGTCCATGGGTTCTCATTGTTCAACACCCGCCTATGAGTGAGAACATGCAGTGTTTGATTTTCTGTTCTTGCGTCAGTTTGCTGAGAATGATGGCTTCCAGATTCCTCCATGTCCCTACAAAGGACACAAACTCATCATTTTAAAATTTTCTATCCACTTTCCTTACTAGAATGTTCTCAGGTTAATAATTTAAGTTCCAAGAAGTGTTTTATGATTTAGCTCTACCAGATAAGAGCAAAAGGGCTATTAAGAATAGTTATCACTGCAAAACAGGCAACAGTTTTCCCTGTCAACTTAGAAGTGGCCAGTTCTCATGTTTTGAGACGCTTAGATGTAGAGCTGCCATGAAATTGATTACACAAACTGCTTTCCTTTGGAGAGTGAAAAGGTCTTATTAATTTTGTTGGGAAAACCAAGACACAGGGTTCCCTGACTGAAAGGACACTGTCCTGAGTATATTTAGCTATTAGAAAAATAGACTGGTAGGAACCAAAGACAATGGTATATTTATGTATAAAAACAAAGCTATTAGGAATCATCCACAGTCTTTCTCTTCCAGGCTTAGGTTGATACCAGATCACAAAAAATGAAAACTAGCCGAGTTGTATAATTGCAAAGAAAGAGGGTCAGAGTGAGACTAGGTAGTACTGCCCTTTGGGGTGATTTTTTAGATGCCATGAAGTATAACCAGAACACAGTGATGTCTGTGACCAGGTGATGAGCAACTTCCCATTGCCCAATGCCCACAGTGCTGTCCCCATACATGAATGCAGGGCCCTGTGCTGGCGTTGCTGGTCACTGACTTATCACCTTCCCACCTTCCAGCTGCTCACCTCCACCAGGTGTGGGGCCACGAGGCTCCAGCAGCGCATCACGTGGAGCAGGGGCCGTGCTTTGCTACGCACGATCCTCAGCATGGCATCCCCCAGGCGGAACAGGTGGAGGGCGCTTTTGCGGTCTTGAGTGGATTTAACTTCTCCTATGGGAAGGCAAGAAAATAAATGCCAGAAAGCCAAACTCAGTCATAGTCTGACCTATTCAAGCAAAGAGAGAGGGTGACAATCTAGGTAGGACCAATAGTGTAATTTGATATTGGCTAACCAAGGGAAGAGAGAGATTCGAGGAGGACGTGGTGGTTCACTCAGCAAGGCCTGCATCACTGTCTCATTCATCACTGTAGTTCCAGTACCTGGGACGTGACAGGTGTGATCGAGACTTGCCAATAAGAGGAAACGAGGTAGCGGTTCAGTAGGAAGGCTGAGAAGTCTGACTGTCTGGGCTCATATCCTGGCACCATTTAGTAGTTGTGTTAGGTTGGACCAAAGATATTCCTCTTTAACGATCTTGTCTGTAAACGTGGGGATAATACTGCCCACTCCTAAAACTGCTTTCAAAATTAAACGTGATAATACAAAGTACTCAGCACCCGCCCAGCATATACTCACTGGCCAACATTGTTAGCTATTATTATTGATCTTGTTACTGTCACCTTTCACAGTCACCATCTGCTGTGCCAATCCTTAATAAACCTCTGCAGCCTTTGCCAAGCAGGCCTGGTCCCTCTGCTGCTCAGTAACATGCTGTCTGGCCTGCTCTGTCTCGTTTTAGCACTATCCTTGCCTACCCCAATCTTGGGCTACGTCTTGGCCACTGTCACACTCATCTTCCCCACTCCCTCCTTGTTCATGTCCTATTGCCTCTCCTCTGCTTCCTACTGAGGATGGGACCCAAGTCTAAACACAAAATTCATATCTGTTTTTTTATTTTTTTTGAGACAGAGTCTTGCTCTGCTGCCCAGGCTGGAGTGCAGTGGTGTAATCCCGGCTCACTGCAACCTCTGCTTCCTGAGTTTAAGTGATTCTCCTGCCTCAGCCTCCTGAGTAGCTAGAACTACAGGCGTGAGCCACCATACCCAGCTAATTTTTGTATTTTTAGTAGAGTTAGGGTTTCACCATGTTGAACAGGATGGTCTCGATATCTTGACCTTGTGATCTGCCAGCCTCAGCCTCCCAAAGTGCTGGGAATACAGGCATGAGCCTCCGAGCCCGGCCCATTTCTGTTTAATACATACCTTTATGCACAGCCTGAAGGCAATTTTGTTTTTCCCTTGGGAACCCTCAATAAACTGTGTGTTGTGTGCCTGCATTTCAAGTGCGACTCATCACATGAGATCAGGCGTAGAACTTTTCCACTTGTGGCATCATGCCATTGCTTAAAAAGTTTTGGATTCAAAGCATTTTGGATTTTGGATTTTTGGATTAGGGATACTCAACCTGTAATAATCATCATGGATGTTGACTGTAAGTTTACCCTGCTCTTTAAGATCACATAACTGGTTGTAACTAGGTTGTAACAGTAAATCTTGGAGTGCTCTTTAAAAAAAAACTTTCCATTAAGAACCAATGTTAGAAACAAGCTGATAGTATCCTCAGGAAGTCTGTTTTAATTTAACCTTGGCCTAAGTAAACACCAGGTTTGTAAAGTTTACATTGAGATTTAAACTCAATCAGTAAAAAAAAACTGCGTCAGACACTGTGTTGGTTCCGTAAGTCTTTAATCACTTTAATTTTTATAGCAATTATATTTTCTTTAAAGAAAATATAATTATTGCTGTCTTACAGAGTAGAAAATTGAATGTCTGAAAGGTGATATGACTTGCCTCCGACGCTGTGGCCGGTAAGTGTTGGAGGCTGCGTTTTATATTCCTACCTGACTGATTCCAAAGCAAGGCTCCCTCTTTCTAGATTTACTGCCTCTTCCTGGCCCTTGATCATTTTGTTCTTTGTAAGCTCAGAGTCTACTGTTTTCTCCAAGGCGAACGACTTTGAAAGTTACCCCTGGGCTCAGAGATTCTCTGAAAGTCTGACGGGACTGAGAGGTTGGCTTTATATAGCTCAGGTTTTACAGGCTATTAAAAACCATCAGGGAAACAATTGTGGCTCTCAAATCCAAATCTGCAGCAAGGATGAAAAAGCCAAATATACTGCACTTAGAACTTTAGATTGCTAAGGATGGAAGGGACCTCAGAGGCTGTGCAGTCCAACCTGTGACTAGGGTGTATCCCTGGCACATGGCTCCCTGTCTCTGCCTGAACTCATCTGGGACAAGGTGCTCACTGTTTCAGAACCACCACCTGTGCTGTTGAGGGATCTGCCTACCCTTTGGGACCCTTGGACAATTTAATACAACTCTGCTTTGTCTTCTACAAGACTGGCCTTCAAGGGGGCCTTATTTCTTCACCTGGCCTCACTGGTGAGGACGGGGGTACTGACCCATCATTTATGGGATATGCCTTTGAGATCAGTTTCGCAAGAGTGGTATGCAGTTTCCTTTTTAACTATTACTTTTGGAATCAGTGGTTGCTTCTACATACCACAAACCACCTCCGTCTGGACAAAGGTGTGTGGTATGGTCTGTGATACGCAGAAAAGTTCCACCCTCATGTGAAGGAAGCTATCTGCGCCCTAAGTAGCCACACAATTTCTACCACAAGCACAAAACTTAGCAGAACAACCTAGTCCAGCTCCAGTGGTAATTCGTGTAGATGTGAATGTTTCCATTCACAAAGAGTTATACCACCCCTCACACATGGTGCCTCAACATTTGGAGACAAATCTATACTTAGGCTTAGCTTGAATGTAAGCAAAGGGAATGTGGACTCAAATCTTTAGGCACACTGCTGGTGACAGAGGCCTGGGCTATTTCCTGCTAACTTCCTGGCATATGGTTTCTTCAGGGAAAGAATTACCTGGCATTGCTAGAGAATAGTCAACTGTATCTGTAACAGAATGGAAAAGCTGAGACTGTGATGCTTTCTTCAGCTGGTAAAGAAAACCTCCCAGAGCCATGAGGTTCAACTTATCCGTAGCATCTTCAAACAGCCTGGATACAAACAGAAAGAGATCCATTCTTTAAAAACAATTCAGCAAGGTCTTTATGGCAGGATGATTATGCTAATTTTGTTGATGTGATTAATAGAAATGCTGTGTAAACACTGTAGACAAATGTATGGTATTACATCTATTCTAACTGTGCACAAGTTTGCTCTAACCACGAAATTTTAATTCAAAGGCGAAAATAACATATGAAAAAATATCTTTGTGCCCTTACGATCTAGCTCCACCATGGTAGGCACTCATAAAATGCTTGGCAAGAAGTTGAAAGATGGCAAAGCATTGTTCCCAGAAACTGAGTAACTGGGAATGGAATCTTCAGAATTAGCTTCAATTCCATAAATGATGTCCAAAAAAAAAAAAAAAAATCCCAGGACAATAAATAAGGTTTTGTCTGTCTATAATTTATGAGTATAATCCCGGAAAGGATACAAAAATAGCTAAGAGTGGATTCTGTAAGCCCCCTCCAGGGTAGGGACTGGCCTCATACACCCAAAGGCCTGGATGTATGGGAACGCAACGATCTGTTAGGAAGAAAGAATGTTTCCTAACGTGATGGGCCTTGCAGGGTCTTTTTCTCTTCCATCCAGCTGGGCACAGACCTTGCCAGCAGAAGGTGGGGAGGCCGGTAGCAGGACTTAGGGGAGGATCTGAAGGTCACTGGAATGAGGAACGCAAAGCTCCGATCTCTGTTTTATGAGGCCACAATGAGGAACGTGCCAGGCGAGCCTTCTATGGCTCTTGGGTCACCCTGCTGTCTGTCCTCCAAGCCTAGGGACACCGCAGGGCGAGCCGAGCTGTGGGGGTGCCATGGGCTGCTTCAGGGACAGGGTGTCTAACAGAAATGGAATCACGAGTCCTTTTTGAAGGAGAAAAATGAGACACACAGTTTTAAGATGGGAATTAGTGGATTAAATGTTATAAATGAAACAAATATATTTTTCTTGCTATTTTGTAGCTTTCAATTTTGATACCATTTTCTTTCTGGATCTCATTAACCATTTCTCCTCCCTCATTCCTAGTAAGAAAATAGTGATGAATATGACATTCCACCTGACACTTGTATTTCTTTCCAGATTCTAAAACATTTTCACAGCCAACTTGGATAAGCAGGAGAAAGCAATTATGGCAGTGGGTTAGGAGACGGAGAGATGGAGTCTCAGTGCAGCTACGTGTACAGACAAGACCCAGCAGCTGGCGAGTGCTAAGCAAGGACAGGAGCTCAGGTCAACCTGAGTCCCAGTTCAGGGAGTGCTCCTCCCACTCCCATCGCCTGTCTGTCTGTCCTCCCTGTGCCCCTGCGGGGGGGTCTGGGACAGAGTGCCCAAAACGCTGAAGAGGTAAATGAGGTCGAGCTGTGTGTGATGGGTGGACAAATGCACTTTCAACCTCAGGAAGTGCCACCAAACGGTTGAGGTGATTGGCGATTTTCCCTCTTCGTCTTCACATGGTTGTTGGGCATCAATAAATAACACATGGGTGGGGGATTTTTGAAAACAGCCAAAATCATAAAAATAGGTGGATTTTTACCATCTGCCAAGCTCCATTCCAGGTACATCAGGTTACTAGTTAATTTGCCCTCACAACTACCCAGTGGCAGACTTACTTTTTTTAAATTGTACTTTAAGTTCTGGGGTACATGTGCAGATCTTGCAGGATTGTTACATAGGCACACACATACCATGACAGAGTTACTTTTAAAAAATGACCCTATTTTACCAATGAAGAAGCCAGGACAGGGTCCAGGGAGGTGAGGTCACTTGAGATCCCCGAGTAAGCCCATAGAAAATGTTTCATTCCAAGTATGGGTGTAACGGTAGAGAGAACTAAGCTTGAGAAAGACGGAAGAAATTGAAGTGATTGGCTAACAAATGGGTCGACCCTGGCTTGACTGAGACCAGATGGATGTGGGTGTTGCCGGTGAGCGGGCTCCCGGGAAGCAGGAGGCTGGCGCTGCGCACCTGTCAGCCTGCGTGGATAGGGTGAGTACCACCTTGGCGGCGCTGCTCCCACTCATGAGGCTCCCACCGCGGAAGTTAGAGGCCCGGCCCCGGCTGCCTTCCCGGACGAGGTCCTGGATGGACAGGGGCTGCACGACGGGGGCCGTGCTCAGGGTGCACCCCTGCTCTGGGCTCTGCTCAGGGGGTGAGCCCTCACACTCAGGGTCCCCAAGGAGGCCAGCGCTCCCAGTGGCCTTCTGGGGCTGGCTGATGGTCAGAGGGGGCTGCGAGGCGCCGTCGCTGAAGTGGTTGTGCTCCAGGGTGCCCACGTACTCACACACCCTAGAAAGAGCACAGACAAGCAGCTGTTAGGAGCCGGGATCACCCGGCAGCTCCACAACCCCACAGTGCCTGACAAAGGAAGTGCAGCCAGCTCTGCAAGCTGCCTGGCTTTCCCTCCTTTCCTGTGATCAGTCAGTCCTTCCCTCCTGTGTCCTCATGTCACACAGCATTAGTAGTAGTAGTAGTATTTGAGATGGACCAGACAGCCTTGGAGTGGGTAAAGGATTCTTTGGGTTCTCTCATCCCAGGCTGGGAGAAAGACGGCCAATGAGGCCCGGTTCATCCAGTCCCCTGCCTCACCCAGCTCACTGGCTTATCTGCCCTCCTGCTGCTTCAGCCACTTTCCCCCAGGCACCCTGTTTCCCTCTACACAGTGCTCTGATTAGGAGTTGGGAAGGGGAAGCCTTTCCTTATGACGGGATCCCGGAATGACCATGCCTATGATGGACAGGCCATCCAGCCACAGTGAATTCTGTCCAGTCATGTTCTGCCTGGTTCTGAGGGCGCCACATAACTCACATCCGGGTGGGGTGTGGGTGGCAGCTGGGTGGGAGGCAGCTGGGTGGGAGGGTGGTCACCAAATCATAGCAAACACAGGGAAGCTTCACCATATGTGCTACAACTGCCAACTTCCAAATGGTTTGTTCCCAACAGAACTGGGGACGAAGATGGTTTGCAAGGTCCCTCATCTTAGAGGAAGTCTGTTTACTGGTAAAGAGCGTTGTAGAAAATCCACTGTGATGTTCTAGAATCAGGGAATTTTTCAATCCCTAACCCGCCGCATGGGCACCAGGTAAGCCTTTTTCTTTTTTCCTTTTTCTTGTTAGGACAATAAAGAGCGTCAGCTCAGCAGCCTTCATAATAAAACCATTTTCCTCAACAAGCACTCATGGCTATCTTTGCTCTGAAGACGTGAAACTGAACCCAGCTCTGGCTGCTGCCCTGGGCCATCGGCCATCGCCTTGGCCACTCTTGCCCCAAGCCTGCTCTGCCTAGACCTGGGTTTGGAGTGAGCCTGGGGCATGTGCTGCGGAGAAGCAGAAGGAACAGCGTGGCCAGTCCTGCCCTGCTCCATGAGCAGAGCTCCTTCCACGGTGCTGGGTCTGTCCTGAGGCAACACTTGGGGAGACGTACTTTCAGTCTTAATTGTAAGAGGACTTGGACTCTGGAGCTATTGCTGGGTTTCATCTTACAGGCACTGTGCACTATACAACTGGGAGTTTCTTTTCTCTTTGATGCTACAATGCTTAGAGCTCAATTTTTGGCCTGTCTTTGGCAGAGGGGTACTATTTGTTTTGTTTTGTTTCTCGGTCTAGCTAAATTAAAACTAGGTATCTTGTATTTTCCGTATCCAAATAAGCTATCTGAAATCTTTAAACATACAGCAATGTAATATTGTGGTAACATGACCAGTTTTAGATTTGCACAGTATTCACCTAACTTACATAGTCATCTCAATCCATTATTTAATTGGTTTTTCTTCCTTGGGACAACACATCTCTCTCTCATAAAAATGTCAATAGAAAAGTCACAATTCCTCAGACCCAGTTCTGGCCCCTGTTCTCAAAACATACATTTAGTTGGGCCCTTCCTTATTCCCTCTTCTCTTTCCATGTCTCATGTGAAGTTTACTCAAACTCTGTGAATTGTTAGAATCACTTTACATGCCGGCAGGCTCTTGAGTCTACCCCTCTCCACCCCCAAAGCCTGCTCCAGGCTTCCCGAGGCAGGGTCGGTGCCAGCTGGGGGTGGGAGCCCGTCATGCACCTGAACACGTGTGGCCAGCAGTCCGGGTTGTGGCTTCCCATCTCCAGGCCTACGCTGAGGATGGCTTCCATGCACAAGACGTGGGCAGTGTGCAGCCACACCCCCTGCACCTTCCCAATCTGCTCCAGTTTCTGCTCCACTTTTAGTTTCACTGTGCCAGAAAGACATTGATTAAAATAACAGGTTGAGTTAGGGAGACAGAAAGGGAGAGAGAAAGAATGAAGATGAAAGAATGTGTGTCATGCAAGGGCAAAAGGGAAAGGACGGACTTCAGTGGCAGCAAGCGCCTCCACAGCAGGTCCTTGAGGACCGTCATGCAAACCGCCCAGCCGGCAGGTCCCACGTGCCAGTGGCCCCAGCTCTGCGGCTCCAGAAGTTGGATGGATCCTGAGCTGGCAGGTGCCATTCCTCCAGGCCCTTTCATGGGCTCTGGGCCAGGCACGGCAGTGTGGATGGGTTTCATGAGCCAATTCCAGCTAAAGCCATCTGGGTCCAGATCGTTACGCTTCCCAAAAATTGGTCAAATGGAAGAATTCCTGGCTTTCTGCAAAGCTTCTCTGAGATTGTTGTAATGTTAGGCTTTCATTGTGATCATCTCTAAAACAACTTATTTATGTATTTTTGGGCACCAGAATGACTGCTCTATCACTGCAAGTGACCAATATCATTTTATCCCTTGAGTCTGTATTTGTGAGCTTCGAATAATACTTTTAAACATCGTAGGCTGGGTGTGGTGGCTCACGCCTGTAATACCAGCACTTTGGGAAGCCAAGATGGGTGGATCACCTGAGATGGGGAGCTTGAGACCAGTCTGAGCAACATGGAGAAACCCCATCTCTACTAAAATTATAAAATTAGTTGGGCGTGGTGGCGCATGCCTGTAATCCCAGCTACTCGGGAGGCTAAGGTGGAAGAATTCCTTGAACCCAGGCGGTGAAGGTTATGGTGTGCTGAGATTGCACCATTGCACTCCAGCTTGGGCAACAACTGTAAAACTTCATCTCAAAAAAAAAAAAAAATTAAAAACAATTGTAGATGTTTAATGAGAAAGAATGCAGAAGGTGACTTCAGTAATGCAAAATGCTAAGGCAAGGCCAAACCACAGTGACTTTATTCAATGACTTGAATAAAGGTTTCAAGTCATTGCATCTGGTAAGATAATTAAGTGATGGTTCAGAACCCAGAAATACAGCAAGTCAACCTCAAAGGAATCTGAACCATCTCCCAACATAAGGAGCAAAGTGATTTTTAGCAAAACATCATTTGTCTCATAAATGTGATACTAATTTTATGTATGTATGTATGTATGTTTTTGAGATGGAGTCTCGCTCTGTCGCCCAGGCTGGAGTACAGTGGCGCCATCTTGGCTCACTACAACCTCCACCTCCCAGGTTCAATCGATTCTCCTGCCTCAGCCTCTCAAGTAGCTGGGATGACAGGCACCTGCCACCATACCCAGCTAATTTTCGTGTTTTTTTTTTTTTTTTTTTTTTTTTTTTTTTTTTTTAGCAGAGGGTGACTGAAACCAGTCACCATGCTTGGCCAGGCTCGTCTCAAACTTCTGATCTCAAATAATCTACCTACCTCAGCCACCCAAAGTGTTAGGATTACAGGTGTGAGCCACTGCACTTACCCTTTTGATCTGTGTTTTTGAGATAAGGTCTCACTCTGTCACTCAGGCTAGAGTGAAATAGCATGATTATGGCTCACTGCAGCCTGGACCTCCCTAGGCTTGGTGATTCTCCCACCTCAGCCTCCCAAGTAGATGGGACTACAGGCACATGCCACCATGCCTGGCTAATTTTTGTATTCTGAGTAGAGACAGGGTTTCACCATGTTGCCCAGGCTAGGTTGAACTCCTGCACTCAAGCCATCCACTTTCCTCAGCCTCCCAAAGTATAGGGATTACAGGCGTGAGCCACCGTGCCCAGCCTCTATTGTTTGTATTTCATCTGAATAGCATGGTCTTGGTTTTGTGGTTTTTTAAAAAAATAACTGTGAATGTAAAGATTTTTACGTAGTTCATGGTTGTATAATACTTAAGTAAAACTGTGAGACTCCTTTTTAACACGGGATCTGTGAGAACTATTTTGCTTTCAAATGGGTCTCTAAATTTTATTCAAGTCTGAGAAACACAGAACTAAGCTGTGTTTCTCAACTAAAAATGTACAGCTGACTCAGTGACTTGCTACGGTGCATATCTGATAGTTGTTACACGATTTGGACCAAGCTTGCATTTTTCCTTTGGTTTGCTGCCTGCCTTGTATCTTCTGTTGCTGTCAGGATGGTCACTCCCTTTCCTTAGATCCAGATAATCATCAGCTTCATCAACTCACTGATTTCAACACGTTAAAAATCAGCCATTTCCCAAGTTCACAAAGCTCAGACTTTTCTGATAAGAGCCTCCTCTTCCTGAGCTTCCCCTCGTTAATTTTCTCCACCTGTTTAATTTTCCCCTTTAGAAAACTGGCCAATCTGCCTTCCCCCACTATAACCTGAAGGGTCTTCAAGTGTGCACTAGTGTGAAGAGCCAAAGCCATGAATAGATGATGACAGAGGTGTGAACAGTTCGGCCAGGTGGGCCTGCAAGGACTCCTGGCAGCACCTGCTGCACTTTGCTTGCCACCAGGGGTCAGTATGTCTCTTGTTCTCCAGGGGGATCTTACCTAGGTCACCCACATAGAAGAGACCCAAGCCTGTGGCTCAGCAGGATCTTGTGATCAGTGATGTGTACATACCGGGCATCACACACAGAACAGGCACCAGTGTTGGCTGGCATGTGTGGGCCTGTGCAGATGTGTGCATACTGCACCTAAGGCACTAGGTGGGTTCTGGCTCTCCAGTTGTTACCTTGTGCAATGGCATCACTGGGTTCTTGGGCCTCCCTCTCTTCTTTTTCTTCTTGGACACAGGAGGCAGCTGCCATCTGGGCAAGGGCTGAGGCACAGTTAGCAGCAACCCCTTTAGAGAAGACAGACAATGACTTCTTGACTGAGTATATCCTGTAACCATTCACCTGGCAGAACCCCTTCTAAAAGGTTTCCCCACCAGCGCCAGATCATTCTCAGTGAGTTCTTCAGGACCACAGCCAGGGAACACGACTCCCACTGGTACCTAGTGCGCAGCTCAGCCGTGCGGCTTTCCGCAGCCCGTCGAGGCTCATGCAGATGGCGTCCCGCTCCTTCTGGTTCTGCTCTTTGATGCCTTCAGCTCCCAGAATGAAGGCCAGCCCTTTGGAGCTCCCTGCCATTCGACCAGTTAGTGGGGTTGATAAAGTATCTATCAAGTTCTTCCAGCAGCCCACCAGAATATAGCGAGCAAATGCCACGCCTGCAACATGGAGGGGTGTGAGTCACTTTCTACAGACAAAAACGAGCTGGCAATGAATGACATGGCGCTCTCTTGCCATCAAATGAGCAGTAATGAGCACACAATTCTACAACAGGAAATATAACTTAATGGATTATATGGGATCACGTTTCGCTTTGTTCTTATAAATAATAAATGTTGTATTACCAGCTGGATGATGCTAAGTAACTTCCATCAATTACTTTTTCTAACCAAGACAAAATCTTGATTCAAGTCACCACATAATAATTTAATTGCTGGTAACACCTGCAGTGTATGGATGTTCATAAACTCAAGACCCAAGTCATTACCTGCCACTGTGGAGTCATCAATTCTCCTGCTCTGGGTGAAAGGAGACTCTGTAGCAGCTGAGGACATCAGCTGGCCACCAATGGCACTGCTCTCTAAGCCATCAATATCTGTCAAGGAAAAAGAGTGAAGTTTCCCCCTAAATAAAATGTTCCAGTCAAAAGCCAGCAAACGGCCACCACGATACTCATTTTTAATAAATATCCCTTGTATCTTTTATGCTTGAAGCATGTAGCACCCTTTTATGAGACTATGATAAATTGTTTTATTCTCTCAGTCTAGCTTTATTTCCTGTTGGTGTATTTATTCTTTTGTTACATTTTTGCCTATTTTTATTTAAAAATAGATGTAAATTATAAATTATTATTTCTGTTAGAAAATCTATTAATTTAGAATATTTTGATATTAAACATTCTTTTTATTCAAAACCATGGATTATTCCCAAATTCAATATGTACAGGTTACCCAGAAGTGAACTTTTCTTTCAGAGCCTCTGTATATGAATTAAGAAGAGAATAAGCCTCTTTAGTCAGATAATCACATACTCAGATTGCAAAGTACAATAAATAATACCTTATAATTTTCAAAGTGTTTTCACATAACCTTTTTTCACTTGATCATCAAAGCAATTCAAATTAGGTAAGCAGGTCAGTATTATTTTTATTTCACACAGGAAGAAACAAATAAGAGTCCTGCACCACAAAATGATGCTTCGGTCACCTATGGACTGCATATAAGACAGTGGTCCCATAAGATTATAACAGCATATTTTTATTGCACCTTTTCTATGTTTAGATACACAAATACTTGCCACTGTGTTATGACACTGCTTACAGTATTCAATACACGTGGTGCAGGTTTGTAGCCTAGGTGTATAAGTGACTCTATCATGGTCACAAAATGACAAAATTGCCTAACATGCATGTCTCATAACATGTTCCGGTCCTTGCTAAAGAATGCATGACCGTATTTAAAGTAGGTAAATGGCTCAAGGCCATGAGGCTGATGATGGAAAGAATTAGTATTCATGTCTTCTGACTTCCACCCAGGCCTCTCTACATGATTCCAGCTCCATACTGGATCCTCAATTAACCTGTTGAAGTTTTTGTTGAAACAAATTCTCTTCTACAGAATTAGCTCAACGAACCACTCTTTAACATGGCAAGGAAAGGACTGGAGTGGGGCTAACAAGGCTGAGCTTTCATCTTGGCTCTGAATTAAGTAGCCTTGTAGCCCTGGGCCAGGCTCTCCAGGGCCTCAAGGTCCTCGGTATAAAGGAAGTAACCCCTGGAAAAGTGACTATGGAGTAACATATGTACTTGGATGCAATTAATGTAGCTGAATGCAACATAGGGAGGGATGGGAAAGGAGGGTAGTTGTGTGTGTGTGTGTGTGTGTGTGTGTGTGTGTGTGTGTGAGACAGAGTCTTGCTCTGTTGCTCAGGCTGGAGTGCAGCAGTGCAATCTCAGCTCACTCCAACTTACCCCTCCTGGGTTCAATTGATTCTCGTGCCTCAGCCTCCTGAATAGCTGGGATTATAGGCATATGCCACCACACCTAGCTAATTTTTGTATTTTTATTAGAGACAGGGTTTCACCATGATGGCCAAGCTGTCCCGCCTCTGCCTTCCAAAGTGCTGGAATTACAGGCGTGAGCCACTGCCTGTATTTATTAGTATTTATAAAGTCTTGAGTTTAGGACTTTACTATCACCCTAAGAGAATGAGAATTCTGCATGGTATATGAAAATTATATCACTGCATCTTTGTTTCTTACAGAAATTACAAAAAACCTGGACACTTCTCAGCAACTATCAGAACCAAAAACAGGGAAGAAATCTATATGGCTGCTAAGGTGAAAACAGACTTTCTCTGAAATTAATTTGACATCTGGTCAAATGGTCTAATGACATTTGCCAGAAATTTTCATTTATCAAAGTATAATGAATGTTTTCTTTTTTTCCTTTTTTCTGAGATGGGGTCTCGCTCTGTTGCCCAGGCTGGAGTACAGTGGCACGATCGTGATTCACTGCAATTTCTGCCTCCCAGGTTCAAGAGATTCTCCTGACTCAGCCTCCTGAGTAGCTGGGATTACAGGCATGCGCCACTACGCCTGGCTAATTTTTGTATTTTTAGTAGAGATGGGGTTTCACCATATTGGTCAGGCTGGTCTCAAACCACCTGCTTCAGCCTCCCAAAGTGCTGGGATTACAGGCGTGAGCCACCGTGCCCGACCAATGAATGTTTTCTATGTGCGAGGCAAAGGTCTGATGAATTCAAGTAATGTAAAGTTTATTTCTGTGCTAAAATTCCACAGTTCTATACAATATTCTGACATGACATCAGGAATGGCCACAGTTAGTACACGATTGATCATGAGATTGCTGGCAATGCTTCTCCTTATACGTAATGAAAAGATCAGACAGAAGTCTCCAAACTCTAGGTTAACTGCTGTTCTGATTCATTGCCACTTCATACCTGGAATTCAGAATCACAAAGAATCACAGACCCTTATTTTGTTAAATTCTTAGGAAAAGCCCTTTTCTATCATTAAAGTTAAATAACTTTCATATGGACATAGCAATTGAGCTTATTGTTCCATTAATAACAATGACGGCTAATTAACAGTGATGACTGATGAATATGGGAACTGTGAATTGTCTGTTACTTACTCCTTTTACATCTACTGAATGACTCCTTTTATTAAGATCTGGGCAAGAGAGTCACACAGATTACTTTCGGCACAGAGAAACTATGGTATTTGCAAATTAAAGCTGGAATGTTTAGGATCCTCATCCAAATTCTCAGACTTACAAGCTCTGGGCAGTAACTTCCATCCCTACTGAAAGCAGTTTGGGAAAACAGAGGGAAACCAAGCATTGCTTATAGGTAAACTAAATAAATGGCTCTCACACATTTGAATGATTATGTTTTTCTTTCTTCCTCTTCTTTTTTTTTTTTTTTTTTTTAGACAGGGTCTCACTCTGTCACTCAGGCTGGAGTGCAGGTGATGTGATCTCAGCTCAGTACAACCTCTGCCTCCCAGGTTCAAGGGATTCTCCCGCCTCAGCCTTCCAAGTAACTGGGACTACAGATGTCTGCCTTGCTCGGCTAATTTTTGTTATTTTTTTTGTAGAGATGGAGTTTCACCTTGTTGATCAGGCTGGTCTCAAACTCCTGACCTCAAGTGATCCACCCGCCTTGGCCTCCCAAAGTTCTGGGATTATAGGCGTGAGCCACTGTGCCTGGCCTGAATGTTTATTTTTTAAATGGATGTAAATGCTACCATGATTAACAAAATACAAATTGATCACCTCTCCAGTGATCCTGATCCCCAAGGTTTGAGACCCAATCTTACTTCTCCCAATTCCATCCTAGTTCTTGAAGCAAGACTCCAAATGACCAGGACTCTGCCACCTGTGGACAGACCTCACTGCATGTCCTGACCTTCTACCTGATTCCTAAATAGTGCCTCACCCCCAATTCCACATGGCTGGGTTCCACCTGCCAGTAGTTTACTCTGATACCTTGTAAGAACCCCCAGTGCCAACCATGGGCAATGTAACATGGTAACATGCCCTTTGGACAACAGATTCTGCATCCCAGCTGGACTGTCCTGCCAAGCCCAGTGCTGTTCCTGTTGGGCACAGAGCCATGCCAAGCTGGGTGAAGATACATACAGACACTCCAGAGAGGGAGGGCCATGCTCTGCACCTCCTTCCGCTGGAGCCAGGAGAGAATAACTGAGATCAGAAGCCAGTCTGGGGAGGGTAGGTGTGCAGCTCACGCCTGTAATCTCAGCACTTTGGGAGCTCAAGGCGGGCAGATCCCTTGAGGTCAGGAGTCGAGACCAGCCTGGCCAACATGGTAAAACCCTGTCTCTACTCAAAATACAAAAATTAGCTGGGCATGGTGGTGGGCACCTGTAATCCCAGCTACTCAGGAAGCTGAGGCAGGAGAATCACTCAAACCCAGGAGGTGGAGTTTGCATGAGCCGAGATGGTGCCACCGCACTCCAGCCTGGGCCACAGAGCCAGACTCAAAAAAACAACCAAACAACAACAACAACAACAAAGCAAAAAAACAAAACCAAAAAAAACAACCAAACAAAAAACCAAAACCCAGACAAGCCTGGAGCTCTAACTTATTTAGGCAAGTGATGACCAGACTAAACTTTCGCTCTCTCCCCAATCTTCGGCACTATGGCCAAGCCACAAGAAGCCATGAAAAGCTGGTTTTGCCAAAACATGTTGCTCCACGACAATAAGGCATACTGCTCTCTACACTCTCATGTGACATTTCTAATTGTTCAATAGGATTTCAAAAGTTCCTGTGATCCATATGCACCCTGAAACACTACACAACCACACAAAACCCCCAAAATCATGTCCTGTGTAGCAACATGGACTCAGCTGAAGGCCATTATCCCACATGAGTCAATACAGGAACAGCAAACCAAATGCCAGCTGGGCTTGCTGGCTCACGTCTATAATCCCCACACTTTGGGAGGACAAGGTGGGCTGATTGCCTCAGCTCAGGAATTCGAGACCAGCCTGGGCAATACGGTGAAACCCCATCTCTACTAAAATACAAAAAATTAGCCAGGCATGGCAGCAGGCACCTGTAATCCCGGTTACTCTGGAGGCTGAGCCAGAACTGCTTAAACCCTGGAGGCAGAGGTTGCAGTGAGCCACGATTGTACCACTGAACTCCAGCCTGGGCGACAGAGTGAGATGCCATCTAAAAAAAAAAAAAAAAAAAAAAAAAAAGAAAAGAAAACCAAATGCCATATGTTCTCACTTACAGGTGGGGGAGCTAAACACTGGGTACTCACGGACATCAAGATGGTAACAACAGACACTGGGACTGCAAGGAAGGAGACGGAGGGAGGGAGGGGACAGTGTTGAAAACTGTTGGCTACTATATCAGTATCGGTGATGGGATCAATTCACCCCGAGCCTTAGCATCATGTAATATACCCAGGTAGCAAATCTGCACATATACCCCTTTAATAAAGTAATAGCTGAAACTATACATAGAGAGAACCATCACATGAGGCTACACAAAAGCACCAACTTGCTCACAAGCCATTGCAACCTTATACAAAATAATACTCCCGTGAGGACATCTTCGCAGCACCCGCTTGCCTGTCCAGTTTAAACTGGTGCCGCCCTTGTTACTGATTCTTTACTCAAGGATCATTATGTGAAAATGAAATCCTCACTTTCCTTTTAAACACCTTTGTCGCCCTTTACCTCCCTGAATACACACGTAGTTTCCTCTGGCGGGTGTATTTCCACTGCAGTGCTTATTCCTGAATAATATTTTCCTTAAAAAAAAAAAATAAAAGCTCTGGACATTGAAGACCAAGCTGCTGAGCAGGTAAGTATTTGGCAATATTCTTAATTCTGGTACAGCTGGGAAGGGAAGGGATGGCCTCTGATATGGATAGAAAACAGGAAGGAAACCAACTTTTGTTCTGAGACAGGGTCTTGCTCCTAGCACCCAAGCTGGAGTGCAATGGTACAACCTCCACCTCCCAGGTTCAAGTGATTCTCCAGCCTCAGCCTCCTGAGTAGCTGGGATTACAGGTGCCTGCCACCAGGCCCAGCTGATTTTTGTATTTTTAGTAAAGATGGAGTTTTGTCATGTTGGCCAGGCTGGTCTTGAACTCCTGACCTCAGGTGATCAGCCCACCTCCACCTCCCAAAGTGCTGGGATTACAGGACTGAACCACTGCACTCAGCCAGGAAGCCAACTTTAAAATCAGCCATTTTACATTTACTGGTAAATCTCAAGAACATGGAATGATACGGATTTCGATTAGCATGAGAGAGCTACCAGGAATAATCCTGGGCCTACACATCCTATCCACGTGGCCTATACTTTCACACCAACAAAGGTACTAAGTTAGTCCTCATCTAATGGGGCACAGTGAGCCCTACAGACTCCCACATGGAAAAGGGACAGAAAACTCCTGTGAAGTGAACTCATGACACTTCCCTGGAACTGTCACTAATTGCCAGGGAAGCTAGGAGGTGTTTCAAAGTCTGCTCCAAACACCATTGCTTTTCTGAAAGAGGCTTTAAAAGTGTAAGCCATTCCACCCTACCACGTGCCCCAAGGCTTTGCGAGGAACCACTGACCGGTCAGCATTGTGATGAGGGGAAGGCTGTTATCTTCCGGGCTGCCCCAGTAGCCAGCCTCTCCAAGCATGTTCCTGTCGAGCACCTGATGGTAGAGCTCCTCAATCCAGGCCGGGGAGAAGACCATCAGCACACCGCTGGACTGCACCTGCTTCATGAACTCCTTCTACAGAGAGATCACATGAGAAGGTGACCACATAACACCCTGCTCACGAACAGGCTCCTACGTGCCTCTGCTGCCTCTTCACGTCACAGAGCCCCGAACTAAACCAAGGCTTGTGTATTGGCTAAGGGGCTGGCAAGTGGGGAGAGGCAGAGATGGAGAATTCCCAAATGTGCTGAGGTTCCCTTCACTGATGACATTCCCTTCACTGATGACGCCTTTTGACAGATACCTTGCAGAGGGATTAGAGAGACCGCATTTTACATTCTTACTCTTGGATGTGTGGAAGGGTTTGCAGCTGCCAACTGCACAGACGTCTTTAACAGAGTAACAGAACTTCCTTTTCTAAAAGTCCCAGCAGCAGAGATGGAACGCATTTCTGCAGGAAGTGCACGTTTCAAGAGATATTTCACTTATGCTCATGAAGTAATCACTTACCTTTGGGAATTTACAATTTCTCAAGCAAACAAATGATTGTGGATTTCCTTCACGTAGATCCATGGATTTAGGCTCAGGAACTGTTAATAGGGTACACCATGGAGTGGCTTGCTCCATCACAGGCACAAGGGACAGAAAACTAACCACAGGACAATCAACATTCTCACTGCACTCCTTATAGAAGGTGCTTGTGAACAATAGCCAGTGAGCTTAGTTCTGGGTCAACAGGTCTGGGAACATACTGGAATATGGTAAAGGGTTTTTATAAGTGCACACCTTCAGCCAGCCATGGTGGCTCATGCCTGTAATCCCAGCACTTTGGGAGGGCAAAGTGGGAGAACTGCTTGAGCCGAGGAGTTCAAGGCCAGCCTGGACAACATAGTAAGACCCTGTCTTTATTAAAAAAAAAAAAAAAATTAGCCAGGCATGGTGGTGCACCCCTGTAGTCCCAGCTACTTGGGAGCTGAGGTGGGAGGACCACTTGAGCCCAGGAGTTTGAGGTTGCAGTGAGCCATGCCGTGATCATCCCACTACACTCCAGCCTAGACAACAAAGCAAGACTGTTTCAACAACACAACAACAACAAAAGCACAACTCATTTTTAGCAAATTCCCTGCATACCTTCTGATCTGCCTTAACATGTCAATGATGTGGTTTTGAACATGCTTTATACACACGTGTTTAATAATGTTACTGGATGAAACTACTAGGTTGTTCCTAGACAACCATTTCCAGGACCTCATGTCCACATGCTCTTCACTGGAGCCCAGTGAGTAGCTCTACACTCCCGGTGCTGGGCAACTGTATATCTATGCCCTTATATATGTGTCATCTCCTTCCACCTCCTGAAGTCCCACTGGCATTACCCTCAGCCTAGAGCAGTGTGGAACAAAACACACTCTGCTATCCCACTCAGGCACTGTCACTAGGCGGTACACCACAAGACCACAGCCTGCCTTCGGCCAGTCCAACGAGGGGTGGCACACTCACCATCACGCCTGGCGACAGGGTCGGCCGCTTCCTGTAGTAGTCGCCATGGGAGAGCTTCAGGTTGAGGAGCAGGGCGTAGTGTGCAGCTGCGTAGAGGCTGTCCGCGTTCATCAGCATCTGGAAGCTGAGGCTGCTGTTTGCGTCAAAGCCAGGAGAGTGCATCATGCCTAAGGGAGAGAACCAAGAGACTTTTGGGGATGTGAACAGTGTGCTTGGCAAGACTGGCTTCCAGAGAGCTGCAAACCCAGCATAATAGATACTGCATCATACAGGACATTGCTTTTTTATTTGTTTGAGACGGAGTCTTGCACTGTTGCCCGGGCTGGAGTGCAATGGCCCAATTTTGGCTCACTGCAACCTCCAATTCCCGGGTTCAAGCAACAATTACCTGGGATTATGGTTGTGTGCCACCATGCCTGGCTAATTTTTGCATTTTTAGCAGAGACGGGGTTTCACCATGTTGGCCAGGCTGGTCTTGAAGTACTGACCTCGTGATCCACCTGCCTTGGCCTCCTCAAGTGCTGGGATTACAGGCATGACCTGCCATGCTCAGCCATCCCTATGAATTTTAATGGATATGTAAGTAAGAAGATGTGGACCAGAGAAAGCTTTCAAAGTTGAAAATAATTCAAGATCTTTGCCATATTTGAGGACAGTGTAAACACTTCTTGGTGGGAGTAAGCATATATGTTATTCCCATAAAACCACCTTAGACACTCAAAGGTTATAAGACAAGGCAGAGGAAATTCAAAACGGTTGAAATTCTGAAGCTGCCTCAAGAGGTTTCCCACCAAGAGCACTTTGTGATCATGGACTAGGGTGCATTTTAAAAGGAAGGTCAGACTGTGAGTGAGATCTGAAAACCACATCTTTGGTTAGGACATGAGCAGTGTACCCCAGCCCTCATGGTCCATGGGAACTGCCGGCACTCTCAAGGTCCTGGTGGGGCTGATACCAGTTATCTGGAAGAGACATAGGGCCCAAGACCAGTCTCCTTCCATGGTAAAACAGAAAGCAGCATTCAGGGTTGGGTGTTTAACTATCTTGGATCATAGATGAAAGGTACAATTGAGTCTATCAACAAGAAAGTAAAAATGAATCTGTGAAAGGCTTGCAGTTTAGACATCAGCAGTAATTCCTTTAAAAATGTTGGAACCAACACTATTTACCTTGGGATGTTTTGGAAAACCAAGCACCTGCTCAGATGCTGAAAGTGAAAAAGGCAGCTAATGTGAGTGTTGACATGGAGACCAAAATCACCTGCAGAGAAGTAACGAAGCCCTGGCAGGCACTGCTGTTGGCGATGCCCAAGAGGAAAGCATTTGTTGGACTTGTTACGAGTCTCACCTGTTGGTACCACCCTAAGTCTGCATGCAGATTAATTTCTTAAATTCCAAAGAGCTGACAAATTTGTGACCAAAACAAAGGTTTATTTTGTCAACTCAAAGAAAACAGCCATTTTCTTGCAATAGTTCACTGGTGATATGGATAACGGAAACATGATAAGAATAATTTATTAAATGCTTTCTATTACCTAGAACCAATCTCTTCTCATACATCATTTTCTGATCTGTAAGAAAGATACCCCAGAGACAGTAATTTGCCCAGAGTTACATGACTCAAAGTCAGCAAAGGTCTTTTGGGCCTACACTTCAGGTTTTTGCATTAGCCATGCTATACTTGCTTCTAATGTCTAGAAAAGATCTCGCCATATCCTGTACCTCTCTAATAGATGCTCTATTTTCCATTCATCCTTCTGATTGGCCTCATTGATGTGTTATCCAATTTAGAGTAACAAACTCTAAGAACTACGACCTTTAACATATTCTGACTCTTTGTATTGCCCAGTGTTCATTAACTAAAGTTCATTCTCTCCCTTTATAATGAAGATGTGCTTTACTGTGGAAACAGGAGCATGGATCACCGACTTGACTGCTTACCAGGGAAAGATTAGCTACAAGATTAGCATGAGTGACCTCTAAAAGTCCCTTCCATGTCTAAGAAAATTTGGTACATCTTTTTTGGATGAACATTAATTTAGAACATTGAATAATACTGAAGAGTATAAAAAATAAGAACAATAGTCCCTACTTCTCCCCAAGGCCCAATGACACCTCTAACAGCAAGGCTCACTTCCTCGTGTGTTTGAAAATATCACCAAGTGAGATCACACTACATATGCTGGACTATAACTTGATGTTTTCTAAAAATATGTGTTAGATGTGTCTTGATATTGACACGGGTGTGCTTCATTCTTTTTGTTTTTTTGTTTTTTTTTGTTTTTTTTTGTTTTTAAAGACATTGCCAAAACATTTTCCAGAAGAGCTGTACCCTTTAACACTTTCACCAGCAATGTATGAGCCGTTCAGTTTCTCCACATCCTCACTCTTATTTGGTGTTGTTACTGTTTTTTGTTTTAGCCATTCCAATAGGTAGGTAAGATACCTCATTGTGATTTCACGCTGCATTTCCTTAATCTAATTATTTTCAACCGGGCTGCTATAATAAATTACCAAAAACCTGGTGACTTAAAATAACAGAAATGTATTCTCACATAGCTCTGGAAGCTGGAAATCTGAAACCAGTATCATCAGGGCCACACCCTTGCAAACTGTTGTAGGGGGGAACTCTTCCCTTCCCTTGTCTCTTGTCTTCTTACGGCTGCTGGTAATCTCTAGTGTTTCATTCTTTTTTAATGACTGTGCATATGCCACTGCATAGTTATGGGGCTTATTTATCTGATTTTAATGCTCTATTGGCGGACATTTATGTTGTTTCAAGTATGACAAAAACTGACATGACTAAATGAAAATATACTTTTATTTATTCTGCTTTTAGTACACTTGCAGAAGTGTACTAAAAGCAGAATAAGTATATTAAATTTAATAGATATAGCCAAACTATGTTCCAGATAGATTTACACCAATTTTTCCACCTAGCAACTATGCACAAAATACTCTCACACCCACTCTCAGCAACACTGGTCATTATCAACTTCCTAAACCTTCGTGATAAGATTACACAACTTTGCTTAGTCACAGATTTATTTAAGTCTATGGCTCTAATTTTTACATAACATTACTGCTTTATCTTCTGATGGAAGTTGCAAGAAATTAGAGATTTGGGAAAAGGCACAAAGAAGAAAATAATCTATAAGAACATCATGCTGAGATAAGTAATATTAACATTTTAATATGAATTTTAAATCCTTCTTTTCAAAATTACATTATGATAATTTTTCCTATCATCAAACATTATTGGAAAAGATAATTTTAAGTGGCTATTTAGGCTGGGTGTAGTGGCTCACACCTGTAATCCCAGCACTTTGGGAGGCTGAGGTGGGTGGATCACCTGAGGTCAGAAGTTCAAGACCAGCCTGGCCAACACGGTGAAACCCCGTAAACACCATCTCTACTAAAAATACAAAAATTAGCCAGGTGTGGTGGTGCACGCCTGTTATCCCAGCTACTCAGGAGGCTGAGGCAGGAGAGTCGCCTGAACCCAGGAGGTGGAGGTTGCGGTGAGCCTTGCCATCTCTCCATTGCACTCCAGCCTGGGTGACAGAGACTCCATCTCATTAATAAATAAATGGCTATCTAATATAATAAATGGATATACCAGAACTCATTTAACCTTTCCCTTATTTTTGGCAGTTATTTCTAATAGTTTTTGCTGTTAAGTAAAATGTGTATGTTTCTATATATAAATCTCTGCCTGAGTTTCTAATCCTTTAGTGTAGGTTCCCAGGAGCCAATGAGATGCCAGTTATCCATTGGTATCTTTCAGTCTCTCAGGACTTTGAAAACTCGTACATTTGCTGGGTTACAGTTTTTCAGCCAGCATGGGTTTTTTTGTTTTGTTTTTGTTTTTGTTTTTTTAACCAGAGCTAATCAACTCCAGAGGTTTTTGTGTTCTTCAACAGCAATTCCTAAATAATTACAAATCCTCTAAGAGAAGCATGTGAAGAAGAGCTTAAAGATCCACCAGAGGGAGAAACTGAGTACACTGTAGTTAGCAGGAATGGGTATCACACAGGCATCCTAAGTCATATTTGCAAAGAATACTTAAAGACAGGAGAAACATGGCAACAAAATATTAAGTAGAAAGTAAGTTACAAAATTAGACATGATGTATTTATTCTCCCCATCCTGGTACCGTGCAGTGTAATGAGTGTGCTTTCTGGAGCCAGATTCATTGCCTGGTATCACCTCTTCCTAGCTATGTACATACTTGGATGACTTACTACTTACTACTTAACCTCTGTCTCAGTTTTCTCATCTATAAAATGAGGATAATAATACTATGTACTTTATGGGGTTATGTGTATTAAATGAATTAATATCTGTAAAACTCTTAAGACAATGCAGGGCATATAGGAAGTGCCATGTTAGATTAGCTAGTATTTTTATTATAGATACATGTAAATAAGCACATTCATATGATGAAAAATGACTGCAAGAAAAGATGCCAGGATATTCCAGAGTCAGCTTTTAGGTGGTATGATGATTTTGTGTTGTCTTTTTTTGGTAGAGACATGGTCTTACCATGTTGCCCACTATGTCCTCCCACTCTGGCCTCCCAAAGTGCTGGGATTACAGGAATGAGATTTTGTATGGTTTTTATAGTATTGTATTCTCTAAGTTTTATATTCCACAATGCCAGGTGTTGGCCGAGGATTCTGTTAGACTACTTATTCTCCATCCCTGCTTCCAGAATACTTCGCTTCTTTCATTTATTAAAGCGAGCAAAGACTCTTATCCTTTGAGGCTCCTGTCATCTGGCCAGATCTTCCACCCATCCTTGAAACTTTCCTCCATGATATGCCAGACACAGTCACATTCACTCGCCAGCCTGGCATGGAGTCTGTGGCCTCCTCTTCACCCCATTGCCTCCTGCCCCTCCTGCCATTACCCTGTACCACTTCAGCCTCTAGATGGCCAACTCCTCCAATGCCAGGTCCTTTTAGAGTCTTGACAACCAAGCCATCCATCATTCCCTCCATTCTGCCTCTGGGGCTCCTATAGTAACACTCGGAGTCAATTCACCCCACTCCAGTGTTCTTCCCACAACATCACTGATTTAGATGGCCCACTCTGACTGGAATCTTTCTGTTGGCTTGCTCAGTCACCGACAATATAGCAGATTTTGGATGAATCCTCACCTTTCCCCTACTGTACTATTGCATTTCATTTGCAGAATAAAGTAAGTATCACTGTTTAACATACTTACATTACAGGTAGGTTATGTGATGCAGGGAGAGGGTCAGTAACCTACCCATGGTCACAGCTCTTCTTCCTCCCTCTCTCTCTCTTTCTCCCCTGCCATCTCTTTCCCTCCCCTCTCCTCTCTTCCTCTCCCTCCCTCCCTTCCTTCCTTTCTCCCCTTTTTTTCTTTCTTTGACAGAGTCTTGCTCTGCTGCCCAGGCTGAAGGGCAGTGGTGCAAACACAGCTAGCTGCAGCCTCAACCTCTCAGGCCCAAGTGATCCTCCCACTGCAGCCTCCTAGGTGGATGGGACAACACATGCACCACCATGCCTGGCTAATTTTTGTATGTTTTGTAGAGATAGGTTCTCACTATGTTGCCTAGGCTGGTCTCCAACTCCTGAGCTCAAACAATCCACCCGCCTCAGCCTCCTAAAGTGCTGAAACTGCAGGTGTGAGTGGGCCACTGTGCCTGGCAAAGACCCCATATTTACAAAAGAAAAAGAATTAGCTGGGTGTGGTGGTGTGTGCCTATAGTCTCAGCTACTTGGGAGGCTGAGCCACTGCACTTCAGCCTGAACAATAGTCAGACCCTGTGACAAAAAAAAAAAAAAAAAAAAAAAAAAAAAGACCAAAGAATAGCTTCATGAATTTACAATCAATAAATATTGATTGAGAATAAACTGTACATCTTTTGGGACCTTAGCATATAGCACAATTCAGCTTCTCTATAAATGCTGCTTGAAGGAAGATTTGGGTAGGGGTATCTGTGTGTGTGTGTGTGTGTGTGTGTGTGTGTGTGTGAGAGAGAGAGAGAGAGAGAGAGAGAAAGGGAGGGCGTGAAAGGGAGATCTCAGACAAAAAGAGAGACAGACACAACCATACAAAAAACACAGCCCTAGAATGTTCAATCAGAGAATGTGAAATTTAAAGACAATGGTATAAAAGATACTAGGGAGAAATATAATTTTTTTAAGAAGATTTTCCTAGTCTTCCAATGAAACATGAATTTTGTTTCACACACAAATAAAAAATCCAAAATTCAGTTTTTACATTTAACTCCAAAAGAAAAAATATTGAGGAAAGAAATTATGTTAGGTAGCCTTAAAAATCAGTGTACAAATAGGAATTAGAAAATAAAAGGAGAGCTGAGAAATCATGTCTTTTTACACCCGTTTCTAGGTCATGTGAACACTTCTGGAGTAAAAATTCTATGTCTCCTTTGGTGCTTGCTACAACTTTAGACCATTCTCGTATGAATAAATGTTCCTCCTTAGATATACTCAGATTCAAGTGTTTTTTTCTTGTCCTCTTGAAAAAGGACAATTTGGTCAGTTTCTTAAAGATACTCATTAAGCTACACGTCAGTCAGCTTCTAACCAAGTTCTAGTAACTGGGCTACAATTTTTTCATGTGTGTGTATGAAGTTTTCCTTGTTAGGAAATAAAAAGGAAGCGAGACAAGGTCTCAGCTCTCAAAGAGGAGTGTAGAGAGGGGAGGGAGGAAGGGACAGTGGATGCATTGACAAATGACTGTGATAAATGCAGCAAGCACAACGACAAACACATGTTCCAGGTTCAGTGGTGGAAGAGCAAGTGGTGATCATGGTTTTTTAAGCAGTTCTGGGTCAGTTCTCAAGGTCAGCCCTTTGGATCTGAGCATAGGCCTAGGGAGATCCATTCGCCTCAGTATTCTGGGGTCAAGAGACCCTTGTATTTGAGGGCAGTCACAGATGACCTCCCTGGTATCACATGAACATTTATTACTGCCATAAATTTTACATATCCATTAATTTTTCTTTCTGTATTATCTTTCAAGAAAACTATCTTAAAAATAATTATTCACTATGTGAAATGCTACTACTTCTCTGTGTTCCTTATCTGCTTCCTCCACCGAAAGCCTAGGCGATTCTCTTCTGTCCCTCAATAATACCAACATGATTCTCTGGTGTGAGTTGGCCGCTATTCCCCCCAGCACCACTGTTTAATTATGGTCTGAGTCAAAATTCAACAGACAGAAGGATCTGAGACAGGAGAATGCCATGTTACCAAGCTATACTGAACTATCACACATTGTTCGAATATTCAGTAGAATTCAAATATATTGGGAGGACTCGGTGTGCAATTGATCCAAGACGACATTCAAAACAGTTTACATTATACACCATGGAATACTATGCGGCCATAAAAAACGATGAGTTCATGTCCTTTGTAGGGACATGGATGAACCTGGAAAACATCATTCTCAGCAAACTGACACAAGAACAGAAAATCAAACACTGCATGTTCTCACTCATAGGTGGGTGTTGAACAATGAGAACACTTGGGCACAGGGAGGGGAGCATCACACACTGGGGTCTGTCATGGGGAAACAGAGGAAGGACAATCCCAGCACTTTGGAAGGACAGTCGGGGCTGGGGAGGTGGGGAGAGATAGCATGGAGAGAAATGCCAGATACAGGTGACAGGGAGGAAAGCAGCAAATCACACTGCCATGTGTGTACCTATGCAACAATCTTGCATGTTCTTTATATGTACCCCCAAAACCTAAAATGCAATTAAAAAAATAGTTTACATTTTGATATGCCAACACTACACTGCTCTATGAATTTCAGACACCAAGACATAGAAGCATACTGAGAATTCAGTGTTTTAAGAATTACAGATTGTCATCTTGTTTCAATCAGTAGCACCCTCCCAGAATGCAGCTACTTCTCATTCTTTACTTTTCATCCTGTACATTTATCAGTCTCATAGTATATTTCAGCCATTGACTGCTGTAGAAGTCAGATAAACCACCACCAACAGGTCTTAGATTTCTTTGCCCTCTTTAAACTGGGGAAACCCAAAGATTCATTAATATGCTTTGAGCACTTCAAACTATAAGCGTGACAGTAATTGCCCATTAAGGCAAACTGCTCTGAATAATCTTGTTGACTACACAGCACAGAATTGTTGACAAACCTGAGCAGAAAGTGGAGGCAAAGTTCTGCAGAGCGGTGTCCACCTCCTCTACACTGGAGAGAGCCAGAAGCCGAGGAAGGAGGCCTTCCAGGGACTGTATGAACAGCCTGGTGCTGTGCTGATCCGCCTCCTGGTTCTTTAGCAGTTTTAGAGACAGGGCAGCAGTTCTCAGGGACCGGTGGCCCAGGCAGTCCCGGGGGGTCTGCTCTTCATCAGCGAGTGAACAGTTATCCGACCCTATGTCCGACACGTCAGACCTGCCCGAGTCCTTTTCTGCTGCCATTGAGTACTGATCACAGGAATCAAACTCTGTCCTAGAAAGGTCTTGGTCATCAACGCTAAAATTGCTCTCACTATACCTAGATCCGTAGGACCTTGTCCTGCAGTCTACTGACAGGAAGTTAGTTATGTCAGGGTAAGGGACCGTGTGGCTTCTCTGTACCACATCTGGCTGGTCTACTGCCTCTGGTTCCAATACTTTGCTCAGTGTCTCCTTGCCCTCTGGGATGGCTGGCGACTTGAGACTGTTCTTGTGGTTTCCCGAGTGGTCCTCGGGTGTGGTCTGACCCAACTCTCCCTCAAGCGTGGTCTGGCCTGTGTCTGTGGTGACACTGATGCTGATGTCAAGGCTCCTCTCGTTCCCTGACTCCCATGGCGTGTGTTCTGAGGACAGCACTCGCCGCTGCCAGCGGAAGTCGGCCTCATTGATCTCCATGGAATCTCGGCTCCACTCAGCCCCATCCTTCAGCTCCTCAAGGCGCAGAAGCAGCAGGTGTACCTGATCTTCGCTCAAGCCCTTCCCCTGGCTGAGCTCGTCCAGGGCACCTAGCAAGGTGCAGACACAGGACACGGCCGCATAGCAAGCTTCGATGCCACCTTTGATGCATGCTTCGGTCATGCCATCCATGATGCTAAGCGGTGTTCAAAAGAGAAAGTGGCACAAATGCGTAAAATGTAGAAAATGTCTCTGAAAGGAACAAGAGCTGTTAGCCTGGCAAATAGCAGAGTATTCAAAACAGACAGTCTGATTTGCATAAAACGAAATGGTCGGGGTGATAAAGAAAACAAACATGCTCAGGTGGCCAGAGGAAAATCAGAGAAAGTGGCCTGGATTGGCCAGGCACAGTGGCTCACGCCTGTAATCCCAGCACTTTGGGAGGTTGAGGTGGGTGAATCACTTGAGGTCAGGAGCCTGGCCAACATGGTGAAATCACGTCTCTACTAAAAACACAAAAAATTAGCCAGCTGTGGTGGTATATGTCTGTTACCCCAGGTACTCAGGAATCTGAGGCAGGAGAATCGTTTGAACCCAGAAGGTGGCGGCTGCAGTGAGCTGAGATCGTGCCACTGCACTCCAGCCTGGGCAACAGTGCAAGACTCCATCCCAAAATAAAAAAAAAAAAAAGAAAATAAGTGGTCTGCATTGAATCATACTCCCTTTTGGCTTGCTGGTTTATTTGGGTACAAACAGAAGCTCCTGATGAGCATTTATAATCTTCCTGAACAATCTCACTTCTGTATTATGCTGTGATTCAAATAGAAAATAGTTATAACACTTATATGATAATGTAGGCCTTCCTCTATAAACATATTCCTGAGCAGATGCATGTGAATACAACTATTACAAGTCCTATAATATTCAGTCTTCTAGGGGGAAGCTACATATGAAGAAATCCTATAGCTACAGTATTTAAGTCAAAAGTTCTTCTCTAAAATAATCCCAATGATATAATTATTATACATTTCAATTGATACATTTCACTTTGATTTTAAGTCAATATGAAAATATGACAAGTTGCATGATTATAATAAATTAAGTCTTCTCATGTAGCTTGTGGGTGAATTATTAAATAGATACTTTTCATATAATGTAGAATTTTTTTAAAACTTCAGGGATTTGCAAGCAAGGTTAAAAATCTTCAGAAAAGCAGCCTCTAAAAAGACCTAAAAGGATAAGTATCATACAGTTTGAGGAGATCCAGATGAGACTTTCTTTTTGAAATTGATCTTTTTCTGGATTCTGGTTCAGTGGAGCTGGGTCCTGCCAAGTCACAGAGACGCTGTGGGCTCCCGAGAATCTTTAAGAAAATGGTAAAAGAGTAACAGAAAAGTGAATATCACAAAAAAGCACAGGGTTTTTAAACTGTAAGATCAAATAAACATGTACTTTCCCTATTGAGTGATACAGTACAAGGAGAAACACAACTATTTGGAACTTCAAATCTTAGACTGATTGGGATTTTCTTCTTGACATATGGTATACATCGGGCTCCCAGCTCCTCAGCTCAGGGTTGGCTTAGACAAGGAAAATTCTCAGAGGGATTGTTTCAAAATCTTTTCTGGCACAGAACTAGAAAACCCTTGGATCTCTGTTCTTTAGTAAGATTGGCTCATAATAGAACCTTCCTGGACTCTTTTTGTCTTATTTTGGTATTAAGCCAGCTAGCTTCATAAACTGGGTGGAGAAGTTCACCCTGTTTCTTGTCGCTGAAAAAGTTCATGGAAGATTGGAATTACTTGTTCTTTGAATGCTTCTATAACTTGTTTCTAAAGCTACATGGGGCCAGAACTTTAATGGGAATACCTTAACTACTTCTTCCATTCCTCTAAAGATTATAGGAGTATTCAGGTCTTCAATTTCTTCTTGAACCAACTTTTATAAAGTTGCATTATTTCCCAGGGACTTATCCATTTTATCTGGTTTTCAACTTTACTGTTCTAAAGTTGCCTTAATAACCTCTTTTATTTATTTAATGTGTGTAACATCTAAAATTAGCTCTATTCATTCTTATTTCTATTTGTACCTGTTCCGAATTTTTTCATTGCTCTTGAGAATAGTCTTTCAATTTTCTTAATCTTTTCAGTCCTAACATTTTCTGTTTGTTTGTTTTTTTTGTCTGTGTGTTTTTTTTTTTGTTTTTTTTTTTTTTTTTGAGATGGAGTCTCGCTTGGATGCACAGGCTGGATAGAGTGCAGTGGGGCGATCTCGGCTCACTGCCACCTCTGCTTCCCAGGTTCAAGCAATTCTCCTGCCTCAGCCTTCCAAGTAGCTGGGACTACAGGCATGTGCCACCATGCTCGGCTAATTTTTTGTATTTTTAGTAAAGACAGGGTTTCACCCTGTTACCCAAGATGGTCTCGATCTCCTAACCTCATGATCTGCCCGCCTTGATCTCCCAAAGTTCTGGGAATATAGGCATGAGCCACTGTGCCTGGCCACAATTCTGCATTTTAAACTCCCCTATTTTCCTTGTCACATTACTTTCTTCTTTTATCCTTATTTTTCCTCCTTTTTACCTTCTTTGAATTTATTCTATTCTTTTTTTCTAACTAAGCTGGAGAATTAGGATATTAAGATTTTCTTTTCTAATATAAGGAGTTAAAGCTATAAATATCTTTCCATTTACTGCTTTTGCTAGCTTCTCACAAGTTCTCATATATGTTAGGAATTGTTCACTTCTAAAACTCTTTTATGTATATATGGTAGAAGTCTATAGGAAATTTCAACTCGAGGCTAAATTAATTCAAGGAAAGATGGTTAACGCAGTGTGCCTGCAGCAGACGTCCCATCGTTATGTCCATTCATCTTCAAAGTGATTGATAACTCCAAGCAAAGCTAGGAAAAGGCCCATTACACAGAAGCAGCTGCATTTTAAGTGGCTCTCCTCTTTCCCTCTTTTCATATTTCTTTCTTACCACAGAAATTGAAAACTTCTGCTCTCTGGGAGGAACAGAAATGAAGCTTTCCCTTTTTGTTGACATCAAAAAAAGAGTGACAATGCTGGGCCTAAGTCAGGCAGGCTTTTTTTTTTCCTCTCTCTCTCTTCCACCCCCACCCTATAGGCCTGCAGCCTCCTGGCTGGACCCTATGAGCCTCAGGATGCTCCATCTCTTGCTGGAAGGGTAACTGCATTTCCAAAAGAGGGAATGGAAAACCTCACTGTCTCCTGGGATCCCGCCACAATTTAAAATCAGCTTCACCAGTAATAAACTAGATATTCACCGGTAATAAATTAGATTTTTTTTTTTTAGTGAAATCTCTGTCACCCAGACTGGAGTACAGCATCACAATCTCGGCTCACTGTAACATCTGCCTCCTGGGTTCAAGCGATTCTCCTGCCTCAGCCTCCCAATTAGCTGAGACTACAGGTGTGTGTCACCATGCCAGGCTAAATTTTTTGTATTTTTAATGGAGAGGACGTTTCACCATATCGGCCAGACTAATCTTGAACTCTTGATCTCAGGTGACTTGCCCATCTTGGTCTCCCAAGATAACCTATTTTAATTCCCATATCAATCTTGTGATTATTTCTCAATTGTTTCAGGATCTGGAGGGAAAGATGGACTGATTAGGCTTCCGAAGAACGCTCAACAAATACTAAAAGGAAAAGACGTTTTTAACCTCAGCTTCTTCAGGTGGAAACGAGAGATGTGGGATCAGTGGCTGGGATGCCAAGGACTGATAAAAGACTAGGGAACTTCTAAAGCTGAGCCACAGGAGAGAAAAGGAAGCAAGGCGTACTTTTTCACTACCGTTCATTTTGGAGGGTGGGGAATAAGAAACAAAAAAGAGACTGTGCTTTGAAAAACAAAATGTCCTATATGTCCTTGACCAATAGGCACAGAGTGCATATGGCAGAGTGACAACTACAATGAGAACAGGGAAATAACACACCAAGCGTTCAAACTCCGAAAGGCTAAACAAACATCCTGGGTACCCAGCGGTTTTCTTTGTGTGCATAAGCCCTGCACATTTTGGTATCTAGGTTACCAAATTTCCCAAATGATTGGTTTTGTCATATAAAGCAGAGGCACTGCTTTTCAGAACATCCTGGCCCCAATTAGTCTGCTGGGCTCTTTGGGGCAGCACCACCTGGACGTGCAACTTGGGTGCTACCATCACATTCTAGCCTCACCTCTGCAACATGACTTTGGAAAGCTAGAACATCTACAATGAACAGGAAGACATAACTAACTTCCTTTTGCAGCATGAAGGAAATTTAAAATATATTTAGGGACCTATGCATGCCATATGCAAAGTATGTACTTAGCATTCAGGTACTAAGTGGCTCTACTGTGGGCAGTGACAGCTCTAGCGCCTGTCATTTCTGAGGGGAAAAGAAAGGTTGCTGCTGCTTACAAAACAGCCTCTTTGTAGACATTTTGTCTTCAGGTCCACATGTCATTCAGTCGAAAGTTACTAAACACTTATTCTGATTCAAGCATTATAGAGTGAAATACTAGGGGAAAACATACATAAGCAATCTATACACAAAAATATAGCTGAGGAGGCAAGAAGCTCGTTCCCCATTCAATCGTGAAACATCAGTGTGATGGGATGTATAATCAATTGCTAAATGGCGGGATGGAATTTAAAGAAGAACCCGATCAGTGGTCTGAGGAAGCCTGACTGTGAAAGACAAGAATTTCGATAGCAAAGCAGCAGCCATAGTTAGAACATCGGGCTTCACCATCTTAGCCTTATGACTCACAAGGTGAAGGACTCTGGGCAAGTGATTTTCTTCCACCAGAGGCTCGGCTTTCCCACCTGGAAAATGGGCATAATATTATTTTCCTAAGAGAGTTTGGAAATAAGCTAATGTGAACAGGCAGATGTGTCTAGCCTGTTGAAATTAACTACTCAACTCTGAGAAGGGAGTGGCCCACGGGAATAAAGGACAGGGGACCCTGAAGAGAGGCGGGAAGGTGGGAGTTGAACAAAGCAGGTCATTTAGGTGGGATGAAGGTGCATCCTGGGAAGTGACAGAAAATGCAAATGATGGAAGAAGGCTCTGGAATCTGGGCACAGTAACTCAGCCTTGATGGGAGAGTCAATGAAGAGCCATTAGAGAGCCCTGGGCAATGGCAAAATTATTAACAGTGGTGATTTATGGACATAAGTCCAGTAAGACAAAAGGAATAAAGCAGGCAGGAGAGGGAGGCCAGCTAGAATTGAACCAGCTATTTTCAGTCTCCATGTGTTTTTTTCTCTTCCTTAGAATAGTAATAAGCGCACCAAATATTTGCTTAACACTTTATACTTACAAAGTACTTAGGCAAACTTGATTGCATTTTGAACTTGCAGCCTTTGGAATATTATAACAATGTACGGATGACAAAACTCTTAAGTTCAGAGTTAAATGATGTACCTCTCTCATGTAGCCAGTGAGCGGCAGAGAGAGGATTCAAACCCTGAGTCTCAAACTCAGGCTCCTGACATGGGCAGCTGAACCAACACCAAGAAAGGGGCTGCCGGGGGTCATCTGCACTGTGAGAGTCAAATCCTGTGCTAAGTATGATACAGGAAAAGACCATGGGATAAGAGTCACAGGGATTTGCACCTTTTCTTTTTCTTTGGGACTTTGGGGAAATCATTTGACCTCCTAAAGCCTAAGTTCCTTTGGGGGAGGGAATTTTCTTTGGCATCACACTTCTATGAGGAGGAACACCCAGTGGAGTAAAGTTCTAGGCCTCTCCTCTCCCTTCCTCTTTCTTCCAGGTGCAGAGGAGCCCCTGATCGACTGGTGAATTGAGGATAAGGAGCCGAGCCTGCCTTGCTAGCCCATTTCTCACCCACCTTCCTGGGGATCTGCCAATCAGAGGAAGCCTACAGTTGCCCCTCCAGGATGCAAGTTGAACAGGGGTAGGGGAGGACCTTTGGGAAGGGCCACTGCGGTCTGAGTGGTAGAGAGTGGTTTGGTCTCACTGGCTTCCAAAGCTGTGTTGTACCCGACCACCTAGTGAAGGTCAGTTCTTATAGCTGGCCTTTTGATCTCCATTGCCTGAAGCTCTGGTGGGGAAAAGAAGTAACATTCCTAATCGGTAAAAATAAAGTTGATGGCCCGGCATGGCGGCTCATGCCTGTAATGCTAGCACTTTGCAGGGCTGAGGTGGGCAGATTGCTTGAGCTTAGGAGTTTGAGACTAGCCTGGGCAACATGTTTCTACAAAAAAAATATAAAAAGTAGCTAGGCGTGGTGGCATACACCTAGGTCCTAGCTTCTCTGGAGACTGAGGTTGGAGGATCACTAGAACCCAGGGTCCATGCTTCACTGAGTCATGATTGTGTCACTGCACTCCAGCCTGGGCAACATAGTGAGATCCTGTCTCAAAATAAATAAAGTTGATATACAAACTGACAAATTTATTACGAATAAGAAAGATAATATATATGAAGTGCCTGGCATATAGTAAGCAAGAAAATGAATGGTAATGATTATTGTGGGCTCATACCAGCCATTAAATCTAGTCCACTGTTTAATTTTTAGAAACAGTGGGTCAGAACTATCCAATACTCATTACAATAAAATCTCATAAAAACGCTAAGAAAGAATTCAAATTTAACTTCTTAGATACTGGCTGGCAGCAATGATTGCTTAAAATAAATAAATCATCAACAAGGGAATTTTGCTACTCTGTTTCTTTTGTCGGGGGCGGTAAGGTACCAAAAGGAAATGCAATCTGACCTTTATGCACAGGTTCACAAATACAGAAACACTGATGACTTTTCGTTTTGATTCTTTGAGAGAAGGCAGAGGAATCTCTGTTTGAAGAACCTTCAAAATAACCCTAATTCCGCCTCAGAACCATGAGGTAGCACACTGGGCTAGCTACTGCAATCTGGACAACCTTTATAATCTCACTGGGGTCATGACATTTGGGAGAAATGAGGCAAAAGAATGGGATAAAGGGATTCCTCTTAGCAATCAGGGACTGGTGAAGCTCTTTTTTTTGATAATGTGTAATCTGAGTATAAAATCATTTTGAAATCCAATGTTGGCAAAGGTGAATAAACACATATACCTGAACACACAGTACCTAAGGTAGCAGAATGAAATCTCAGCGTGGCCCTGGTCAGGTGCACAACTAACAGAGTCTTAACAAGCACGAGCTCAATTATCAAACGGTTTTGCATCAGTGAGCATCACTGACCCCTCCTACCCCGGCTCACAATACATGTACACACACACTGACTCAAGAGACAGCATTCGTTATTGGCGACCATGAGGCAGCAATGAAGTTCTGGCAAGTGATTAGCAAGCCTTTTCTGAGTGCTTCTCGTATGTGAGATGCTAGTCAGGCCCCTGGTAAACCGGGTGGCCATCTCCAGTGCCTCCTCACCTCTTTCATTATTTTGATGGCTTCCACCCGGTGCTGGGGTGGGGGGTAGAGCAGCACTCGGTGGTAGAGGGACTGGAGCACGGGCTTCATGGAATCCACAGACCCCACCAGCCGGACCAACTCAGCTGCGATGTAGTAGATAGTCCGAGCCACAGGCCCGCTCAGGGCCGGTGCGGTGCAGGAGCAGCCTGATCCCCGGCCATGGTCCGACACTCCCGGAGACGCAGAGTCCGATTCCAGGCTGGTGCTGGTGCTGCTGCTGTGAGCAGAGGTGATGGTTTTATCATGTATTGGATTCCCCAGGATCACGACGAGAGCAGGGCAGAGGCTTTTCCTGAGAAGACATGGGGAGAAAAGTAAGTTTCCCCACAAGCCAAATGATAAAATTTACTCTGTGAGTAAACAGACCCCACAGAAATGACACAGAAGAGGGGGGTTCTTTACTGCTTCTTCTTTTGGCTACATTTTGCCCGTTTTCTAAGTCTATCATTTCTGGGTATTACAACAATACTTTTCCTCATAAATAGAGCTAGCATGAACAAAATAAAAGAGAAGCATTAAGAGGCTGGGCATGGTAGCTCATGCCCCTAATCCCAGCACTTTAGGAGGCCAAGGCAGGCGGATCCCAAGGTAAGGAGTTAAGGAGTTTGAGACCAGTCTGGCCAACATAGTGAAACCCTGCCTCTACTAAAAATACAAAAAATTAGCCGGGCATGGTGGTAGGCACCTGTAACTCCAGCTAGTCGGGAACCTGAGGCAGGAGAATCACTTGAACCTGGGAGACGGAGGTTGCAGTGAGCTGAGATCGAGCCATTGCACTCCAGCCCAGGTGACAGGGCGAGACTCCAACTCAAAAAAAAAAAAAAAATTTAAACCATCATAAGTGAAGAAATGGTCTCAAAATGTGAAATGGCTGTTATAAAGTTTCATATTACTATAAATAACAAAATTATTTCTCATTTGCAAATTTAATTGCAAATTCCATACAGCTGTCATTTGACTGCCTTCCTGTCAATAAGTCCAGGGACCCAGAGAAACCAGCTGGCTGCCTTCGGGGCCTGCCACTTCTGGGAATCTCCGACTGTGATTAAGAGACTGGTATTTGGGTCGAGATGGAGCTCGGCCTAGGAGTAAAGCTCAATATCTCTTGCCCCCTGCATGAGTAATATGCTTTTTGAATGAGCTGAAAACACAGAAAAAGCTCCTGGTTCTGATCTCTCATGATCCTATGATATAAACCGAAGAGGCCCTGGAAGCATATTTTTGCCATAATCATATCGGGTTTTCCACAGATTTTGGCCTGATGAATGTCAACAAAGCAATTTCTCTGCTTTCTTTATTATTACTATTTCTTTATTTTTATAAATAAAGAAATTTTATTTTCTTCATTATTTTGAAACAGAGTCTTACTCTGTTACCCAGGCTGGAGTGCAGTGGCTTGATCTCGGCTTGTTGCAACCTCCACCTCCCAGCTTCAAGCAATTCTCGTGCCTCAGCCTTCAAAGAAGCTGGGATTACAGGAGCCCCCCTCCCCACTATCATGCATGGCTATTTTTGTATTTTTAGTAGAGACAAGGTTTCGTCATGCTCCCCAAGCTGGTCTCGAACTCCTGGCCTCAAGCAATTTATCTGCCACGGCCTCCCAAAGTGCTGAGATTTCAGGTGTGAGCAACCACACCTGGCCACAATTTCCCTGCTTTCTCTCTAAGAAATTTATGCATAGATGGAAGTACGACTGGTAGGTCAGGGACTTCATGGAGAGGGACCCAGAGACACAACCAGCAGCAGCTCTCGGGTCGGCGTCAGTGTGGGGGGATCAGGGGTGGGTGCTCACCAGATCAGGTCCGTGAAGCCCCTGTGCAGATGCATGGAGGAGGAGGAGCTGCTGAGCACAGACAGGATGCACTCCAGGTAGAGAAGCTGCAGCTGCTGACTGTCACTGCAGAGGAGCAGAGCCGAAACAGATCCAGACATAAGACAAGGCAAAATTAAAGAGGTGATGTGTGGAGACACACTCAGAACAATGGTAGGCGTTACCAAAGTGCTAGTTTTGGGGGGAAGATTAGCACTATGGGTTGAACTGTGTCTCTCCTAAAATTCACAGGTTGGAGTCCTAATCTCCAGCACCTCCGAATGTGACCTTATATGGAGATACGTCCTTACAGAGGTCATCAAGTTAGACTCAGTTCACTAGTGGGGATGCTAATCCCATGACTCTGTCCTTCCAGAAATGGAAGTTTGGACACAGACATTGAGGGCAGACAGTGTGAAGAGACACAGGGAAAGACAGTCATCCACAGGCCAAGGAGAGAGGCCTGAGGAGATGCTTCTCTCACAGCTCTCAGGAGGAACCAACCCCACTCACGCCTTCGTCTTGAACGTACAGCCTCCAGAGCTGTAATACAATCAACTAGTGTTTAAGGTACCCAGTTTATTGCACTTTATTATAGCAGGTTCAGCCAAATAATACAGTTGGGGTGATTTTTTTTTTTTTTACTAATAAACTTTACTTTTTAGAGCAGTTGGAGATTTATAGAAAAACTGACCATGAAATAGAGTTACCATGTTGAGCCTATTATTAAATCTTACATTGGTATGGTACATTTGCCACAATTAATGAACAAATATTTATATATTAACTAATATCCATAGTTTATGCCAGAAATGCTAATTTTTAATAGGTTTAATTATCTAAACCTTTCAAGAGACTGTTTACCACATTATCTTTTAATTGTGAACACTTTATGACCTTGCATTAGACTTTTCTTCTTTATTAAAGAAACATGATTTTTCAAAGGGCAGATTATTTTGTGTCCAAGTTATTATTATGGAGTTCCTCATAAAAGAACAGACACAGATTAAGAGAACAGACAACCTTATGGGAAACACCTTCTTAATATCCAGATTAACTTCTCTGCCCAGCCTACCAGAAAGTATTAAAATCCAGGTAGTTGACAAGAGTGACAGATAGGGCTAAGGAAGAATTTAATTATCAGGGACATGTTTATTGCAAATACAGTAAATCCGTTTTTAGAGAGTTCACTTACCGATGTGGAATGGGAATACTCAGAAAAAGGAAAAACTTGCTTATAAAAATAGTTTTTGTGTCTCTTTCTCCTAATTTAAAATAAATTAATGACCAAAGGAAGTCTAGTATCTTTAACAGTTCAAGTAACTCCCAGGAGAAGGGGGTGGAAGGAACAGCAAGGCTCATGACAGGCCAACTAGAAACTTGGAGAGACCGGAGGGCAGCAAAGAAAAGCGAACGGTTGTCAGTGCCGAAGGCCAGAGATGACAGCCATACAGTTGCCAAACTGAGACTGTAAGACAGGGGATAGGCAGAGGGGCAGACTCTTCATTTATGTGCCATTAAATACCCTGACACTGATATTATGCTCTAAAAACCTTTGTCAAAATTCTTCCATGGCCTGCGCACTAAAAATACTATTTTTATTTTCTTTTGAGGTATATAGAACTAAACAAAAACAAAGACAAGGGACAGAGATAGTTTGTAGCCCTTTATAGAGAAAGGTTCCTAACCCACATTCTAAATCTTCCTTGTCCAAAAAGAGCTGTATAATAATTAAATAAAGTTATTATGCTGTAGAAGGGAATGCCATTTCTATTTGGATAGACTCTGTCTACCACACCCTCTGAGTGGAAGAAGAGGGTAGGAGAAGAGACAGGGAAAGCCTGAGTCTCCACAAAAATTATCACTATTTGCCAAGAGAAAGGTGATGGATGGAGGAAGAGTAAGAAATGACGAGCCATTCTTGGGCTAGGTAAGGACCTCACATCTCTAGGCTTCTCGTCCTACAAGCTTCCCTATGCTTTTGATCAAGATATAGCTCTTGACATGAAACAGCAGGTTTCTTCGCTCTTACGGGGCTGGACAGACATATAAGCAAGTAGACAAAGCACTGGTGGGAAGGGCTGTGAATACCTTAACACAAGGCTCTACGGGACCGCATAGCAGGAGCACCTTCTTAGAAAGCATTTCCACAGGAAATGAAATTTCAGTAGGAGACTGTAGCATGGAGAAGCAGAGAAAGAGGTGTGACAAAATGTGGGGGTGGAGGAGGAAGGGATTTGGGCTGGGAGGTTTGTGGCTAAAGCACAGAGGGAGGGCCTGAGAGGTGGACAGAGGCTCAATCAGGCAGGGTTCTGCAGGCCACGCTAAGACGTCTGGACTTTATTTGCAGGTAAAAGACTGACATGAGCTGATCTGTGTTTCGGAATGCTCAGTGTTTGCTTAATGAGAAATTGAGTGGAGAGGACAATCAGAGGGCCGTGGTATCAACTATAAGCCATATCTGAAAAATCCCTTCTGGAAGGATTGCCTTCACTGTAGTCTCGGCTAACCATTCTGACCAATCACTTGACCCATTATTAAGAAGAAAAATTATGAAATGCTCCAATTCAAACATTTCTCTTTTTCTTTCAAACTGCCAGTCTAGCATCATAAAACTAAAGCAACTATAGACAGTAAACACTGTCAATTTCTGAAATCATTGGAAAATAAGTCCACAGAAAAGCTATGAGTCATCGAGCTATTGGCAAAGTGTGCCACAGTGAATATCGCAACCCCCGGGGAATCAGACTCGCTGACAGGGAACGCATTGCCAAGGTAACTGGCCTGAGAGTCTCCTTGGAGACTGAACGCAGCAGCTTTTCCGTGGGTTGCGGCAGTCGGGAAAACAGGTGATCGTGGCCTTGCATGAGTCATATCATTAAAGGAGCTGTTTAAAACGTAAGCACCTTCCACTATATGCACACACACACACACACACACACACACACACACACACATGCACATTGTATATGCCTGTAATAGCTGTCCCTACATGAACATATAAGTAGAATGCGTAAGGCAAAAGATAGCCTAGAAACTGGCCATCTCCTTCAGAACACCCAAGGGAAAAACCTGTCTATTTAGGAGGGCTGTAAGTCACTTTTCGTGGCTGGCAGGCTCTGTCTCTTCTGGTCTCATTCTCTGCTCATCGCTGGACATTCTCCCAGGTACACGATCTGCAGAGAACAATGCTCAGGCATGGGCCCATGGGCCGTGAAGGCAAAGCAGCCACCCTTCCTGGTAAGGCTACTGGGAGGGCAACCTAGCACGTTTTCTATCTCTGGAGTTCTTAGCCTTTTGTTTTGTTTTGAACCATATTGACTTTGCCTCCCTTAGAAAGAGATTTGAATTTAGATAAAGAAAGGAGAGAAGAAATTAAGTAATTGTGTAAGGAGTGAAATGGAATTCAGACAGACAGTAGAAATGCTTCGGTGGGTGTAGATTTCACTCTAACATTCTGTTCCAGGAGGAGAGGGAAGCACTGAAAGAGTGGTGGGAAACAGGCAGAGAATAAGTAAGTATCTTTCTAAGCCCAATTATTCTTCCAGAAATTCTTGGATTTAAAAAAGCATCATGTAACTTAACTTGCCTAATATAGGACTCTATTAATACCACATCTTCAAGGCATGCGAGGGAGTGTTCTGAGTACCTGAATACATTTTCTGAATCCTCCCAAGAGATCAAGCATATCATGAACACACACCCCTACAGAGCTAAAGCCCCATCAGGCATTGATTTTGGAAATGGCTGTTGAGGGTAAATACCGATCCTGGTGTGATTTCAGAGGAAGAACCTATTCAGAGGGTAGAAGAGACATCAGTCTAGCTAATAGAAATAAAGGAATTATAGCGGCAAAATCAGAAGAAATGGCACATACGTGAAAACTTAGCAAGGAGAATGAACAGAAGCTGGTCTCTGGTGAGAGCAGCCGGGGCATGGGATTATTTTACCAGGTGAACATGAAGGCCTTCCCTTACAGCTACCTTAAGCATCCTGTGCCCCCAGCATCTTTAGCAAAAGGCCCCCATCTTAGGGTAATGGAGTCATGATGGCAAATACCAAAATCAAACAAATCAATCAATTTATAGAGGCAGAACTATGACCAGGGGAATTGTATCGGAAAATCAAGCAAGACTATGAGGATCCTATAAAACCATTAAGCTCCAAAATAACATGCCTAAAGCCATCTTTGATCCAATGTACAATGAGAAATCCTAGAAAAATGTGCATGTGAATAATTTTCTCCATTTGAAACCTGTTCTCAAACTCCTGACCCTCAAGTAATCTGCCCACCTGGGTCCCAAAATGCTGGGATTGCAGGCATGAGTCACTGTGAGACCAGCCTAGCCAACATGGTGAAACCCTGTCTCTACCAAAAATGTAAAAAATTCGCTGGGTGTGGTGGTGTGTGCCTGTAGTCCCAGCTACTCAGGAGGCACAGGCAGGAGAATTGCTTGAACTCGGGAGGCAGAGGTTGCAGTGAGCTGTGATCGCGCCACTGCACTCCAGCCTGGGCGAGAGTGAGGCTCTGTCTCAGACCCTCCTCCGCCAAAAAACAAAACAAAACAAAACAAAACAAAACAAAACCCCACAAAAACAAAAAACTTATTCTCAAGTCATATGATTAAGAAACGCTGTGTTTTTCAGTAACTGAAATCTACAACCTCTGGTTTCTAATACGTGCTGTGCGTGTGTGCATTTGCAATGTTTGTACAATGCATTTTCCTAACAATCTACAGTCAAATTTCTGATGTACACAGCCTAGTGTTCCTAACTGCATGATGACTAGAAATAGCAGCAACTCTTCTAAAAGCAAACAAACCAGTTTAGAGCAAATGTATGTCAAATATTTACTACATGCTAGACACTGCACAATTAAAAATAATTCCACTTACAGCAATATTTCCTAGATTTAAAAACAAAATACTTGTAATAATTACATTATAGGCATAACCTTAAACTCTCTCAGGGAAACCAGGTCATACGGTTGCTCTACAGATGAAGGGGATTTCTGGAGCTGATGGAGGTTCCTGGGTGGCTGGAGCCATTCAAGTTTAAAGAATGATGAACTTGAACCCCATAACACCAGGCACTCACTGTACCTAGTCTAAGACTCTTTCTGACTTACCTTTTAAGTCTATCCTAGATGGGCCTATAGACTCATTCTGCCTTATCCTGCTGGCTAGGGTTTTATTTATTTATTTTGAGATGGAGTTTTGCTCTTGTTGTCTAGGCTGGAGTGCAATGGCGTAATCTCAGCTCATTGCAACCTCCCAGGTTCAAGTGATTCTCCTGTCTCAGCCTCCCTAGTAACTGGGATTACAGGTGCCCACCACCAGGCCCAGCTAATTTTTTGTAATTTTAGTAGAGACAGGATTTCACCATGTTGGCCAGGCTGGTCTCAAACTCCTGACCTCTAGCTAGGTTTTAATTACTAACTGGCATAAGTACCATGAGCCTCTCCCACATTTCTAGCACTTAGAACACTATTCAGGGGAAAAAAAAGTTTAGCTAATTAGTTTTCCCTTGCTTGTGAAGTAACAAAAATACAGTCTTCATATTCTTTATAGTTCTGGTGGTCTTTGTTCTATTCCCTGCCAATGCTAAGACCTGGGGGGTGGGGCAGGGGCTGAGGGAAGCATCTCTGACAGCTGGCAGTACCTGGCTGCCACCAGTTAGGTTGTGGTATCCTCTGGAACACAAACAGGTTCCCAGGTATTAACATCAGATGAGGACTCACCATGACTGCGCTAAACAGGATGAAGCCAATCAACGACCATGCCTCAGCAGAGGTCTTCTTTTTCAAAAGGGCTCGGTATGACCATGAAAATGAACAAATGTGCCTCTCCCTTAAGTGACTCCCGTTTCTTCTTCTCTGACAACTCTAGCTCCCATCTGTTCATCCCGTCTGCTAGAAAAAATTAAGATGCCCAATGCTAGAATTGCCCCTACTTTCTGACAGCACCCACTTTGAACAGAACGCTCAATTTCTAACCCACTCGAAATCACCTAACTCATGCTAAAATCCTAGAACAACCCCTCCGAACACCCTTTTACTGACTGTCCTGTAGTTCCCCATGGTAGACACGCTCCCTCACATAAGAAGTTAATAAAATGAATCTTGTTAATTTCAGGCGTTCCTGGAGCTCTTTGGCTGATGTGCATTGGCAGTCTTTTAAGTGAGTTTTCTCATTCAATCTTCTAAAAACACGAATGTGTTTTACATTACTGATATCATATTCCATACAATATTATAGTAATTATAATAGTCTATTATTTTATAGGGTACACAAGCTTAGGGTTGTTCAGATCTTTGTCCAAAGTCACACGCCAGTAGGGACAGAGCATGGGTTTTAACCCAGGTAATCCAACCAGGATAATGTAGTTGAGCCAATAGTGATTAAATACCACTGGTGATTGGGTCTTAGGAGAAAGCGTGCCAATAGAAACATATTCCAGCTCTGCTATACCAGCTGCCTGTATTATGATGGAAGGGAACTGGATAGGGCCAGGGAGGAATTAGCACTAGAAGAGATCAGACCTCTGCTCACTGATGGGTAGAGTGAACACATGACCTATCCAAACCAGAACACCTTTGAGAGTGAAGGAGGGTAATTATAATTATTGCACAAAAGGCATCATCTGGGACTGTCCCAAGCAAACGGGTGGCATGGGGCCTTACAGATGGGGCTGCTGCACTTGGTGCTAGAGCCCTCAGTTATGATGCTAATCTGAGTGCCAGCTCCATTGTTCCAACACTCCATGGTGTGGTCAGGAAAGACTGGGACCTAAGCAGGGTCCAGCAGCACTATTTATATCCATCTGCTGTAAGACTTAGCACTCCTGAGCTGGGGAAGCCCAAACCTGCTGCCTGCCTAGTCTGCCAGGGTCCAGGGAAGTGAGAAATTTGAGGGTGGGGGTAGGGGAAAAGTTAAGTGCTATTTCTTTCGGGTTTATACTATCCATATATTAAATAGGCCTTTTCATTTTTAAAAATAAATTTTATGGTGCATATTTAAGGTTTACAACATGATGTAATAGGATTTATATATATAGTAAAATGGTTACTATAGTGAAACAAATTAACATATCCATCATCTCACAGAGTTACTCACTCCCTCCCACTATCCATCCACATCCCAGTGGATTTAGCAAAAATCCTGAATACAATACACTATTAATAACCATATTCTCCATGTTGTATATTTGAATCTTCAGACGTATTCAACCCACACGTTTGCTACTTTGAATCCTTTGCCTTATATCTCCCTATTTGGTCTCCCCCACCCCAACCCTGGTACCACGATTTTATTCCCTATTTGACCTTGAAGTGCCTCAACAAAGAGAGCTTACTTTGGTCAAAATATAGAAATGACTTACAGGAACAACAGAATTGATGAAGAAACCATTTGGTAACAACTTTTAAGAGTAATTCTAAGCTTAGCTTAAAAATAATCCTAAATTTCTGAGAAACCAAAAGCAAAACCAACAACACAATGAGTTTCTGCAATGCTTCCAGCAAACTGAGAGACCTCATTCTTGCCTACAACTAGTTTATTTCTCCCAACTTGTTACTGCATTTAAAATTCAATGAGTTTTCTGCATTATCAGATATCCTAGTTACTAATGAATGATAATTTAATGTCTTTCATAATTCAAAGGGTACTTCTGAATTGTACTGTGTTGCAGAATTTTGCAATTCATGACATACACAGCTGGTAGAGACTTTTCATCCCATGTTGAAAGTCTGGCGTTTTATGATTTGGCTTTACTACAGGTGCATGGGTTGTCTTGTTAACTGACTGCATGCAAAGTTGGAGCAGCAGACATCACCTAAATGAACTCATACATTGATTAAGCCGATATGCAAAACAAGTTAAAGAGTAACATGGTCTTCTTAAAGGCAGGTGTGTGAGCTCACAGGCTCTGGAATGGTAGAAGAAATAGAGAAAGATTATACAGTCCAATGCTGTCATTTGATAGAGGAAGAAAGGGCAGCAGAGTTTGATGAGAAGAGTCATGTACTAGGACACAGCTGAGATCTGAATGAGATAGGAATGGCTCTCGCACCAGCTAGCACTCAGCCCAAGATTCCTCCCACTGGCCTCCATGCTCCAGGAAGCAACTGTTCTCTGTAAGGTATTGTTTCCCCATAGTCACATCAGAAAATGACATACTCTAGAAATGGTATGTGGTAATTTAAATTGCCCTACATCTCAGAATATATTCTTTAGGGGTAAAATACCAGTGTTGAAGGCGGTGGGGTGGAGAGGGCTCCCATAATCTTATAATCTGTCATTTGAAGTCACGCTGTAGACAAAGGTTATTTCAGAAGTAGGTGACTGGTAAGGAAAAGTGGCAATGGTCAGGGACTTACTTGATGGCGGCTTGCAGCTTCTCACACAGGATGGTGAGTACAGAGACAACATCATCACAGAGGGACTCCACCGTGGACCCTTCAAAACAGAGGAGGTTACAGGCATGAGACATTGACAGGAGGCACGACAAGCTCCCTGAACTGTCCTTCGCATCTCCCGCTTTAGATGGCTTTCCAGACTGAGAAGATGATTTTCAGATGCGGAGAAGCCCTGAGGCCACCAAAGCGATGATCACGGAAAAGATAGGAATTAAGTCTAATTATTCTTTCTAAAGCAAAACACTCAAAAGATAGTCCAGAAAGAAAAATCACAGACTGTTTATTATCGATAAAAATTAACTCGCACTTAACAAAGGGAAATTGGTAATTTCAAAAAACATCACAATGGACAGCAACTTTCTTAATATTTAGGCCAGTGGACTAATGCATGTATTCCTTATTCTGATCCTTGAATTTCTGGGTCTTCTGAGCTGATTAGAGTTGTATCCCAGAGAGATAAAATAAGGCAGCATGGGGAAAGATGGGCTTTGGAATTAAGAAATCAGAAAAAACAGGGGCAAAATAATTTAGCCACCATCTTTACCTACTTTATTTGTTCAGCATCTGCAGGCCATATGGTCTTTGTTGATACTGAAGCAGTATAAAAACAAAATTTCCCTCCAAATGTGGTCTAGTTTCCAGAAACTAGAACCAAAACTCCCACAGAAGGATAGTGGGAAAAAGGCTGAAATTTGGAATCTGTTCAACTACACGTCAACAACTTGCTGATTGTGTGAGCTTGAGTAAACTTCAGGATTTTTTTCTGGCAGAAATAGGATAAATAATACCAATTTCACAGCATTGTCAGGCTTCATAAATAGCAAGTGGGAACATTTGTTTTCTAAAACAAAAACCTGTAAAGATCTACACAAATGTGGCTCTAAGATCTGATAAATATATACATGAATGAATGATGGTGACATCAAGAAAGATGGGGAAAAAATGGCAAGTGTGTAAGAGAGAAAGTAGAGTTAGAGGAGGGCAGAGAAAGAAAACTACATGGCTGGTCCTCAGAATTAAGATTTTGAATGCAGGAAAAAAAAAGAAAGAGAAAAGAAAAATGATAAGCTACAGTGATAAAACATAGTTTAAGGTTAATAAAACCCAAACAGGTAATCCTTAAGCTCAATTTTAGATAAATGTCAAATGAGTACCTCTGTCAATTTTTTCCTACTGTATTTTTTAGAGATGTATCCTTGACCAAGGAGATGCAGAACCCCTTTTTAGTTTATAAAATCATCCTACATTAAAGTGAAGGCTTTATGAGAACACCATAGCCAAAAACAGACCAAAGGAAGATGGAACAGCTTAGTGAATGTCACTGAGAGCATCCAACTGAAAAGGGCCCTTCCTGTCCACGGCCCAAGGATATAGCGTCATGGGACTAAAACAATACAATCTAGTGATGCTTTAGAACATGACTTAAGGCATGCCTCTTTCTCGTTTCTTTCAAACACACTTCGAACTAGCTGCTTAGCTGTTTCTCTCCTTTTTATTCTCTCCCTTTTTCTCCTCCCCCTCACCACTATCTCCTTCTCATTATTATTAACTGGCAAATATAACAGAAAAGCAGATTTGTCCAATATTTTAAAAATTACTGAATAAAGTCTGGAATAAAATCTATATTTCAGTTTTTAATCAGATGATACTATTTTTGCATATTTCTTTCAGAAAACAATATCATCAAACCTGTCTTTAAAAATTAAATTGCTGGTTAATTGTATGTGGACTTCTGCATTTTTTTCGTTTCCTGGGGTCAGACTGAAAGAAAGTTCCTTAACTTGATTTTAGCTGATCTTTAAATGGGGCTGTCTGCAAGAGGCCCTGTGAGATGACTCATCATTCTTGTCAAAAAATTGATGTTTGACAAACATAAATCTGGTGCAGTAACACTGTATGCCAATCAGGTTTCTACAATCTTCTAGCCAGTTATTCTCATTTTAGCAGTTAAACCTGACTTCATGGAGAGGGAAGTAACTACAACGCCAGCCTCCAAATGAGAGGTATGTGAAGAGTTAATTTCCCTCACATAGTTGGATCAGGAACAGGTGTGGTTGGCCTAAGTAAATGTAGGAACAGAAGGAAGATAGCAGCTGATTAAATAATGCCACCTAAGGCAGAGCTAAGCACAACCACCGAGAATGGTAAAACCACCTGAGAACTCCTTCCCGTCTTTGTACTCCTCACTCCAAGCACACAGTAGGCATTCTCACACCCGCTTTAAAAACTGAACTAGTACAAATCAAATGCAATACCTTGATTCCTGAATTCCTGTGGAACATCTGGATTTTCAATTATCTAGGAAGGGAGATACACACACTATTAGGAGATTCAGGCAAGAAAAATCCTGACTCTTCAACAATGGGAAAATTCTAGAAAACAAAATGGCTTCCTCAGGGCCCTGGGCTCAGCTACCTTGCCTGAGCACACCCTCCAGCCACCAACTCTTGAGAGTGTTTCATTATTCATAGTGTTTATGGGAAAGATTATGCTCTCTGGAACTGAGCTTATCAGTTCCCAAAATAATTCATTCGAGAGTGTCCGTGCAAACGTGAACACTTGCTGGAAGTTTAAACCCTGTGGTGCACTTAAACTTCTAGGATTCCAGGATGCTGTGCTATGACTTGGGGCAATGCCTGGCTAAAGATGTGAGTTAATTTTGCACAGAGAACAACTTATTCCAAGGCTATAGCTGACACTGTGCATGGTCCCGGATAAATACAGACTCTTGACCGTAAGAATTAGGTTCCTGGACTTCAAGATACAGGTCCAAAGATAACCACTGGTCAGAAGCTCCATCTTCCTATCTGATGGGGAGCATATTAACTGCACCTAGCCAGCTGCTCTGGGCTGGGTACATCTAGAACCACGAGGACAAAGACACAACTGTGAGGGAAGGGAAATTGGAAGGAAAAAGACATTTACAAATAATCGGACCTACTTCCCATTGCAGGGATAACTCAGCGACTACTGAGCTGAGACTAGGAAGGTGGAGCTTTATTCTTCTTACCTCTTTGCACCAGGAGATAATAAGGAGGTATTTTCATGCCAATTAATTACCAGACATGTTACTCATCCCATGGTGATTTAACTTTTAAACTTGTTACGGGCACATATATCTACTATTCTCTATTCATTAATTTGCAAGTCAGCTGTTTCCACAGCAACTTTTGTGAAATGTCGTCAGTATCTACAGCTCAGATTGGCTAAAGTCAAGTTGAGAACAACACTTTTTGGAGGAAACGCATCTGAGTCATATTTAAGGGTAGGAGAATCCCTCCAACCTTCAGCCCCAAATATTTACATGTAGCAACTTTACTTTTTGAAATTTGTAACTTACAACTTAAAAATAGCTTAGGTTACCTAAAATAATTCAATCATAAAGCTGGATAATATGTAGGATTTGTGATGATACAAAATCAAAATTATCATCTGTCCTGGGTGTGCAGCTGGGGATAAACATTAGGCTGAAGATATACATCGTGCTAATGATTTTGGCATTCGACATTATTTATTCTCTTTCCACTGCATTTCACCTTCCTAATTTTGAGGTGGCCCATGATGTCCTTCCAGTTGATAACTGAAATGAGTGACTGAGGCAAGTATCTGAATCAGTCGAGGTTTAAGCTAGCTTTAGGGCATGCCCAGGAAAAATGTGAGCCGCAGACACACCTATGGCTGTCTGCACCTGTGCCTGTTTTTCTGAAAAGGTTTTCAGGAGATTTCTATATTTCCTTAAAGGAGGGAGAAAGGCATGTAGGAAGAAGGGCAGGTAGGCACTAACATGCTTGTGAGATTTTACTTAGTGCCCAGCAAATCTAAATTTTACATAAAATGAATGTTTGAAGAAAAAAAATGGGAGTAAAGGAAGAATCAATTATGCAGATATCTCTGGGTAGATAGAGGAATGATGGATCTTGTCTTTATTCTGCACCTGGGAAGACAGGCTTGTAATCAACATTAGCAGTGTGGAATCAAACAGACTTCAGTTTTAGGAGCCAGATTTAGATTACGGACCTAAACTAACAATAGGCATGTCCTTGTTTATGGGAGGCCAGCAAATATTGTACCTATGAGTGATCTGTGGGGGCAGTCATCTGGATATGCCTGAGGCCTCTTACCCTTCTGCGGCGGTCTTGCTACTGCATAACGCTAGTGGTAGCAATTCATTTGGAAGAGGGTGTTGCATGACTCAGCCTCCAGGCTTAACCTTCCCTTGGTATAAGGAATGTGGGGGTCCTGAGATTTTAAAAATTTTCTTTTACACAGTGATAGGCCGTGCTAGAAAATATACACATCTCCCCCAGGTAATGCTCAGTGTTCCCCAGGGAAATATGTGGCCTCTTTAAAACAAACCTCTCTATTGCTACAGACTACTCCATTTTAAGAGCTTTAAAAAAATACCTTAATTCTTATGTGGCAAAACTTATGACTCCCTCCATTGGACATCACAAATGCTTTGAATATCAGCATCCTGAGAATTATGTTTTCTGGGACATGGAATCACATCTCCAGGGACTACATAAGTAATAGAAAGGAAACACCAATTTTTCACATAATTTGAGCTCTTGCCTCCAGTTGGGTTGAGTCCAGATGGTCTGTGACGAGCAGCACCGGAAGGCTGATTAGCCACATAATTCCCAGGACAGAGATTGAGAGCCTCTACAGTATCACCTGGACCTCCATAATGACACCTTTGCCATCTTATAGAAGAGCAATAATGAGCTAAAATGCTGGGGTATTTGACTTGAAACCTAATACTCTCCTACTTAAAAATTTAAAAATGAGATTAAATGAATTCATATAATTGAAAGCACTTTGAAACTACAAACTTTGACTTAAATGTTTCATTTAAAAATATTAAGATATTATTAATATAGCATTTGCTCATGTTGCCATTTAGTATGGATGAAATACGAATGTATAAGATTTCTCAACATCTTAGATTTATGTCCATTAAAAACACTTTTTCTCTTAATGTTTTCTATTTAATTTCTTATAAGCTAAATATTCCCATACCACCTATATTCAAAATCCTACTACAAATAAAATTGTTTTTAGCAAGGGGTAAGCTGAAGTAATAAAAATATCTCAAGTTAAAACAATTTTTAATAGAAACTGGGGCTTTGGATATAGCAAACAGAAAAGAAAAAAAAAATCAGTATTTGTTTTTTCAGATTAGTGTTGTTTTCAGCACTGGCTGCCAGAGCACATATTAACTGAGAAGTCATCCTGGCAGTCAGCTAGGAGACAAGGGGTTTAATTCTGGCTCCTTCATTGATAAGCTCATTAATTTTAGATTTCAGTTTCATCTTTCTGAGCTTCTATAAAATCTTCCCATCTATAAAATGAGGAGCAAAGAATTTGACTAGATCATCCCTAAGGTTCCCTTCAACTCCATGATTTTCTAAAAATTAGAAAATAATTGAATTTAAAAATAATTACAAATAGTTGAAATTAAATAAGAAATTCCATTTTTTATAAAATTAATTTCTGAGCTATCTGGGACTGTAACTGAGATTTTCCATTTGAACAAATAACTAATGTCATTTCAGAACATTTCTTGCAGATTTCAAAAGGATTTTAATCTAAATCATTACAGAGGCAGATTTTAAAACAACACAAAACACCAAGTTTGAAGAGGAATCATCCTCTCATTAACATTCCCAGAAGATAATATATACAAGAAGCCAATTACACTTACATTTTCCCCTGGAACACTCATTTTAGACAATCTGTTCAAGTTCAGAGCAAAAAGCTCTAGTGGGCTTTGATGACAGAGAGAAAACCAGTTCAATTTCACCCTGAAGGCCCCGGCAGGTGAGGGAGGCCTCCTGCCACCTTCTTTTAGTTAACAAAGGGAAACATATCCAACCTCAAAACATGTAATAAATTCCATTCATTTTTCTTAATTTCAAATTTACTTCCAATATCTGTTAATGCATTGCAATATTTCTAATAAACATTTTCAATATGAGTGGTTTTAAAACAATGATTTAAAAAGTTTCAAAACAATGACTTAAAAAATTACAAAAATTGTAAGGAAAAGCAGTTCTCAAAGCTTTGGGGTGAAGCAAGAAAACACCTAAAGATCTTAATTTATACAAACAAATGTTCTTTTAAGACAAGCAAGCCCTTTCTACTGTTTTCAGTAGGCAGGCAGCCCTGGCAGGAGGAGCCCTGGGGCATGAGACACACAGACACCACCAGGAAGGTGATGAACGTGGGGGTATCACAGACTCACCGTATTCTCCTGTCTCTGCCGTAACTGTAAAGTCAAGTCACTCAGCATTTGACTGAGAGTTGCCCGCACAGCAGTGTTTATGCTACGCTGGTGACAGCTGCTTATGTATGTCTCAATGCACACCTGGTAAAGAAATAAGACAGCAACACACATGCTCTGCAGGTATCAGCTCATTAGCAACATTCTTTGGGATTAACTGGAGAGGATATCAAATCCCTCTTAAACAGAAAGTCAGCCTGATTTAGGACTGGTTATTACTAAATATATTTTAAATTCCTGGAAATTTGTTTTTAAGCATATAGGAAAAGTAGTATTTCCCTAAGGATTACCACTCTTACAACCTGTTCCTCTGAGCATCATAGGAGAATGAAAATTAGTGATTTTTAGATGTGCCAAATAATATCTAGAACCAACTCAGATGGCTGGAAATTAATCAGAAAATGCTCCCTTTGTGGTGAGATAGAACAGAATTTATTAACTCCTAGGTTATGAAGTATGGGGAAAGGGTTAGCAAAACCCTTTCTCCTGCTCTACGAATGAATTTGACCTTGGGTCAAATGTCTAGCTGTGTTCTTCTGGAAATTTCATAAAGGTAGAACATCAGCTGTGTTACTAGGTAGCATGGCTTACGGCAAAAATGTTTCCAAATTACTATGCTACATCTGAATTGAGATAACTGTGAATCAACCGTAAATGCCTGGTGGGTAGCCCCAGGTTTGGGCTTCCCTAGGTGTACTGACTCTTCCAACTGATCACATCCTCCGAAGGAATTCTGCAAACTCTGCTAATAGAGTTGTTTCATTAATACTGATCCTGTGTGGGATATGGGGCCTCTAGACCAAGGTGACTGCACTCACTGCGATGGCTCTCATCTCCCTGCACCTATGCTGTCATTTGAGAGCTGGACGTTCTTCCCTAGGCTACTTTGAGGACGCCGGGAATAACAATGCCTAACACTGTCCTGCTCTGTTTCGGGTCCTGTGTCCTGCAAACTGAATGTAAAACCAAGGCTGGCCTATTTGGATCTTGCAAGTCTCAATGCCTAGTTGAGCCTAAAAAGACTTGATGGTGGCTGCTTACATGGAGAAATCTCAACTAGAAAAAAAAAATCCCTCATTTAATAATATGATGCTAAAAGTTATGACTTTTTAGATTTTTTAAATTTATTGTACTTTAAGTGCTGGGGTACATGTGCAGAACGTATACACGTGCCATGGTGGTTTGCTGCATCCATCACCCCGTCATCTACATTACGTGTTTCACCTAATGCTGTATTTTATTGCCGTAATTCTTCTGGAAGCCACAGGGATAGACATGAAAACGCATGCTTTAAATTTGCCTACCTTTTTTTCCTCTCTCCTTATAAGGCTTTCAATTTTACAAAACGTATTTAGAGACACAAAATCAAAAAGAGGTATCTAATTTCCTAAATTATTTTTCTAGGAATAACTCCAAGATTATCTATAATGAAAATACAGGGCTCTCACCTACACGGCAAATTTAATTAAATGATTGACCACTGAGATGGGCAAGAGACTGAATTTTAATCTTTGTTGCTGCTTCTGCTTAAGCTGAGGAATTTTCCGCCAGGCCTCATGTTATTTTTTTCTTTCTGCCATGCCTATGTTTACCTAGCAGAATTAACTAGGTAAACACAAATATTTTTTAAATTTTATTTTATCTCTTATTAGTATTTCAAAGGAGCATTTGAAACTGAAAAACTGTATTTGAGGAAAAAAAAAAAAAAAAAAAAGGCAGTCTTCTCAACCTGGACAAAACCCAGCAACCCCCAAGGCTGCATTTGAAAGTTGGCCTAGATTAATTCATTTCATAGTCAAGAAGCAAAAGCAAGTTATAAAGTGTTTGTTTTTCATAAAAGTATTTAGGGCATGTGACTTTTAATTCATTTTCTCAAATTATCATGGACACAGTGGATTTGAAGATACAATAATTTATGCATGCTTAGAAAAAAAGGTATTTCAGGCCAGATGTGGTGGCCCACACCTGTAATCCTAACACTTTGGGAGACTGAGGTGGCTGGATTGCTTGAGCCCAAGAGTTTGAGATCTGCCTGGGTGCAACGTGGCAAAACCCCATCTCTACAAAAAATACAAAAATTAGATAGACATGGTGGTGCCTACCTACAGTCCCAGTTCCAGGCAAGGGAGGATCACCTAAGCCTGGGAAGGTAGAAGCTGCAATGAGCTATGATATCATGCCTCTCCAGTCTGTGTGACAGAGACCCTACATACCCCCTTGAAAGGTGTTTTAATCCTGAAATGCTTCTACTTTTGCATGTGATGAAATGGTTTTAAAACTTTGAAAATCATCTAAATGAGTGCAGTGATTCACTTTGATGAAGCCAAACTCACCATCATGTATCATTTGTATTTCATAATTTAACAGTTTTCTTTAAATCTTACATTTCCTCAGAAATCTTTTTAACTGTTGATCTCCAAGATCTCTAAGCTCTGACATTTTAAATTTCTGGAGGAATTTTAAGCCTTAAAAGCATTACAGATGAAAGAAGAGCTATTTTCAGAGCTGTATTACACACTTAATATAAACTCTCTTGAATACTGAGAGACATATCACTATAAAATATGTTTTAAAAAAATTAGACTCATGAAAGAAAGTGACCACATGAGGAATTGGATTTTCTATAATGCAGCACTGTAAACAGAAAGAACTTTCCAAATATCAAAGGTTGTTGCTGTTGCTGTTTTTTTTTTTTTTAAATGCCAGCACTGTTTTTAGTGTTTGGTTGCTAATACTCTAGGCATTAACACTGTACATGACTTAATGCAGGAAACATTTTATTCAGGGAAAAGGTAAGCATGTTTACTCAGCTAAAAAAAGTATTAATTTAAGAAACTCATTTGGCTATAGTCGGGAGTATAAAGGCTGAAGGCTATCCCACTAAATATAACAATTACCATGTATTGGATGATACGGCTCTCTTTAGGTACCCGGAAAGAAATGCTTTCTCAGCTATCCTGATATCTTCTAAAGCAAAGTTTCTTAAACTTCCTATAATAATAATACATTGGTAAACTAGTAGGATTCATAGAACTAGCTAGGGTTTCCATTTTTTAAACCTGTTCGTTGTATTCCAGACCAACTATTTTTAATGCTTTTCTTCCTCTATTTCAGAGCAGTATTAAATGAGCACACTGAATCAGAGCAGGTAAGAGAAAACCAAGTCCGAAGGCAGGCTGAATTTCTGGGAAAGAGCTAATCAGTTTCTTCTTTTATTCTGTGCATTATTGGTTGTACCTGCCCATGCTTTTGGCTTTCATAATGCAGAATCAACACTGGGAAAGCCTAAGTCCTGATCCTCTCTCTGCCAAAGGCTCAAAGGGCCAAGGCAAATACCTTGTGAAAAGCCCTACAGGCACCTGATCACAAGGAACACACAAAGACCAGGGCAGTGAGGAGGTTCTAAGGGACGCTTGGATTATTTCACTGATTTGTAGACATCCAGCTTCATAATATGCTAAACAGAACTGAGAGCAAACACAAATGGCTAATGACGCAAAATAACCCCAAGAGTAGAAGAAAAAAGAATAAGAAAACACAAGTCTGCAGGCCATATATAAACAATAAAAGCGTTACATCATTGAGTAAGCAGACTGATGGATAACAGTACTAGGTTAAACCCAGGAAGGAATCACTAAAGTATTTAATATGAAGTGGCACAGTGAAACAGAGTGCGCGCGCACTCACACACACACACACACACACACACACACACATATTCAATATATATTGTTCAAAGGGATCACAAATATTAAAGAAGATGCCACAATAAAAATGTGCTTAGCTTTGTAAAATACTTATGATCTTCACTTTGTTGAACTGTGCAATTACCTTATCTTTTCCATTTGAATGGAGTTGTTGGCACTGCTTTGTTAAAATCATGCCTAATATCGAGTAATAAGTTCCATAAAGAGAAGACCTAGTATATTTCCAATTGGAAAACTTTTATAGGGATGAAAAATAATTTATGGTAATTAAAAATAGAAAGGATCAGAGATTAAGCTATAAACAAGCAGAGGGAATGTCTACATAGGGAAGATCATAAATCCTTCTTGAACTCATTAGAACCAGAGAAAATCTTGGCTACCGCTTTAAGTATAAGCCCCACGATTAATCATGCTGACAGCTCAGTTGCCAGGCTATTTCCTATTCTTTCCTTCCCAAGACAGATGAATAAGTGGGTATGTGGCAAGAGGCATCTCATAAAATTGGTCCTGCTGATGCAAACATACATATATACACAGGGTGAACTGAAGTTGTTTTTATTACTTCTAGAAAACAGCTGTATAAGTAAGTCAGATCACCACATTAGATAGGGAAGCTTGCTGGTTTTCCTTTTGGATGTAAATTCAAAAGCAAATTCTAAAAGTGCCAGGCATACCCGGAGAAATCTGACTGTGACTTGCCTCTTCTTCCCTTATTGTCTTCATGGCTTAAGTTGGCATATTAAAATGGCTTAAGACACCTTAACCCATCCATTGCTGCACCTTCCCAGATGCCATCTACTTGGTCTACAGAAGGTCTGCTGAGACCCTCTGTCCTATGAACCAGTCCAAAATGAAGCAGAGACACTGGTCTGTGTGTCTTCTAACTCCAAACAACTTCAAGAGCCAAGCAAGTGAGAGGTTTAAGGGAGATGTGGAAATTCCTTGCCAAAGAAGCACTAGCTTGCTCAAAGCCTATCTGGCAGTAACTAGCTAAAGAACAGACTCCTCAGCGGAGTCAAACCAGAATCCAGAGAGACTGGCACACAGGAAAGAAAGGGTTTCAGGAAGAAAAAGTCAAGCTCCTCGAAATACGATTTCCTCAGTCTAGTGGTCTCAACTGGTTGGAGGCCCTGGTCCTGTTTCCTTTGCTAGTTTTCCTGCCAGGAGGTGGGGTTACTCCTCCCACTCTTACAGAGAACGTAACAAGATGCTTCCAAGATAAAATAGATTAGGGTATTTGTGTATTTTTCTGTGGGATTATAACTGAGACTCTCTGTTTTTAAATTGTAGAACATTTTATTTTAGGTATGTCTCAGAAACAATGCTAATAAAAAAAAAGTATCACTGAACATTTCAAAAGTTATAAACCAGCCCAATCTAAAAAATACTTTAGTGACAACTAGAACTGTTAAATTAGAATCATTGGTGGCAGGTGTTGAGCTTCAATGTTTCTCAAGCTCCCCAGGGCAACAAGTGAAACTATTACTAACTTCTAGTTCTCCGATGTGTTATATATAATGCTCAGAAAAGATACACTATCGATATGGAAAGATATTAGAAAAAGTAGCATATTCCCAATGGCCACTTGAATCCACGGTCATAAAAAAAATAAAATGAATCAACACTTGAGCTTTATATATAAAAACACCATAGAACAATTATCTAACTAAATGTCTCAGTAAAGGTCTAAGGGTATAAGTCTCCTAAGAACTTCCGTAGGTTGCCAATATTATCATGGCAAGATTCTACTAACATTCTCTAAGACTGAGGGGAGCCAGGAAGAAATATAGCAGAGTGATTCACAGCACATGTTTGCAATATTAAAAGCCTGAATTTGAGTATCTAGCTGTAGAAACTTGAGCAAGCAAATGAACTTCACTTTGCTTGGGTTCTTTATTAAGTTGTGGCAGAGATTAAAAGAGAAGACACGTAAAATACTACTTATTGCTATGCCTTAGGGATTCAATGGCTAGTAGCTATTATTATTAAACAATATGGAATGAAGGGCTGGCTGGCTGGAATGAGTAATGATAAAAAGGTATTTTTCATACCCTGAAAGTATGCATCTTAGAGGAAAAAAATGGTATTTGAGAAAGATTTTGCTTGACCCTGATAGCATGCTACAGAATCAAAGGACTAAAAGTTTCCATGAGTCAATAAAAACAAACCAGCAAACATGCATTTATGAACAAGGCTTTCTGCCTTTGAGAAATTCCACAGAGAAGCCTTCCGCAGGTATAAAAACCTTTGCAGTGGAGCAGCATTAACCATCTTCATGGCTGTAGCTCCACCTTTTCCACTTTTTCTTTTACTTCAAGACCTTGGCAATTTCTACTCTCACAGCTTTTTCTTATATGAAGGTAACGTTCCTTGGAAAACTCAACATATCTGCTACTCTGTGCATAGTATTAAGAGAAATCTTGGGCTCAGCTTTCAACGAATGAAGAGAAGGGCTATGTATCCATATGGAATTTTAGTAATGAGTATTCACGGAATTGAGCAGAAAGTGCTTGTTGGCTATTTCATAGTTGTCCATTTTTTAATTTGGTAATATTTCGTATGCTTCCTGTCACAGAGGATGCTGCTCTAAAAACCTTTCATTATTGCAGTTTAATTAAGCAAGCTAAATTTAGATACACAAATGAAAGCTGCCCTCTTATTTACATTTTGAGAGCTTAATGATCCTTTTATAGTTTCAGTACCTTGGAGATATAGCCTCATTTTTCATACTTAAGTACACATCCCACTCCCTGATCAGCAGGTTTCAGGGTAAACACTATTCGTGAGTAACAGTCAATGTATACAAGAGTAAGCAGGAAGAGAACATCTAGATTCCTTCTTAACATTTCCACAGACGTTTTAAATGGTTTATTTTAAGGTGCTTTTATAAACTGCTTCCCTGTTTCAAAAGTGGCAACGGCAAACATTTCACATTTACCATGCGGCTGGACTTACACTAAGAGCTTTTTATGTGGATTGTATTTTTCTGTCTCATTAGCACACTACCCTATGAGCAAGGATCACTTATTTCATCTACAGAGAGCAAACATGAGGTCAGCACAGGTATCCCAGGCAACACCACTGTGAAGTGTAGAGCCAGATTTCACATGTAAGCGGTGGGACTCTGGAGCCCATTTTATCTCCCACCAAGCTCAAATGCCTTTATCATTATATCGCTCTTTGGTTATGATCTGTTGTTATTTTTCCTTTCCTGGTTTTGGAAGAGGCCACAGTATTTAGTTGTTGCATCCTATCTGGATGGGCCTACTGAGTCTTTTTATTTTGGCTTCCAGATACTCTCAGTGAACAGCCTTCACTCATGCCAAACTTGGTGGTGTGTGCCTATTATTCAGGAATTATATTTTCTTTCGAGACGGCGTTTTGCTCTTGTTACCCAGGCTGGAGTGCAATGGCGCGATCTCGGCTCACCGCAACCTCCGCCTCCTGGGTTCAGGCAATTCTCCTGCCTCAGCCTCCTGAGTAGCTGGGATTACAGGCACGAGCCACCATGCCCAGCTAATTTTTTGTATTTTTAGTAGAGACGGGGTTTCACCATGTTGACCAGGATGGTCTCGATCTCTCGACCTCGTGATCCTACCCGCCTCCGCCTCCCAAAGTGCTGGGATTATAGGCTTGAGCCACCGCGCCCGGCAAGGAATTACATTTTCAATCATTCTCACTCTCATTCAAAAACCAGTTCTCGTGAGGTTGATACTAACAACCTCGAGAGAACCTATTCCTATCCAGGGGTAGTGCTGAGCTCCCTGGCAGCCCTCTCCTCCTGAAGATCCTCTGCTCCTTGTCTTCCTCTCCCCCCAGTTCCACTTGGCAGGGGCAGTAGCTTAGCACCTCTCCTTTCTTCCTTCAGATGGCAAAGGGCTAACAAGCCTCTTACACACCAATCCTGCTTCTTGCTATTCTCAGAAACAACACTATCCTTTGAAAAGTGAACCTGCAAATGATGAAAGCACTCACGGGGCTCTTAAAATTCAATTAAAGGTTGAGCCAGGTGGCTCACACACGCCTGCAATCCCAGCACTTTGGGAGGTTGAACCAGGTGAATCACATGGTCAAGAGATTGAGACCATCCTGGCCAACATGGTGAAACACTGTCTCTACTAAAATACAAAAATTAGCTGGACATGGTGGTGTGCACCTGTAGTTCCAGCTACTTGGGAGGCTGAGGCAGGAGAATCACTTGAATCTGGCAGGTGGAGGTTGCAGTGAGCTGAAATCACGCCACTGCACTCCAGCCTGGCAACAGAATGAGACTCTATCTCAAAAAAAAAAAAAAAAAGATTCAATTAAAAGCAAACACTGATAATTATTTGATTTCATTACTTGTACAGAGTATATATATAAATGTGTTAAAGGAAAGTGTTCTTTCCATCTATATCAATATGTATTTTAAAAGTGACTTGTGTTGTAGTGAGAGGTCAGCTGATTGGCTGCTGCTTTCTCTTTTGACTAAAAAATTTTCTACATGCTCAAAAATAATTTTCTCTTAATTTTCACTTTTTAATACCACATGATACCATAAAAAGCACACGTATCTGCTAATGTAAGTACTCTCCATGAGCGCTGATAATTAGCCTTTTTCTCCATCATTTCAGAACTCAGAAAATCATTTCTTTTTGTCATTTGAATGTATACTCTTATCAGAACATAAATCCTGAAGATATTCTTTTCGAGAAATGGAAGGGAAATTATTCTAAGCATATTAAAGTTCAGCTTTGAAATGATAATGTTTCCAAAAGCCAAAGGCATATGCCAGACATTCGAGAAGCCAAGTTTTCTGTTGGACACATTCTTGGGAGTGCTGGAAGGCCATATTACTCTGGGCTGCAATACTGATAGAAAAAGGGAAGGCTTTATCATTACAAAAGGCATTCATCAGGGTTTTGAAGGGGAGGGGATTTAATCTAGAAACATCTCTCTAAATCTCCTACTTGGTTTCTTAAAAACTATTCTTTAAAATCAAACGCTTTTCAATGAATCTTAGGCAAATGAGACCGAGAAAGCAATAAGCCTGGGTAGAGCACGGTAAGGAGAACCAGTACTGTTATTCCCACAATTAAGGCCTCAAGCGAAGCAAACGCAAACACACAGGGCTCCGAGACACAGAGCGTTACGAGCAAGGACGGCACACCACACAGCATGCTTCCCACAGATCAATTTCTTAGCAGAAATTCCCCATGGTAGTAATCAGAGAAGGGTTCACTCCAGTGCTGGGGCTTAGTTCCACCCCAGTATTTATACCAATTAGAGATAAAGCAGCTGTGAACAGGACACAGGCAGTACTCACCTCTGCGATCTTCAGCACAGCACTCCCATTCAGATCAAATGTCGGCGTGTAGGTGATGCACAGTAAAACCTTTAACAAGGTGTGAGATGAAGGAAGGGACAAGGGGTTAACAGTCTGGAAATTCACTGTTGTTTCATATGCCCTTTGTGGAGTCCTGTTTTTATGATTCTTTTGCTATTTGCTTTATCTGATGTTTCTTTATAGCCCACCCACTGCTTTCTCATTAGTGGCCACACAGTGTTTAATAAAGCAGAGACTATCCTTTACAAAATAAAGGCTGCTAATCTCTCCCCATGGAACGGACTTGCAAGACTGGCCAAAAACAGCATCTCTCAACAGCTCCAGGACACGTGTCCAGTAACAGCAAAAACCGAAAAAGAGTTGTTTAGTAGCAGTCATTTGAAAAATCCCAGGCTTAATGCTAGGCACTCCATATGAATTACCTAGGATGATCTTTTAAGAATAAGTGTTGTTATTATTGCTCCTGTTTTACTGATGAGAAAACTAAAACCCTATGATTAAATATGTTGCCTAAGGTCATACAGGTAGCAAGTTGTGAAGCTGAGATTTGAACTCAAGGACTGACTCCACGTGCTCACTAGGCAAAGCCATCTCCACCTCTTCTGGGAGTCAAAGGTGAGTGTCATTTTCTATTCCTATCCCCTTCCCAATCCACATGGAATTAGAAATTCTTTTATGGCATTTTCCTCTTCCCTCTTGTAGTTTCCTCCAGAATGCTGCATGGGGTTTACTTATTTCCCTTATTTTCCGAGATACACAGACAATGGGTGCATGACATCTGTAAGATCTTTAAAGATCACTAAAAACTTCACTTTCTACTTGTAGGCCTTTAGGGAACAGATCAATAAAGGCCTGTGGCATTTTAAGAAATGCTTCTCAATTTGTAAAGAGGGTACTCTCTCCCTCTTCACTTAGCTTCTAACTTTTCTTGCTGCAGAAAACAGACACGAAAGTGCTGGTTTCTGCTCCTTGATCTCAAACCCCACAGCCATGCCCTGCCTGCAGCTTGGCCTGCCAGGAGCAGTCTTCTGAGCATTTTTCTCATCTGTTCAATTCATGAAGGAGCATGGAAGCCTAGCAAATTTACCTAATACAGGATATACATCTAATCAGCATGCCCCAAAACTGCAGTTGTCAGATGTGAAAAGAAATCTCTCCCCATCTCATAGTCTTAGCTGTTAGCTAGGCCGGTCCTTCAGAGAAAGCAAGTATGAATGCAATTAGAGGGGAAGAAATACTTTTTGCCATATTTAGTCACAAGGGTGGGCATTAATTGCAGGTGTGTTCCTCAGTCTTTTGATTCTTAAAGAGATTTGAATCCAAGAATCAACTCCAGATAAAAATCGGCTCAGTCGGCAGGGCACAGTGGCTCACGCCTGTAATCCCAGCACTTTGCAAGGCCAAGGTGGGCATATCACTTGAAGGTCTGGAGTTTGAGACCAGCCTGGGCAACATGGCGAACCCCTGTCTCTACTAAAAACACACACAGAAAAATTAGCCGGGCATGGTGGTGGGCGCTTGTAATCCCAGCTACTCAGGAGGCTAAGGCATGAGAATTGCTTGAAACTGGGAGGCAGCGGTTGCAGGAAGTGAGCCGAGATCATACTGTTACACTGCAGCCTGGATGACAGAGTGAGACTCTGTTTAAAAAAAAAAAAAAAAAAAAAATTGGCTAAGTGCTGTGGCAACTGAGAAAAGGGGACTAGGTGAACAACTGCCCCTTGGCTTTATGGGAAATGAAGGCTTCTGTCTCCTGACAATCTTTGAGAGTTGGGATTTGGTAGGCAGGGAGGGATGAAAGCTGAGGACAGTGGGGTCACCAGGACCTACCCTGGGCTTGGAGGGAGGCTACACCTTCCAGACCCTGTGAGGACACAGTGGTGGTCCCATGGCTGGAAAGCCCTGTCCTTGGCTCCTCCTCTACTTGTTTTACCATGTGGCTTGATTGGCTACTTTCCCGTCTCAACTCAGACATCGCCCCCTCAGAGAGACATTCCCGGATCGCCGTCTCTAGTGTACTCCTCAGCACATCTCCTTGTTTCATCTACTTCAGAGCAGACATTGGTCTCATAAATGACTTGTTTGCTTATTTGCAATCTTCTCATTAGACTATACCATCCGCTGAGCCTCTGAAAGGCCCTCAGGACATTCTCACATGATGCTTTCTTACTTTGAAGTTTTTTATTTTTGGTGCCACGTTTCATGGCAGGGGTGTGGGGAGTCTGAGGTGGTGGTGGTGGTGGTGGTGGCCAGCAGAGGCCACTCAGTCCATCTGGGCTCTTGGTTTTTTACGTATTGACAATAAAGACTGCCACCACTTTACAATATGAAAGCAATGATGGCAAATATTTGGCTGCACTGGTTAATTATTAACATTGCTTACAGGACTGACGATCGACTTTCTGCCTTCCGTGGCTCTATGCATTCATACAAGGTACACAAGGGCAGGATTAGGAAGAAGCATTCAAAACTTGACCCAGTTTTCTGTGAGCAAGAGCTGCTTTTCGGCAGCAGCAGCTGGAAGTAGGAGCAGTTCCCATGGCGAGGTCTTCATGAGGGTGTTGAGTTAGCAGTATCAGGAATCAAGATTCTCAGGGGAATGCAGGAAGCTCGACCCCCTGTGTTGCAGGGAAGCCCAGCATATATAGAGGGAGGCCTCCCTGCAACAGTCCCCAGAAGCTGAGGATACCTACACCCCGGCCCCCAGCCAAGTGCTGACCATGTTCACAAGATGATGGAAGGAAGGCTTTTCACTACCTAATGTCTGGCCACCAATATTCAAAGACTCACTGTGTTCCGGGTCCACAAGGGGGTGTAGTTTTAAGGGCAAGAACTTCCCAGTGCCATACCCCCCTCCCATCTCTCTCCATCCAAAGATCTAACGGTTTATGTTGAAACGTCGCAGGTGCAAGAAGAAACAAAAAGTCGATCACTCCAGCGGAAGTTCTAAGGAACTCCTTTCATTGGTCCAGGGTCTTAGGGAAGGTGGGGGTTCCTCCCAGATTAAAAGTCCCCTTCTTCCACACCCCTTTGGATGCCATGTTTGAGTTCCCTTCCACAAACACTCCCGTCGTGGAAGCTGTCTTTCTCTCTCCTGGATTTCCCCTCTGGAGCCCCCTTCTGCACTCTCTCATGGAAGCCTGTCTTCCCCTCCTAAACTCCATCTCTCTCTGTTCCCTTCCACTCAGTGTGGAAGCTGCTTTCCTCTCCTGGATTCCATCTTTCTGGATTCTCTCACTCAGGGTGAGAGTTGGCTGTTTCTTTCTCTCTCCTTCTCTGGTTTCTCTCTCTCTAAATCACTTTCTACAAACACTTTTGAGTCTGGCATTTACTATGCACTGCGCCATGGTCCCCTCTCTCATTCTTGAGAGAGCAGGAGACCAAGAACCTGGAGAAACATCCTTTCAGGGGAGCTGAGGGCACCCCTAAACCCTAATATAACATATATATCTGAAAATAACAGGAAATAATGAAGGTAAAGCACACTAATGAAGCCAGTTCCTTAAGTTCCTGCAGTTTGTTGTTGAGAAGCACAGCAAATTTTAATTACAGGGCTAATGGTTCCATGCCCTCCTGGGACTCACAAAATATATAAAGGGCAGAGTGTCTAGCCAGGATGATGCAGCAGATAAAAATGACTTATCGAAACTGTTGATATTCCCAGTCCTTAGCATATATTAATTTGCCAGATTAAAACACAGAGTAAGGGTAGAAAATTTAGGGCAATAACAAATTGAAATCATCTGACTTCCATTGCATAATGAGAGGGCAACAGGTTTAGATTAACATTCTGAGCACGTTGGCTCCATGGAAAACAGAAGCAGCTAAATATTGAGGGCGATTTTATTAAAAATATATCCTTTACAGGGTCATTAAAGCATACTAACTAAATTAGCATGGAACAGCAGGAACTTGAGTGATGGGCAGTGTCTTGCAATCTATAACAGCTTGCAGAAACTGCCTCCATAAATGAACCACAAGGAAAACAGGAAAAACAGGGGCAAAGCTTTCCATGAAAAGGCAAAAATCGTTACAATGGCAAATAAAAGTCCCAGATCACTTTATTTAAAAACTGAATGGCTGAACAGCTACTATGTGCAAGAAGCAATCCCTCAATTTAAAATGTGCACAGAAACCCTGGGTTTACAGGAAAAAAAAAAGAATTAGACTTGAAAGGAGAAAGCAAAGCTGATTTATTGCAAGATTTGGGCACAAGTGGTAAGAATCTAGGAAATGTGGTCACATTAAGATTAGAGAGGGATGGATGTGGATAGATAATGATGGTGAGTACAAAATTGCAGATATGCTCTTCTAAGAACATTCTGAATTAATCCTCTCCCAAGGACATGTCCTGGTCATAATCGGGGGTTTCTCTGTCAGGCACACCCTGCCCAGTGCCCATGATCAGGGCAGAGCAGAGGCTGTGATGTCAGGGCCACAAATGGGACATGATCATGCATGTGATTTAGTGTTTAATTGCCGTGTGACTTTGTCTATGTCCTCTAGCCCTTTACCTTTAAAATTCCCATCCCAGCTCCCAAGGATATTTACAGGAACAAATAAATTAAATGAACGTTTAAAGAAATAGTGCAGATGAGACAGATCTCTAAGGCTGCCTTCTCACAGAAGATACACAAGTCTCATTTCATGTAGCTCATGGTAGCTATTCCAACATAAATGATTAAGCTTATTTCAAGTAAAAGGAACTTAGAAATGTCAGATAATCCATATTGAGAAACATAAAACCTTTGGTTTTCACTCCATGTCTTAACAAAGCCACAAGTTATCATTTTTCTGACCCAGCTCCACTTTCTTCTTTCTGTTCTTTCTTTTAGACTATTATTCAATTCCAGTCATTATTCACTAAGGTTCTAATTGTTGTGGGATTACAAATATAAAGGAAGCACAGTCTTTTGACGAAAAAGAAAAAAAACAAAAAATATCATCATCTATTGGAGAAATGAATGCCTGCAACTTTTCTTCAAGGCTGTGATAAATGCTTCTGCAATTGTGAGGTATAGAATGATTTGGAAGGCTAGAAGACACAG